TTGTGGGTTCGAATCCCAGTTTGCCCCGATTATGTTTCTAGGTTTGTCAGCACAATACCCGTGCTCGTGGGCTACACCGAAGTGGTAAACGTCTGAGACCTACATCACTTTGGGCTTTCCTCCCACATTAAGCTGACACCCCGTGATATGACTGGAATAATGTTAAAAGCGGCGTTAGAACTCAACTCACTCACCATCCAAACCTGCAGTGTGCAAATATAGTCTAGATCTACACAACAGAGACAAAACTATACTTATTTATTATGACAAAATATATAAAGGGGAAATTTAAGATAAAATCACTCAATTGTAGGGGCATAAATAATACTTTTAAAAGGAAGCAAGTACTTGGTTTTTTTTTAAAAATATAAAAACACAGATTTACTGTCTACAAGATGTACATTTCACAGTTGATCAAGAACAAATAATTAAACAACAATGGGGTAATAAAGAATGTAATATTTGTCCTTTTAAAAGCAATGCAAGGGGTACAGCTATTTTATTTAATAACAATTTTGAATTCAAGGTTATGCATTCAATTAAAGATAAAGATGGAGGTAACTTTGTGGCATTAGATGTTAGTATTGATGACAAAATATATGCCATGATTAACTTATATGGACCAAATTCTGACAAACCAGAATTTATTAAAAAATAAAGGAACTAACAGTAGAAGTAACAGGAAAAAGAACCATTACATGGAATTGGAATTTCATAATTGATCAAGATAAAGACACTTGTAATTATAAACATATTAACCACCCCAAAGCAAGAAAAGAACTTTTGGAGACAATTGATAGTTTAGATCTTAGAGGCCAATGGAGAGAGTTATATCCATGAAGATACACCTATTTTTCAGTCTCACACAATATGCCACATTCAGTTAAAGACACCCATATAATACCTAGTATAAATTCTGACCATTCTTTTATATCTCTTACTGTTTCACTTTCACATATACAAAGGGGAAAAGGCTTTTGGAAATTTTATGACTCACTTTTTAAAGATTTTGAAACACTTTGTTGCAATGGTTAAAAAAAACCAATTAATGATACTCTAGATCAATATGAAGACAAGACAACAAAAAATGAAAGAGTATTTACAATTGATGACCAACTACTTTGGGAAATGATACTTTTAAATATTAGGGGAAGCTCTATATTATTGTCATCAACATGTAAAAAACAACATACCGGTAGCTTTGGAATCCAGCTTAGAACAAGATAAAAATCGGCTTGAAAATAAGTTCGAACAAAATGCAGAGAGAGATGGGAGAATTAATGGAACAATTAAATGCAGCTAAACTAGAATTGGAAAATTTGCATAGAATAAGAACTGAAGGCTCTTTTATGAGATCAAAGGCCACGTGGATAGAACAAGGTGAAAAACCCTCAAAATATTTTCTGCAACTAGAATATAGAAACTTTTTAAACAAATCCATATCATTATTTGAAAAGGGAGATGGATAAATAAACAACATGAATTAATTCAAAACGTTAGAGACTATTGTATAAAACTGAAGATTGCACACAGATTGATTTAGAAAACCTATTTTCTGATACCCATGTGCCATGACCAGATGATGATATAGCTTTTTCTCTTGAGGGAGAATTGACTTATGATGAGGTACTTAAGCATTGAAAAAAATGAAAAATAATAAAAGCACTGGTCCAGATGGGTTTTCAGCAGAATTTATAAAATTCTTTTGGGGGGATCTTCACAGATATTTAATAAATGCTCCAAATTATGAATATAGAAATTAAATGGATCTCTATCAGTATCCTGAAAACAAGGATTGATAACATGTATTCTAAAAAGAAATAAACCAAAGTTATTTATAAAGAATTGGCTTCCCATCTCCCTCTTTAACACATCTTAGTTGCAGCATCAATTGCAAACAGAATAAAACATGTTTTGCCTTTCATTATTCATGAGGATCAAAAAGGTTTTGTTGGTGGTAGATATATAGGTGAGATTGCAAGAATGATTTATTATGTGATTGAATATACTGAATCTTACCAAATACCAGGTTTATTGTTATTAATTGATTTTGAAAAACCATTTGACTTTGTGGAATGAAAATTTATGCATAATGTACAAACTTTTTTTTTTAAATTTTGGACCAAGTATTCAACATTGGGTAAAAGTCTTTTTGAAAATATTGAATCAAGTGTTTTGGTAAATGGAGATGCTCATCCTTTTTTTAAGGTTTCAAGGGGTTGTCACCAGGGGGATCCTTTTCACAATATATCTTTATTCTTTGTGCCGAAATCTTATATAATGATAAGAAATAATAACAAAATTAAAGGTATACAGATGGGTAATATCAAATCTCTGATTGCACAATTTGCAGATGATACTACACTAAGTTTAGATAGATCTGAAGAGCCACTATTCCACAATGAGTACGTTAAAAGTTTTTGCCCGGTTTTCAGGATTGAAAGTAAATGCTGAAAAAAACCAAGTTGATATGGATAGGGTAAAAAAAGGATCAAGATATGAGTTATGTGAAGACTGGAATGTTTGGTCACAATTTCAAGTTATTAGGCATAGATTTTGATGTTGATTTTGAAAATGCGGTTAATTTAAACGATACAAACAAGTTTGATAACATAGAGAAGGAAATGAAAATGTGGGAAAAGAGAACCCTGACACCTATCGGTAGAAATGTTCTGAAATCATTGTTGTTACCCAAACTCAATCACCTGTTTTGCAGTATACCAAGCCCACCCAGAAATTGTAATAGAAAAGTTTCAGTCAAAATGATTCCACTTCATCTGGAGATCTAAACCTGACAAAGTTAAAAGGAAAATTATGTCACTACATCCTAAATATGGGGGCGTCAGTGTCCCAGTGGTGGAACTGGTTATCGCTGCACAAACATTAAGCTGGATTAAGAGACTGGTTCAAGGTAATTCGCCATGGACAGCTTTCTTTTTTGAAAATGTTGCTGGTGCAAATGTAATTTATCTGACTGATGCTGCCTATATTAACAAAAAGATTATTCCAGACATCAACAATAACTTTTGGTCAGTATACTTGAATTGTTGTGATAATGTTAAACAATCTGGTGAGGATATGATGAGCAAATCTGTCTGGTATAATAATGAAATCAAAATTGATGGTAAGTCTATTAATTTTCCATAATGGCATCAAAAGGGTATAGCATATAGAAATGACTTCATTCACGACACAGGGAAATTATATGATTTTGATGAATATGTACAAAAATACAGTTTGAAGACAGACATTTTGACCTGTCAAGGAGTAAAACTAGCAATAGTCTGGTATTTACAGAATACCAATATAAAACAGTGTGCTAAAGTTTGCCAAAGGCCTATACTGCCATATAATGTATAACAAATTAACAAAAGAGAAGCAAGGTATTTTATGAAGCCCCATTAAACCCTAAATTGATAAAACATAAGTGTTACAGTAAATGGGAAGATTTTCTTGATAAACAGTATACAGATACAGACTAGCTTTAACCTTATGGCAAAAAGATGTACATAAAGTTCTGAATTAAGGTTGTTTCAGTTTTAAGTTATACATAATATTTTAAGTACTTACTGTTATTTATCTTAAATTGGATATGTTGAATCACCAGTTTGTTAATTATGTAATGAACCATCTGAAACAATTGCTCATGTATTATGTAATTGTCACAATGCTGCTGATATATGGATGAAATTTTCAGATTGGCTTGGAAACTGTACAGATGGCAGAGTTTATTTTAGTAAAGAACACATACTGTTTGGATTTAAGCAGAAGAATAACTATTCACTTAATGCAGTAATTATGGTAAAAAAATCTATGCTGTACACATGTAATAGAAAAAAAGTAAAACAAATCCTTTTTACTAATTAAAAAAATAATACTTTGATAATATGGAATTACAAAATGTATTGCATATTCAAATTGTATGCAAGTTTCCATGCCTTCTGGTCTACTCTACATACAGAGCTCCAGATAACTTTTTTGACCCATGAAGATTCCGGGGTAGAATAGGTCTTCAGCAACCCATGCTTGCTGTAAAAGGCGACTATGCTTGTCGTAAAAGGCGACCAATATTTTTTCACTTATCTTTTCATCACTCTATTGTTTTTTTCCCAAAATGAGTAAGCATTTTAAGATTTAGAAAAATGAAATAATGATTTAGATCCTAAATATTGGCTTGACTCGGAAAGTAAATCAGCTCGTAATTGTGTTTTGGAAATTAGCTCCGATGTACGCATGCTGAAAAAACTTCATTGTGTATTTACGTGTGCTGTTTTCAAAAATTGCATTTTCCATTTAATGCATGCGTTTCTGTACGCAACCCACTCCTCCATGTTTGCTGAGACGTCTAACATTACTGTGTTTCTTTATTACATTCGACGGGGCGGTTTGGTAGCCTAGTGGTTGAAGCGTTCGCTTGTCACGCCGAAGACCCGGGTTCGATTCCCGACATGGGTACAATGTGTGAAGCCCATTTCTGGCGTTCCCCGCAGTGATATTGCTGGAATATTGCTAAAAGCGGCGTAAAACCATACTCACTCACTCACTCACTCAAAGCTGACCCGTCATGATATAACAGTCTGCACACCGTTGAAAGCGACTTTAAACTTAACTCACCCACTCATAACTAAAGCAGTTTGAAAGTGACTTTCAACTCAATTCACCTACTCTCTCCAACGCAGCATGTTCTATTTGTGAAATCTAGGTTTGTTTGTTTGTTTGTTTGTTTGTTGTTTAACGCAGCTCTCAGCAATATTCCATGCTATATGACTGCGGTCTGTAAGTAATCGAGTCTGGTCCAGACAATCCAGTGATTGACATTGTGAGCATCGATCCACGCAATTGGGATACGATGACATGCATTAACCAAGTCAGCCAGCCTGATCCCCCGATCCCGATAGTCGCCTCTTGAAATCTAGGTGTATGTTTTGATGAATGGTTTATTTTCGCCATTAAACCCAAGGTGTTATTTATACATAATATTTGTTCATGAAACATAATTTATTTTTATTTTTTTTTATACTTCAGAGTGGCATTTACTTAGAAAGAAATGGAATTTGTTTCTACCTACAATTTGTCAGCGCGGAGATGTGTAAAAATCTTGAAGTGGATCCCATTGTTATTTGGGATCTTTACAGTACCATATATCATGACTCAGAGAGAATACCAAATAAAACAAACAGTGGATCCAGGAACAGTTGAAAAGAAACAGGTCTGCAATATGCATAACGGCGCCCGTTTCGGGACTACAGGAGTTATTGCCCCTGTGAAATGCCCCGATGTGGGAGAATGCATGATGCGGGGAAGATGGCGGACTCGACCCATAACGTCCTTGGAAAGACAAAAAGTAGATGATTATATATTTTGTTACAGAAGGGAACATGGTGTGGCAGAGACGCTACAGAGGAGCGATGGGAAGTGTTTCAGCGTGTCGTCTGATAGCGGGAATGGACAGTTTCGCGCACTGTGTGACCCGGATGGACCGACGCCATGTTGCTGTGATAATATTTGTGTCAACAAAACCTTTAAAGACTGCAAGTGCCCGGGCTGTCAAGATCTTCGGAATCTGATTCATGCCGAGTACTCAACCTGGCAGCCTGAAGATTCCCGATGTATGGTGAAGAACTTCACGGCCAAGGAAGCATGTGACCTTCTACAGGGTGCGACAGTTGCTTTTGTCGGAGACTCTCTGATGCGCCATTTCTACACTGTTCTACTCACTGTGCTCACAAACAATGGCCACGATGGAGCTATTGACAGCAACGCTCCGAAAGGTATAGTTGTTAAGTGTACAAATGAATAATGAAGTAGGATATTTGTAGTTGAAAACCACGGAAATCCATACATGTATGTCATGATTGATTTTTGGCAAGTATTTCGTTTTGGTGAGTGAGTTTCAACGCGTCTTATATAATAATATTACTAGAATACAACGGAATCGTGCATCAACAATGAGCGTTACAAAATTTAATTTTAATTTTAATTTGAAGTGAGTGGGTGAGTTGAGTTTAATGCCGCATTGAACAGTATTTAAATTACAGCACATGTCAGCCTGATGTAGGGGACCGCACTTTTGCTATTGTTGATATTACTCTGGCAATAACCCTGTACAAACCCGGATTATTATCCCCCGCCACGAAGTGGAAGGGGCATATAGGAATGGCTGCCGCCCGTCCGTCCGTCTGGCCGTCCGTCCGGCCGTCCTTCCGTCCGTCCTTCCGTCACATTTCGTTTCCGGAGCAGATCTTGAAAACCGTACGATATTTCTTCACCAAACTTGGCACATAGATAGATCTAGTGGTGAACTGGTGCCTTTAGATAGTTTGGGATTTTAAAAAAAGTTATTTTTCGAGTTTCCATGGCAACGACTTTGTTTTAGACTGAAAATGGCGGTAGTCCTCGTTTCCGGAGCAGATCTTGAAAACCGTACCATTTTTCTTCACCATATTTTGCACATAGATGGGTCTAGTGGTGAACTGGTGGCTTTTGATAGTTTGGGATTTAAAAAAAAATTATTTTTCGAGTTTCCATGGCAACGACTTTGATTTAGACTGAAAATGGCGGTAGTCCTCGTTTCCGGAACAGATCTTGAAAACCGTACCATATTTCTTCACCATACTTGGCACATAGTAAGTCTAGTGGTGAACTGGTGCCTTTTGATAGTTTGGGATTTAAATTTTTTTTATTTTTCGAGTTTTCGTGGCAACGACTTTGATTTAGACTGAAAATGGCGGTAGTCCTCGTTTCCGGAAACGATCTTGAAAAACGTACCATATTTCTTCACCAAACTTGGCACATAGATAGATCTAGTGGTGAACTGGTGCATTTTGATAGTTTGGGATTTTTAAAAAAGTTACTTTTCAAGTTTCCATGGCAACAACTTTGATTTAGACTGAAAATGGCGGTAGTCCTCGTTTCCGGAAACGATCTTGAAAAACGTACCATATTTCTTCACCAAACTTGGCACATAGATAGATCTAGTGGTGAACTGGTGCCTTTTGATAGTTTGGGATTTTTAAAAAGTTACTTTTCAAGTTTCCATGGCAACAACTTTGATTTAGACTGAAAATGGTGGTAGTCCTCGTTTCAGGAGCAGATATTTAAAACTGTACCATTTTTCTTCATCATATTTTGCACATTGGTAGGTCGAGTGGTGAACTGGTGCTTTTTTTTATAGTTTTGGATTTTTTTAAAAGTTATTTTTTCGAGTTTCCATGGCAACGACTTTGATTTAGACTGAAAATGGCGGTAGTCCTCATTTCCGGAGCAGATCTTGAAAAACGTACAATATTTCTTTACAAAAAGGCCCAATGAACATAGTTCACAGGAGCTAATGCATTGCACACACTCGACATGTCATATTGGCGGGGGATGTGAGTATTTCATGCTTGTTATAGATAACCTATATTCTGTTGCTGGTCGTTAGAGGCGACTAAATGTCACATGATTCAGTGTGTGACAGTGTGGGACGTTGATGATAAGGTCACCCAATGGATTCTCAAGCCCAGAGACTGCCTCTGTGGTCTTGTGGTAGAGCGTCAACCCGGAGACCGGAAGTTCCGGGGTTCGATCCCCGGTGGCGTCAAACCAAAAAACGTTAAAAGATGAGTTCGAATCTCGGATGGGACTTTACTGAGAAACTGTTATCCCAGATATAACATTTGTTACATTTGACCACTTTCTTAATGGCATTGTGTGTTCTTAGCTTTCGGCCATGGGAGCCGTGCCAATTTACACTTGTCAGAGGGGTACACAAAATACGTGATCTAGACCAGTTGTCGGACTTTCATTTTTGTGGAAGCCTCGCTGGCTGAGTGGGTTAGATCGCTGACTTTGTGTGCTGGCGATTAGGTACCTTTCTCTGGCATTGTGGGTTCGAATCCCGGATGGGACTCAACCCTAAATGGACAAGAATCTGTACTTAACTGAGAAAGCGTTATCCCGAATATAACATGTGTTTTATGGTACTTGTTACCCTTTCACCTCATCACCTTACCTCTAGCCCAGACGTGATGATTTACAGCCGGTTGTCATAGAGTTGAGATACTGTGGACAATAACAATCAAATCGACAAAACCTCCAATAGCTGCCCCAGGATCCACTAATCACGGGTTCGAATCCCAGATTCTCCACAAGTATTCTTGGTTTGTCAGCACTATATCTGTGTCAATGGATCTAATCTCTGATCTGAGTGTCTTTGAGATCGAGTGTTAACCCAGTCATTTTCTTATTGCAATCTAATTACCCCTTTTAATCATTTTTTGCTACAGATATCCAGAATCGATGTGCGGGATGGAAGATACTCACCGAGAAGGTTTGCCTTCCATGGATTAAACGGAATGTAACTGTTTGTAACAATTCTGTCAGGTTTCAGTTTTTTGAATATTTTAGATCATCCTTCTCCCAAACATTCCTTGACTTAGGCACAAGCCTTTACGATGAAAACAAATCCTTATTAGTGGCAGGTATTGGTTTACATGATGACTACAAATTTACAAAAGTGTTCCATAAATTCTTATGGCCATTCCTACAAAACCAAATAGACAATGGTAGTGTGTGGCCAAAGGTCGTTTGGTCTGCAGCCGATTCAAGTTCTTTGATTGTCAGCAAAGTCGACATCGAAGAAGAACTGCACAAGACAAGGATGTTTAACCTGTTGATGAGAGACAGGATGGAACGATATGGCGTGACTGTGTTCGATACTTTTAACATGACGAAAGGAGTAGCAACTCCTGATGGCACTCATTATGGGTTTGGACTAAATTTGATGAAGGCACAAATGTTTCTTAACCTTGTACTAGAAATGAGAGACAGACTGGAGTGGTGAAATGTATTGTTCACGATCACAAGTAGGTTTCGCTGCAAAGGCGGGATTGATACTGTTAACGTATTTAACGACACATTAAGCAGTATTCCAGCCAACGACTCTCCATTGACTCTGGATAAAACAAACCAATGACTGAAAACATGAACAACAGTCCATCGGGGAATAATAGCGCACAGTCAACCAGCCAGATAACCCGATCCAACTCAGTCGGTTCTATCGACAATCAGTGTCTATTTCTAATGAGACTCCCAATGAGGGATGGCGGCCATGAATATATGATTGGTGATCCCGCTCCGTTAACTAGACAGTTTCCATCTGAACTGTCAAACACCGAATAACAGGTGGTTACATTTAGGCTACAGGCTGTGTACGAATTGTGCCTCCTGTGACCTCAGCGATGACTGGATTCCCGATAGAATGGGATGGTAATGAGTGGGTATGGTTTTACGCCGCTTTTAACAATATTCTAGCACTATCACGGCGGGGGACGCCAGAAATGGGCTTCACACATTTAACCCATGTCAGGAATCAAGCCCGGGTCTTTGGCATGACGAGTGAACGCTTTAATCACTGGGCTACCCGACCGCCTCTGGATGGTAATGAGAATACATACTTTCTTGCGCCAGTAGCTCAGGTCACATGCTCTCCATGATGTTAACGTTGAAATATGAGTACACAGTGTTGCAGTTATAGTGATGATACTATTGCAAGCGCCTTTAGTGAATCTCGCTGTGGATCATTGGTTCCAAATCACAGATTCGATGTTTCTTGTTCTGTCGGCACCACAATGGTTTTCGTCAGTTCTCCAAAGAAGTTGGTTGGTTGATTGGTTTGTCGTTTTACACCGCACTCAGCAATATTTCAGCTATATGACGGGGTCTGTAAATAATCGAGTCTTGACCAGACAAACCAGTGATTGATATCATGAGCATCGATCCACGCAATTGGGATTGATGACATGCATCAACCAAGTAAGCCAGCCTGACCACCCGATACCGTTAGTCGCCTCGTTTTCCCATGTTTAGAAACACACGTTGGCTAAGCGCCTCTGACTTTTGTGTTCCCCTGCTATCCAGGAGAGATTGTCCGCAAGCCGTGTATGTAAACATTTTCGAGATCTTGTATCTTTACCTCCAATGATTCGTTAGGCCGTTTTCAGGGTCGGTTTGTTACTGGGTGGTCCTACGAAACTCAGATTTCGTTACTCAGTTATTACGGGGCGCGCAGATTGGGCTTATTTGAACCCTTTAAGTGTCATGTATTGGTACAATTACCAGTTAATAATAAACCTGTGAACCTATTACCACGTTTTCATTATTACTTTATTCCTGTTTTAATGACACCCCTGATCATTGGAGCTCAGCTCCATGACAGTTAGCTCACACTGGATTTTTCAAACATTGTTAGTGCTTTGGGAAAAAGCGTGGTATGAAACAACAATGGTGCTCTCCATCCAGAGCCCCGGAATGAAGCGTTCTCGCCCTGAGCCCTGCTTACACTTTAACAACAATATGCATCTAACATATCCATGATATATCATGTGACGAACACGGAGCCCGAAAGATGCATGAAGCTTGAATCAATAGCTTCCCGAATTTTAGGCGAATGATAAGTGCCTCAGTTTGATTCAATGTGTGCCTGAAATGAAGAGCAAAATACGTTTGTTTGTTTGTTTGTTTGTTGTTTTACGCCGCACTCAGCAATATTCCAGCTATATGACGGCGGTCTGTAACTAATCGAGCCTGGACCAGACAATCCAGTGATTGACATCATGAGCATCGATCCATGATCCCGTTGGTCTCCTCTTACAAGCATAGTCGCTTTTTACGGCAAGCATGGGTGGCTGAAGACCACGGATCTTCACGGGTCAAGTAAAATCCGAGAACAGTAGGAAAGTCATTCTTCCTTAGAACGAATAACAGATGGGGTAATATCGTTTTCTGGCACATAAAAAGCTGCAGTAACAATCGAAACCTGATATAGGTTCTGGCAATTTGACAGAAATGTCGCATTGAAAGAATAAAAAACAAGTTGAAATTCATAAAGAAAAACAAAGAAATGGGCGAGAAATGGGGATTCATACATTTTACCCATGTGGAATATATTATATGTGTGTGTCTGTATGTACATGTATGTATGTATCATATTATTTATTAAAAGTTTCAGATGTGTTCACAAATAAGGGGCCAGGAATGTAGGATTCGGTTCTATGGCCAATTTGGGAAGGCTACCGGTAAAGGGACTACATGGTCGATCACTGTTTTGGAGGAATCAGCTAAAATAAAGTGTATTTGAAAAAATGCATGATTTGTGAGTGAAAAAATACTTAATTGTTACGTATGGACTTTAATAATGATGAAATCTGTCCATCAAAGCCTTAAAAATTGAAATTGTTTACAGGTTTCATGAAGGTACCACATAGTCGGACGCACTTTTATGGGTAAGCGCAGAGACGCTGCAGAACACGCAGAGAAAGCAATTGTTTTGCTTCATCGGGCACCTTCCATCATTCCACACAGCGTAACAGCGATCGCAATCTGTTTCTTACTGCCCCACATAAGCTCTGAGGCTCATGGGGCTTAACATTTGAACATGAATAATAAATGTTGACGGCAATGCGACTAGAAAACAGTATTTTTGTGTTTGTATGTTAAGAAAGGGAATGTATGACAGCTCAATTACTGCCCAAAATAATGACAATTATGTTTTTTTAAATAATAAACGTTCTTCTAAATATCAAGCGCATTATTACGACCAACCGGTCCCTTTAAACTAAAAGATGTCTTTGTCTCCGGCATCCTTGTCCATATAAACCCAGTTTTTTCGTGTAAAAAGCTCTTTTTCTGTCAATGATACATGTTCGTAATGCAAATATTTTTGTTTTCATAAATATTTCAAAGTTATCTATGTATCTCTCAAATGATAAAGTCATGTATCATTGAAAAGAAACATTAAATAAGTATCTGCTTGTATGAGAAATGTTTAAGTTTAGCGATTACAATATTGATGGTGAGAGTTCGGGTGCACAGGAACTCGTTATTGGTCAGTAAATAAAAATGTATACCCCCTACATGTAAGTAGAGACTTACATGTAGGGGGTATATATTTTTATATTCTGACCAATAACGACTTACATGTAGGGGGTATACATTTTTATTTACTGACCAATAACGAGTTCCTGTGTTCGGGTGGTGTGACGGTTGATAATGGGAGTTCAGGTTCTTGACGTCAGCTTGATAATAAAATGATAAAACATGATAATATGTTTGTCCTTCTAATTGCATTCTACTATTAAATGCATCAATTTTACTGACAACTGAATTTTGTAATTAACAAAATTCAAGTATTTCAGTCCATGGTAAGTCTGCGAGTATAATGGTTTATTATTTATCAATACAAACCTGACGGCCTTAGGCATGAGTGAGTGAGTGAGTACGGTTTTACGCCGCTTTTAGCAATATTCCAGCAATATCACGGCGGGGGACACCAGAAATGGGCATCACACATTGTACCCATGTCGGAAATCGATCCCGGGTCTTCGGCGTGACGAGCGAACGCTTTAACCACTAGGCTACCCCACCGCCCCTCTCAGGTATAAAGGGACCACTTCTACCATTACGCATGCGCGCGTTGTTTGAGCAATGTTATCCTTTTTTCGATTGAGCAAGGTTATACCTCTGCTAATAACAAGATATATGCAGATGAGCACACCGTAACTCATAATTATTGTTTTCTGGTAAAAAGAAAACACACAATGTCCGCACACGTTTTCTCAATTATATATTTCTCAAATTCTAATCATACCATTCTTTGAAAAGGCACTACACCGTCAGTTTTAAAGCTATTCAGTTCATTTTTATTTATTTTGGAGTGATGACATTGTAGATTATGAATCTCAACTCAATACCGACCACGTGCTCCCTTTCCGGCAGCCTTCCCCAATTAGTAATCATTTTACATGGGCTTCAAGAAGGTGTTTTTGTGTATGGTCTGGTCCGGTGTGAGCAGACATTATACAAGAATAGTGCAAAGACATTCTATATTACTCTATGTGGAGATAAATTGGGCCCAAATTTTGTAACTATGCAGTATTGATGCAAACAAATGCTATATAACGTTTCATGAAATGTGAATGGCAAAACTCTGTAAGGTAATCTCTGTTGAAGTTGACTTGGTGAAGTTCGGAAGCAATTTTGATGTTAAAATCAGGATTATTGGTAATGTGGCCACAATGTGTATTTATTTACACATGTATTTGTTCCCCTATTTAGTAAGCAACTTAGACTGCATTTAATACTTTAATACCAGTTTGTACCTGTTCAAAACAAAATACAATCAAGCAAACAGTGTACAGAAAAGAATTCCTATATTATTTATTCTCACTCCTGTAACCTTGCGGGAATAAATGAAATGTATGCTTTTGTTTGTTTATTTTGAAACATACGCGACTGTCTTCGCAAATGTATATTATAGATATCCCACCTCACTCCTATCCAAGAAACTAACCAGGGGGTTAAATAGTTTCTCTATCACCCCTTAATGAAAATCGTATACTTATCAGGATCAAGGGCACACATATGTTATCATAAAACATATGTTAAAAATTGTTATAAATGTTGGCATAATGGTGAGGCTCATGGGGTGGCCACTTCGAAAAACATCCTCCATTGCATACCTTTACACACTTTCCATGGAATGTTGTATGCAGACTTCTTAGATGTGTGACACATTTATTTTCAGTAGCAGAGACAGGTCTAGATCACAATTTCTATAAGATATGATCGCAATGAAAGTCAAAACGGATGCATACATTCCTTGTTTGTTTAGTGCCGCACTCAGCAATAACCCACCTGTATGTCAGCGTCCTGTAAGTAATCAACTTTGGACCAGACAATTCAGTGATTGATATGGTTAGAATATTATTATCTTACGACAAGTGTACGTGTATGATACCAGCATACGTGTTCGTTTATGTTAGAATAATTCCAACCTGGAATCCCCAATGGGATATGTCTAATGAAAGTGAACGGGTATTGGGTAACCACGAGAAGCCACACTTCAAGTATAACGGAAACTCATACCTTGATACTTTCTAAAAAAATAGAATTTATCTCTTGACATTTATTTAACCGTTTTGCATTTAAAGATTGCTTCTTGAATAAATAACATAAGTATCATTTTTATTTCACTTTCATCCAGGAATGCAAACAGTCGTCAACATCAGTAATGGTGATGATTTGGGTTATGATGCTTACATCAAGACAGCTGAAGTAAATTATTAACTCACTCGCTTTCACACATCTACTCATGACCATAAAATTTATTATATATCAATGTGTGTATATTGGTGTATGTGAAGATGTATTATATGCTACCACATGTGTGATCATTACAACGTGTGCATTAAGATCCCAATGTGTGCAAGCGTAAAAAGTCGTGTTGATAGGCAAAAATAATAATGAAAGCGAGTCTTGGAATCAACTCCGACCAACGAATCCTGGTACAGATAATCAATGCGCCTTGGATCACTGGTTTCACCGCCATACAAAAATATTGAGTGAGTATTCCCTCTGTTATCATACTGCATTCTGTCTTCACTATCCATACACTGGGGGCGGTCGGGTAGCCTAGTGGTTAAAGCGTTCGCTCGTCACGCCGAAGACACGGGTACGATTCCCGACATGGGTATAATGTGTGAAGTCCATTTCTGGTGTCCCCCGCAGTGATATTGCTGGAATATTGCTAAAAGCGGCGTAAAACCCCACTCATCCAATCCACAGACTTTAAGTGACGAAAAACGCAGAGATGTATTTGAAAATGCGTTTATTTCAGAGGAACATTACCACTTGAACAATAACAACATGGTTTTACTTGTAACATTTACAAATTTAGATATCACGGAAAACAATGTTTTAAAGTAAGAATTATATATTTGTAAGCATTGATGACAGGACATTTAAGCTTCGGAGTAGAGTGGGTTGTCGATGGATAGCGATGGGTCTGAGCTGAGGCCTTGAGGCTCAAGATCACTCATTTGGTACTGAAACAAACAAACAAACAAATACTCAGATTAATAATATCAAGAAAGAAAAATGTCAAGAAAATATACTAACACTTGACAGACACATCAGTGAGTGAGTGACTACGTTGCTTAAGCAATATTCCAGCAATATCACGGTGGGGGACACAGAAATGGGTGTCGAACCTGGATGTTTGCCATGGCGAGCGAACGCTTTAACCACAAGGATACCCCAACGCCCTAGTACATTTGGAAATTAATTAGTTGAAATTATATGACTGTAATATTCTCTTTATTATCATTGATTAAGAAATATGGGTAGCTTCTGACATCGCTTAATCTTTGTTGGATGTTTTGACTCATAATAGACAAAAACAATTATGTTGAAGTTATTCTTTGACTGACACAGAATAATTTTGATAATATTGTTCAAGGATTGATTGACACCAGCACATAAAAAAAATATTTTAAAACGTGTTTAAAATACAGTCGATCACTAACAGTCGAAAACATATAGCTTCATCTGGAAATATCATTTATTCAGAAGAAAACTGATTTTTTAATGTTAAATATAATCTCAACACTCTGAATAATAGCTCATATTTGTCCTTTCTTATCGCGATAGCGAGTCTATAATTTATGAAAAAATAGGGGGCACGGCTGGCCTAGTCGTCTAAGGCGCCGCGATTCGCTGTGCAAAGTTGCGTCCCTTGGGCACGCCAGAAACCTATGATTGTGGGTTCGAATCCCGGTTCGCACCGATTATGTTTCTAGGTTTGTCAGCACCATACCCGTGCTCTTGGGTTTCACTGAAGTGGTAAACGTATGAGACCTGCATCACTTCGGGCTTTCCTCCCACATTAAGCTGACACGCCGTGATATAACTGGAATACTGTTAAAAGCGGCGTTAAACCGAACTCACTCACTCACTATGAAACAATAATCAATCATCAAAAGTAGTTCACTATGACGCTCAGATGATAATACGATATAGGACATATTTAGCTTTAAAAAAGCTGTTTCAAGACACAAAAGTCGATGTAGCTCTGTGAGTGGGCTACAATCAATATATACAGCACGTTAAGACCAGTTGTTACGGCCAATAAGCACTCAATGCACGAGTCCGTTTTGTACAAAATTGTCTGGGGTCCTTTTTGATTTCTCATTTCCTTTCAATTTAATTTATTTTGGCTGGCAACGATCTGAGTAAAGTTCATAACTTACGTCAGTTTCTCCGCTCCCGTAGTCATACACAGGGTTGGTTAAGCCTTGATTTCCACTGCCATACAGGAGTTGCCTGAAACAAGAGAAGTTATGGTGTGCAATGTGACAAATGGTAAAATGGGTGAGTGAGCGAATGCATATTGTTATTGCAGTCAGGAATATTCCAGCTATATGACACACGCCTATAAATAATCCGACCTTGACCAGGCACACCAGTGGTTGATATCATGAGCAACAATCCACGCCGTCGGTATACGACAACACACAGTAAGAAAGTGACACATTGTAATCACCCGCATCCCATCTTAGCCAACTCTTACGACAAGAATGGGATGATCGGGACCTAATCTGATCAGGAATCTTCATTTAATTGAGCATGTGGTTTTCACAGAAGTAAAAATTGCTTTGGAAGCATAATTGTATAAGAGTTCTTATAAAGGAAACGTCCCATAATCGTGTTAATGTGTATTTTGGCTCGCACCTGGCCTTTCGACGCCGGTAGAAGAAGAGTCCGCCAACAACGCCTCCCACAGCAAGTAGCACCAGGACAACACTGATCGAGGCCGCCAGGGCAGCTGCAGATGAAGATGGAGAGTAAAAATACCCACATGTTACATGCCCATATTGAGGAGTTACCTGTCCACATTGAGGTTACATATCCATACTTAGAAGATACATGTCCAGTTTTAAAAGGTTTCATGTCCATATTGAGAAGGTTGCCTGTAAACATTGAGGAGGTTATTGGGAAGGTTATATGCTGGATAAAAGGGACAGGTTAGAGACATCTGGGTTGGTTGGTTGGTTGGTTGGTTGGCTGGTTGGTTGTTTAACGCCGCACTCAGCAATATTAAAGCTATATGACGGCGGTCTGTAGATAATCGAGTCTGGACCAGACAATCCAGTGATTGATATCATGAGCATCGATCCACGCAATTGTGATCAATGACATGCATCAACCAAGTCAGCGAGTCTGACCACCCGATCCCGTTAGTCGCCTTTTACGACAAGCATAGTCGCCTTTTACGGCAAGCATGAGTTGCTGAAGACCTATTCTACCCCGGAATCTTCATGGGGCTATTTGAAATTTGATGGTTTGTTTGTTGTTTAACGCCGCACTCAGCAATATTCCAGCTATATGACGGTGGTCTGTTAATAATCGAGTCTGGACCAGACAATCCAGTGATTAATATCATGAACATCGATCCACGCAATTGGGATCTATCACATGCATCAACCAAGTCAGCGAGCCTGACCACTCGTCCCGTTAGTCGCCTTTTATGACAAGCATAGTCGCCTTTTACGGCAAGTATGGGTTTCTGAAGACCTATTCTACCCCGGTGTCTTCAAGGGCCGAAATTTGATGCAGACATTATGAGAAAATAAAGACGTAGTTCTTTGGCACCATCTAATAGGCAAGATCGTCGAGCAATAGGACTCCATGGTTTGGTTATATGGTTTGAAGGCTACCACATGATGAAACACACCCTTACCAGTGTTAGTGGTAGTCTTCTGTACAGAAGCTCGTGTAGGACCTTGGATGTTCTGATGACAGCGCCGACCTCCAAACCCGGCGGGACAGCTACAAGAGACGGTTAGGGATGGGTCAGGAAACAATTGAATACAAAAATAACACATTCAATTTAAATTATTTTTCAATTTAAGATACATATGAAATAAATCATAAAGTGGTAAACAAGACATGATCATAGGTTCCAACTGATTAAAGATTAAGATTTAACAGTCTTACTTGTTGCAAACTGGGCCCTTGTTTCCTGGTTTTACGACGCAAGTCCCTCCGTTCAGGCAATAGTTGGTCGGACATTCTGTAATAACCCAGTTGAGATCAGGTACGAAGACAACAGGAGGATCAGAAAATAAGAAACAGTAGGGTTTACCTCCCCTTTTGCAGTACCCCGCTAGAATTCTCGATACCTTCCAGATGCAAAATATTTCTTGAACGTACAGTTGCATTTTGGGGAGCAAGTATGGTTTTACATTACTACAAGTCTTATTTCATTGGCTTTAGTTTTATCACAAGGAAACCATGAGGACTGAAACAGCTGGCAGGGATTGTGCTATTTCAGGCAGACGTTGTCGCGCCAAACATCACTAACTATAGAAGATCATATTGCGTGTTCACCTCCACAACTGGCGTCATCTTGACCAAATTGGTCACCAATGTTGTGGAAGCATTCGGACTTTCCATTACAGATCATCCATCGACCCATACACTGTCGTTTCTGGAGGCAGTAGAAGCTGCTTTTGGAGCACGTTTCTGAAAGGCACAATATCAATATTATAACAACATACAAGAGTATCTCTAAAAGACATTCACAACGATACGTGTGTGGTTTGATTCAAAGGTTGTTGTCGGGTGATCCATCAAAGCGGGCTTATTTCACTAACGAGGCTTATACTTTTGTGTTATTTGACGTGACTGGGTTGTTTCTATACTCACATGTATGTATCTGGAAGTGTACAGAAAGGGCATTCCAATGTGACGCCACCTACATGACATACGTTCCAGGGTATCATATACATAAATGCCAACTATGCTTACCACACGAGTTTTCATCTGAGCCGTCAGGGCAGTCGCTCACACCATCACAGAGTAGTACGGACGAGATGCACAGTCCGGAACAAGCAAATTTACTATCTGGACACGTGATTCCAGATGTCGTCCGTGACGTGGTTGGTGTGGTCGACGTGACTGTCTTAGCTGAAAAAAACCAAAACATAATTCTTTGACATAAATAATATTTTTTAAGAAACAGTGCTGTTCACTAAACAATCATTCATAGATGCCATAAGGCTTGGTCATTGTGTGTGTGACATTCCAAAACTTTAAATCGTTGTATTGCACCATGCTGTGTTGCTGACAATTTAAGAAGAGCATATGTTCAACATACCAAAGGTATATACACCCAAGGTTTCAAACTAATCTCCCCTAGTTCACCTTCTTAAATGACACGCCACAGGCGTCTGCGTTTCAGTGTTTATACACACCATTTATCGTTATCATCCTCCTGTACAGAATTAAAGTTTTTCCAAATAAAATATCTTACAATAAACTGAATGAGAGATGGTGGGGCAGCTGGCGGGTTCGTCACTTCCATCGGTGCAGTCCTGCACACCATCACAGTGCCAGGTGCTTGGTTGACACTGATTGAGAGGTTCGCACAGATTCTCTTGGAAACTACACACAAGTCCACTGGCTGGCCGAGCCTCTGTCAATCAAATTTGAAAAACAAATGCTCAGTGTTTTGGTCTTGGAGTCCTTGATGGGTTAGAGGATCAATAAAGGAGAATTGGCAGCTCTTTTGGATTTCGCTAGTCATATTTTGCGTTAAGAAACTTGGGTCATTTGGGTCATCGTCAAAGCATATTCAGTACGGTAGTGTTATTCTCCTTGTACAATGATTCTATATCTAGACGCGTGTAATTTTACCACACGTCCGTCTACTTATATCTTTTATTTGTTTGGCGATGGGTGCTACGGGTAGGATAGGATAGTTTTTTTTTTCAAAAACACCAAGTGTGATCACTGATTTTCAGTGATCCATTCCTATAACTTTCACCGTCATTTTGCCATTTACGCCCAATGGAATCTGTTTCGGCGAATAACCCAGAGTGCTTATGCTCTGGCGTTGACGTCATATATCAGTTGCATTATTTACCATTACATAAACTGCTCTATTCCCAGCTCATTTTGCACATAGTTAGGTAGGCACATGCATACTCACTTCCTGTGGTACATTCCGGGGTAAATGTGACGTCATCGATGGCGATGTCAGCAAGTTTGCCAGTACCTCGTTCTGCCTCGAAGATGACCTTAAACCCGAGCGTGTTGCCAATAGGAATGTTGACTCGGGCCCACCGTGCGGCATGGTTGTTTTGCAGCGTCCACACGAGCTGTCGTTGACCTTGTGTATTCACCATGTACACCTTTGGGTGTCAAATAAAAACAGCTAATAAACAGTCCTTGTAACTCCAGTATGGGTATAGATACATAGTGACAGTGGAGAGCGAGGGTTTGCCCTTAGCTTTCTTTACAACACTGGGATGTGCAGACTCAAGGGACTGGGATTTTTGTTAAAAACTGAATATTTTTCCATCACTCCTCTGAAAGTCGGAGCCAAAAGAATATTTGTTTCACAACACAATTATGCCAGGACTGCATGTCCAGCGAACAATGTGTTTTGTTGCAAAACTTGAGGCCAAAATTTTTTTTTCACAATTATCTGGACTATTGAGTGAGTATTGTGTTACGCCGCTTTAGGCAATATTCCAGCACTATCATGGTGTTGGACACCAGAAATGTGCATCACATATTGGACCTGTGTGGGTAGCCTTGTGGTTAAAGCGCCTTTCTTGAAGCAAGCTATTTGTTTGTTAATAATATACTTTCAAAATATCCACATGATTATGCTGTCATACGTTTAGTGGTCCCATGTTAGTTGATCCGTGCATATAGTAGTAGAATCGCAGATGGCACAGCTCGGTGCTGGGAGGGAATTGAGGCGTGGCTATGCTGGCTATGTCTCCAACAGCCATCTTGCTGCTGTCCATGAAGATGTATTTTCCTGGAAACAGAGACAATAAATAAGATCACTGTCTGTTTGATGCATTTAAGTTGAAATCCACAAGTCTACACTGCTACCACAGCTTGTAAAGATATATGTGCGTGGCTTCATGATGCAAGTAGGCTACATACCTCCTGCACGTCGACCATGGTCACTGCCAGGTCCTGTGCCCTTGGTGGGTGTTCGTGCAGCCTGGTACCACTGGGCATCAGTACTGTTGACCGATGTCCATTGACATGTGCTCATCCAGTTCTGGCTGTCAAACGTGCAGTCTCCAAGCTGGGTGGCTGCAACCGATTAATCTTTTATATAATCGACTGGGGTGTTACATGTATCTCAAATTTAACAGTAAATGATTACAACTTTGTAAAACACATCAGGTACATCGTTTTCTACGTTAAAAACAACAACAACAATAACAACAACAATAATAATAATACACATATTCTCAGCTCTGTTGGGAGTATACACGATTTATGTTGAAAATGGGTTACTTACGGCAGTTGCTTGAAAGTTCATCTGAGCCATCGTTGCAGTCGGATTTTTTGTCACACATATTTATGTAGTCCACACATTGGATCTGGTTTGCACATATGAACTGGTTGTCGCCGCACTTTTGTGCTAATGTCCCTGTAAGCGGAGATGAGGATATGCTGACGAGTCCACGATTTCAACACAGGCAAAATGCTACCATCCTATTGTACAGCTAGTTCCAGTCAAATAATGTGTTACACTAATCTGTTGCTCAAATTATAGTTATCAATACAGCTAGTTACAATTGTAATCAGTTCAGAAAACCCATGCTTGTCGTAAAAGGTGACTATGCTTGTCGTAAGAGGCGACTAATGGGATTAGGTGGTCAGGCTTGCTGACTTGGTTGATGCATATCATCGAATCTCAATTGCATGGATCGATGCTCATGATATCAATCACTGGATTGTCGAGTCCAGACTCGATTATTTACCGACCGCTGTCATATAGCTGCAATATTGCTGAGTGTGGCGTTAAACAAGAAACAAACAAACAAACAGTGCAGAAAACCAATTAACGTTGAATATAAGCATCTATGAGCTGATGGACCCAAGTAATTGAAAGGAGTGAGTAAGGGAATCAATGTTATAACAGTTATTTACATCACAGCCCTATTACCAAGGCCTTTAAAATAATGGAGTCTATACCTGGTAAATGGTTACTAGCTGGATCAATATTGCTTGCAATCGGAGCACGATGCGTAGTATCAAGCAAGTCACATGGTCTGTCAACTAGGTTACACACAGTGTAATATACTATCACATCCTGAGTAGTCGGTCCATATCACAAGCGAGGGGTTCTAGGGACCTAATCAGCCCTCGAATTCACAAGGTAGTGACGGAAATGAGTAATCAATGCACGGGGTTGAATAACACAGGCAGAATTAAGAAATATAGGAAGTTGTGGAAGGAAAATGTGGATGAAAATAAACAAGAGTATTGTAACCCCCCTTAACGAGTTGTTTCATTAGAAATAGTAAATTCGAAAATCCTTCCTTTGGGGACCGACGCAATCCTTACCAATCCCACAGTTGTTGAGTGATATGTCATCCAGTGCAATGTCGCCTTGATAACCATTTCCTCTTGTAGCTTCAAAGAGTATTGCGAATTTAGTCCTTGAACCAATGGTAAGATTTGCCTGTTGCCATGGCTGTCCCTGATTTCCGGTCTTTGACCACAGTGAAACGATGCCACCCTGCACTGTCTTAACAAGGACATTGAGCTTCCCGACGTTGGCGCCATACATGTTGTACCAGAACGTCAGCTGGCAGTTGGGACCGCTCTGTGTGTAGATGGAACTCTCAAGAACTGCAGTATCGCCATTACGTAACTGTCCACTGGTCTCTATGTATATGTAATGACCTACAAAATATGAACGTATTGCTTGAATAACTTTGAAAACTTGTGTGACAGTAATGACATCTTATCCATCTACTATGATTACGTAAGGCCGTGAAAGATACATCACCCTACTATCGTCTTGATTTAAAAAAAGCTGTGAGATCAGAACGATATTATTTTGCATGATCAATACTATTTGGTTTTGTACATGAAATAAATCGGTTTCAGACCAATAATAATAAGACTACTACTAGTAGTAGTAGTAGTAACAGCAGTAGTGGTAATAGCAGCAGTAGTAGTGGTAATAGTAGTAGTGGTAGTAGTAGAAACTTAGAGCCATTATGAGACAATACTGATATTTCAATTATACTGCAACGGCTGCTTACGAGAACAAAATATTCTTGAATTAGCTATTGTTGAAATAAGTTTTTTATGGCCTATGATTCGATAACACATCACCAATAAGATTGCTTTGTGACATTGGCCATTGTCTGCAGGATGTGGTAGATTAACATTGTTATGCCAAAATGTGAATAGCCACTAAAAACGGACTTTTCAAACTGTTCCTTTTATTCTCTGTTCATGTTCAAGGGAAAGATGTTCGTAGGTATAACATTAAGGTCACAACAAGATAGTATCTGATTTAGGTTTACTATTGAATGGCTACATTCATATCCACATTATCTTCACATTATGTAAACTTCTTCCGTAACATTTGATAATATTAAGATATTACTGATGTCGTATTCTGATGAAACCCACCATTGCCGGTGCCAAAAGTGTGATCATTGGTAGGCCCCGTGTTGGCACTGGTTGTTTGGCCGGTGTGAGTGGTCCAGTCAAAATTCTCTCCCTTGTCATTCTTCCACCCACACATCCCGTCTTCGAATGTACATGAAGTTCCTGAAATAATTTTTTTTACACAAAACATCAAAGTGTTCGCTGGACATGCAATTGCCCTGAAAAATATGTGTTGTGAAAAAAATAAAAGAACAATCGCAACTTCTATATTGGACAAGCGTCCTTGGGCTAAATATATCAAATAACATTTTGAAAACTGAACTAAATCAATACTTGATTTTCTTCTGACTGATGAGAATTTGATTTTCCTCACCACATGATAATTCATCAGTCTGGTCGCCGCAGTCGTCATGGAAGTTGCACGCCTCATTCCGGCTGTAACAGTTGCCGTTAGTGCAGCTGCGCTGGTTATTCTTACAAGAAGATGGTTTGGTCGGGGGAGGCGTGGCTTGACCGGGGATATACCCTATAACACAGAGAGGGACGTGTCGAAAACCCTGAATAATGCATTTATGTGAATAACTACTATATACACACACATCACGCAGAATATTACTAGAACCATTTCAAAAGAAAATCAAGACTGGGTTATTAATTTTGGACATCTGTTGGTTGCAAAGTTAATATATGGAGGTTGATGAGTGATTTACCTCCTCGTTGGCAACCTGGCGTAAGTGAAACGTCATCAATTGCAATGTCACCATGGTAACCGTTTCCCTTCGTTGCTTCGATCACAACCTGAAATAAATTGAAAACATTAGTGTTCATCACTGAGAATTATTTTAGGTGGGAGTCAGCAATATAATGACCACAACATGGCAGTGATCTGATAACATTCTCCTGGTGAGTATACCGCTTCAGATAATGATCACGTCCTACCGGCTACACATTTACTGATAGGGATAAAAAGTAACATTTCGATTGAACATGGCTGACGTTTGTAACAGAAGCGCCCCATGTCATCAGAGACTATCTTCTTACCCGGTAGTCTCCTGTCCCGCCTTTGTTGTCGAGGGTGTTCTGTGACTCTATCCAGACATCGCCTCTATTTGTTGTGTAGTTTGCGATCAGATACAGCCCAGTCGTAGTGTAGTCGAATCTCTTGTAGATGGTCAGTGCACCAACATCCGCGCCGTTCATGTTGTACCATAGTCGGATCTTTGTGAAATACGAAGCCAATTCCATTAACCAATAGTTTGAAATATAAAGACAAACGGGGGCAAAACCGGAGAATGAACAAAATATCCGAATCATACCACAGGCTTTGAAGGATAGTAATGTCGATGTGAGCCAAAGTACTGTCAATTTATCCTATAAAACAACCGCACTCAAGTTCATAACAACTAGGTGCCATTTCTTATAACTATACAGAATAATGAACACGAAATAGTGAGGGTACCGTTCCAAGTGAATCGCCCAGATTAATGAAACATTGATATTAATTATCATCTTAAAGTTTATATATACAAGTTCCAAGGGGAAATCTACAGAACTGAGTTTCACTGTAATCCTTTTTGTAAGAAGGTTAAAACAAATTAACGCGTCACTCTGCAAAAGTACATCTATATGATGGTGTCCTGTCAAACCAGTGCTTGATAATATGAGCAACAATCCGCGCAGTCAGGGTATGATGACAGGCAATAGATTCTGACTATCCATCATTAAGCATAGCTTGCTGGGGGCTTTTCCAACAGGAATATCTACAGTCCCCAACAATACTTCAAGACGATGCAGATCCTTTAAAGCAACGCCATGACAATAACGCAACACTTACAGCACAGGTGGTAGACGACCCCTTAATGACAAACGATGCGAGTCTGGCCTTGTCTCCTGTCTGGCTTGGTGAGGAGGTTTCAATATACAGATAGTGTCCTGGGGAGAGATATCAACGAAGGTAAGTATAACATAATCATTCTATGATCTGCGTGATAAAAGTGCAGACATACAATACGGTTAATAACACTAAAACTGTTAACAGCAGGTGATTGCAGTTTGCAAGTAGAGATGACATACACTCGTTATAGCTCAAGGTTTAGTAAACAATTCGAGGGACTCGAACAGGGACGTTATCCCATTAAGTTAACAGTAATGAGTAATGTATCGATTTTCGACCATTACTTAGATAACTAGTCACTCATGACCCCTAAATGAATATATAAGATCACCACAACTGGATAAAGAGAACTGACCAGTTGCATGACGCGATGTGTGGTCCACCGATGGTCCAGTGCCTGGGGTCAGTGTGACACCTTGGTGCAATGTCCAGTTGAGTTTGGCGCTGACCTCCTGGGTCCAGGACGAGCAGATGTAATGTTCAAAATCGCATCTTCCTTTGTACAGACTATTACATTGGGTTTGCTGTGAAAGAGAAAGCCAGTGAGTATGCAACATCCTATCCCATACACAACAATGTTTCTCCCTGCAGAAACATGAATGGTACAGATACCAGGAAAGTACCTATAAAGGAACATATGTTTTTAGTGTGATTAACCACTTGCCTACTTCAAAATATTGCCAATACAAGACCATTTAACTTCTTGTGCAGCAAATGGTAAGGTTAATGACGTATGCTTGAAATCTCCTCGGACTGTTCTCTTAGACATATCCTTTTTTCTTAATCCAAAGAACCATGGCATCTTTATGTACTGACCAACTCATCGGATCCATCTCCACAATCGTTGGCGAAGTTGCACTTCTTGGACTGGTCAATGCAGAAGCCGTTGCTGCAGGTCATTTGTGTTGCACTGCATCCATTCGGGGATGGTGTCACTGGCTTACAGTTGATGAAGGACACATCGTCTAGTGCAATGTCACCTCGGTAGCTGTATCCACGTCTTGCTTGAATTACAATCTGCAGGAAGATGTAATTGTTATTTATCCAGTAGTCCAGGCGTATAATGCAAAAGGGCACGCATGATCTTCACATATATCCCAACCCCTTTGAACGTAAAGACACATAGTTAATTGTCACAATCTACAAGGTAGATTGGAAAGAATCATGCCAGCATTATATACACCGACTCTTTGTTCTCACCTGGAAGCTTTGCGAATATCCAAGGAAGATAAGTGCTTTGTTCCACGTCGTCCCATGGACACCACTTGTCGCCCACATCTGCACCATGCTGCTACCAAACTTCATGTACACCTCCAGGGTTCCCAGTGCATTCCCAGACATGAAGTAATAGAACTGCAGTTGACATTGAGGCCCTGTCTGGCTAATTGTGGGAGTGATGATTGTTGTTGTATCCTTGATTGAACCTGGAGAACTGTCTGCCCACAAGAACCAGCCTGTGTTCGTGGCACTGTTGGTGTGGTCATGTGATGGCCTAATTAAGAACATTTATGATGAGTTAACCCTTGAACAAATGGTCAGGACGAGTATCTGTATGTAAACTGATTATGTATATTTTTAATAATCCATTTAACCCAATGATACAAGCTCCCAATACTCGCTGTACCTTTGATACCATGATCTACTGTTCATGGTATGGAACCTGAACAACATATCAGTACCTGACAGATTTTTGAAAGATTCAGTTTAGTGTAAAAAGGATTCCTTCCATATCACCCTAACATACTGACACATTACATACAAACTGTTTACAATCAGATTGCGTTCCTCTTTTCACCAACTGATTTCGGGATAATGACATCGCATTCAAACGTCATTGAAGAAAACAAAAAATGATATGGATGAATGTGCAGTGTGTATTTCGTGATAAGCATTGTTCCTATTAGCACCTTCTCAGTTATAGTTTTGTATACTCCATGAAGGTGTCGCGAGAACGTACCGGTATTGGTCATTCAGTATGGCCCCGCCGTAAGTATCTTGCCAGATGTATGTCTGCCCAGGAACAAGCTCAGTCTCGTTGATATGCCAGTTACCCATGTTTCCTGACTCAAAGGTGGTTGTTGCAGCAACTAAGACAGAAAGTGCTTGTTGATCTGATCTTCTACATGAGATTTGCAGCTACATGAGAGGCGGGGCTTGTCTCCACCATCCCCGAATGAATGTTACAATCTCTTTTTCTTCTTTGTCATTAAATCGGTCGGTGTGTTATTTGTGAAGGATTTGTCAATTATTGTACAAAAGAGACCTTCTCCAAAGTAATATTTCTTGCCATTTTCACATTATCATTAAAATGCAATAAATAAACACATTCAAGTTACAACCATAACTGCATACTTACCACAACTGGATTCATCTGAGCCGTCTGGACAGTCTTTTCGGAAGTCGCACACTTTTATCTTGTTTATGCATTTTCCACTAACATGGCAGTTGAACTCTTTGTTCAGATCACAGGAATGGGGGGCTGTGGTTGGTGGGGTCAGTGTTGTCCCAGTCACAGCAGGACGAGGAGCGTCTGGCAGAGATTGTCCCGAGTATTGACAGTCTGGTGTGAAGGATACATCATCAATGGCAATGTCACCTGAGTAGCTGTCTCCGATTTTGCCTTCAATGATAACCTGGAAGCTGTTGGAACTATTAAGAGCGACGTCGTCCTGTAGCCAGGCTGCACCTTGATCACCGGCCCTTGCCCAGACAAGGTTGGTAGGTGTTCCAGAGTTGTAAATTCTGGTGTAGATGTTGAGCTGCTTGACAAACGTCCCATACATAAAATAGCTGAACCTCATACGGCAATTCTTCCCTGCTGTTGGACTGAATGTTTTAGTCATCAACCATGTCTTGTCATTATACTTGTGCGGTTGTGAGGCTTCCATATATAAGTAATGCCCAGTTGCTAATCCGGTAGTGTGATCCCGATCTGGCCCACTGTTATATGAAGGTGTGCTGCCGTTCCAGCGGATCCAGTCAAAGTTATCATCAAGTCCATTTCTGCCTTGAAGTAGATCCCCAAAGCCATGCTCAAAGTCAAACTTCTTGTATGTTGAACAGTCTGGATCTGTTTCATCGGAACTGTCCCCACAGTTGTCTGTAATGTCACATTTCCTACTTAAGCTGACACAAGCCTTATTTGTGCACTTGAACTGAGTTGCTAGGTTACACGATGGTTGGGGAAGGGGGCGTCCACAGTCTTGGAACTGGAATTGATCCAGTGCAATTTTTCGCTGGTAGAAATAGGGACCGACCACTTCAAATTCCAATGTGAAGGGAGACTGTCTTCTACCAATTCCTACTGTTGTGTGTTGCCATGTCTGTCCATGGTCTGTGTTGTCTTGCCATAGCTTTGATTTATCTCCCTTTTCGTAGATGGAGAGAGTAAGATGAGTGGTAAATCCTGATCCTTGGATGTAGTAGTAGAATTGAAGCTTGCACTCGGAACTGGCTCCATTGTAAGTTGGACTTGTAAAAACAGCATTGTTCCCACTCGGATGAGCTGATGTCTGATCATGAATGAATACAAAGTATCCCTTAGGGTTGGATGTGCTGTCAACCGTTGGAGCCATAGCTGGTACACTCGCTGTTGATGCCCCTGAAGCCCTCTCCCAGTTGAATTTGTCTTGGTGAGCGTTAAGCCAACCACACGTATCCGTGTCAAAACCACACGTGATAGGGCAGTTTTGTTCGTCAATGCCATTTGGACAATCAGGGGTAAAGTCACATGTCTTGGTTGGAGGGATGCACGATCCATCACTACAGGTGAACTGGTTGTTAACACATGGAGTTCCAGTGTAGTTAGCTGGTGGTGTAAATGTTTGGTACTGTGTAATTCCTGTAACTGGAACATTTGTGGTTGGTGGAGCAGCACCACAGCCAGGTGTGAATGTGATATCATCTATTGCTATGTCACCTTTGTATCCAACACCAACCACACCTTCAATGATAGCTTCATATGGTGTGGAACTTTGGAAGCTTACTTCTTGTCGCAGCCAACTGTTTCCTTGCTCACTGGTTGTTGACGACAGAAGTTTTGTTGCCTGGAAAGATTTCTGATAGACATTGAGGGCACCAATGTTTGCTCCATACATGTGGTACCAGAATCGAATGGCACAAGGCCCGTTTGTCTTTGGCAGAGCAAATATGATTCTTGCAGTGTCGTTAGGCATTCTTGGGGGTGATGATTCAATATACAAATAGTAGCCTGTGGTTGAAAGAGTTGTATGATCGTTGCTTGGTCCTGTCAGGAATGACATTGTTCGTCCACGTTGTCTGGTCCAGTTAAAGTTGTCGTTCATATCCTGAATCCACCCACATGTGCCTTGTTCAAAATCACATCCATAGTAAGCATTGCAGTTATTCACGGATTCATCCGATCCATCACAGCAGTCTGTTTGATAGTCACATTTCAGGTTTTCTGGTACACAGTGCCCACTGGCACACTGGTACTGTCCAAGAAGGCACTGTCCCTGAGGCAACGATTCTCCACAACTGACGAATGCCAGATCATCGACTGCAATGTATGAAACTGAGCTTGAGGTTGCAACAGCCTCAAACACAAGCTGGAAGTCTGAGGAGCAGACTGGTAAATTTACAGTGACATTGTACCAGTTGTTCAACGGTTTTGGACTGTTAGGCATTTGCCAGATATGTGCATCAATTCCTCCTGTCCTTAACAGCAGACTGAATGATGAGAATTCCCATCCTCCTAAAGCATACCAAAATGTTATGCTACATGTAGGTCCGCCTTGACTGAAAAGAGGACTGACAAGCTGCGCCTTCTCCTGGGATTTTCGCCCTGAATTACTTACAACTGCATAATGGCCATTACTTTGTCCTGATGTGTGATCACCGCTAGGTCCGGTTTTACTTGCTGGGTTTCCATTAGTACCTAGTGTCCAGTTGAATGTTGATCCTGCAATTTGGTTTGTCCATTGACAGAAGTTGCCTCCCTCAAAACTACATGTATAAGGACAGGATGCTTCATCGCTTCCATCTGAGCAATCTTTTCTGAAGTTGCAGGTTGATCCTGCCTTGACACATTGCTTCCCATCTTTGCATTGCTGTTTACCAAACCCACACGGACCAGGCGTTGCTTGAGACACGGGAAGAGTAACTCTGTTTGCAATTTGACACCCTGGTGTAAATGATACATCGTCAAGTCCAATGTCTCCAAGATAGCCGCTGCCTCTCGTCGCCTCAATGACAATTCTGAAATTCTGCTGACTGGTAAGGACAAAACTTGCATGATTCCAGGCATCATCTTGGGAGTTACTTCTCATCCATATGGGAATTCTACCTCCAACGTCAGCCGTTTGCTTGTATACTGTGAGAGAATTGATGTCTTTACCAAACATGTGATAGAAGAACCTCATGCTACAAGAGCCCGATGTTGTTGCCTGGAAGATAGGACTCATAATTCTTGCAGTGTCATTTGGTTTGCGTGGACCCGATGTTTCTATATAGACAAAGTATCCAGTCTCATTACCATACGTGTGGTCAGAATCTGGACCAGTGCCAATCGTCATTGTTCTTCCTCTAGTTCGTTGCCAGTCAAAGTCATCTGTTTTATCTTGGATCCAGTTACACATGTCCTGTTCGAAGTTACAGCGTTCCACATAGTTTGAACAGCTCGATTCATCAGACCAGTCTCCACAGTCATTCTGGAAGTCGCACAGAGAATTCTGATCAACACATGATCCACTCTTGCAGTGGAACTGATTACTTGAACATGAAGCCATTTGACTACCAATAGCACACTGAGTGAATGAAATGTCATCTATGGCCATATCGACAGATTTCTGGAATTGAGTAGCCTCAAACAACAGACGGAATCCAGGTCCTCTTGCGCCTGTTCCAACTGTTACATTGACCCACTGATTGCCTTTGTCACCAAGTGCTGACCAGATCAAAGTCTTTCCTGTCTTACTGTTCACTGATGCACCTGGATCAAGGAGAAACAATCTCATTACTCCTCCTTGATTGCCGTTCTTAAAGATCCAGAATGTTACTTGACATCCACTTGATAGTTGTCCATAAACCGGAGACATCATCGCCGCATCTCCAAAGAAGGATCCTAGAGAAGAGTCGACAAACATGTACCAGCCAATTCCAGATAATCCTAGAGTATGGTCATGAGATGGGCCTGATACAGCTGATGGTGTGGACCCATTATGCCTTTCCCATTTGTATCTTCCCACGCTGAGTCCAGCCACAGTCCAGCCACAGAGACCTGTCTCAAAGTTACATTTTCCACAAAGAGACTCATCAGAACCATCATTGCACTGGGCAATAAAATCACATACTTGAGTTGATGATATGCACTGATTTCCGATGGAACACTGGAACCTTCCAGCACCACATGGGCTTTGTGTTGAAGGTGTGGAAATGCCTGGTTGAACTGTGGGGAATGATCCTGTGTAATTAGTACAAAGCGGAGAGAAAGTGATATCATCAATGGCTATGTCACTGAAATAGCTCTTGCCAACGCTTGCCTCAATGACTACTTGGAATGGAGTTGCAGAATAGAGTGGAATCTCTGTCCTGGACCAGAAGTTACCTATCTCTCCTTGTCTCATCCATTTTCTCATTAAGGGTCCATTAACAGAGGCTCTGGTATAAACAGCTAGTGATGCTACATCTTTTCCATACATTAGATAGTAGAAGCGCATGGTGCAATATGGTCCAGTTGTTGATGGTCCAAACACCATACTAGCCATTCTCGCTTTCTGGCCTTGTTTCCTTGGGGATGATGTTTCGATGTACATGTAATGTCCGGAAATTGTGTTTAATGTATGATCTTTTGATGGACCAGTCTGTGCTGAAGGTGTCTGGCCTGAGCGACGCGACCAGTCAAAGTCATCATCCTTCAACTGTGTCCACATACAGATGCTTCTTTCAAAGTCACAGCTTTTGTAGCGTGCAGCACAAAGTGTTGTTGCTTCATCGGATCCATCTCCGCAGTCATCAGTGTAGTCACACTGTCTGTTTGTATCTATGCAGGCGTTGTTGTTACAGTGGAACTGGGCTGAAGTATGGGTACAGGATTGTGGTGTTGGGATTCCACAGTGCTGGAACTGAATATCGTCAATAGCAATATCTCCTAGAACACTATAAGTTCTTGCTGCCTGGATGACGATCTGGAAAGGTCGGTTCATTCGTCCAATGGGTACTATTTTTTGATACCATCTGTTGCCATGATTTCCTGTCGTGTACCATATCCTAGTCCGTAGTGTCCCTTCTACTTGATACACAGTCATTGTTCCTATTCCACTACCATACATGTGATACCATAATGACATCTGGCATGTTGATGCCGATTGTTGTAAGACAGGACTGGTGAAATCGGCCCGTTGATACCTGCTTCCATTAGAAGCATCCACATACATGTAATAGCCTGATGATGAGCCCAGAGTGTGATCAGTTGAAGGACCAGTGTTGGAATCCGGTGTAGCGCCATGGTAACGTGTCCATGTGAAACCTCCATTAGCCCTTGAGACCCATTTGCAGGTACCATTATCAAAGTTACAGTTGTAGCCACACGCAGTTTCTTCTTCTCCATTTGGACAGTCAGAATTAAAGTCACATACATGGGGAGTACTGACACAAGTTGAGATAGTTGGACATTGGAATGCACAGTTCTGGAATGGTGTAGGGGTAGGGATGGCATTGCAGGCACCTACTTGTAAAACAACGTCATCAATAGCCATATCACTCAAATAACTGCGCCCAACTATTCCCTCAATGATGATTCTGTAGTCAACTGTTTGATTTTGGATTGTCAATCGTGTCAGATACCACTGTGTTCCAGAAGTGGCCTTCTGCACTGTTTGCAGATTTTGTACTGCGGCACCATTTGGCCAAAGCTTGATATTAAGAGATCCCATTCCTGACCCATACATGTTGTACCAGAAGGAAAGACATCGTGTCACATTACTGAAAGCTGTAGATACAAGCCAAGCTTTGTCACCTTGTCTTCTTGGACTAGAGGCTTCGATGTAGGCGTACGTCCCATACCGTGAGTTTAATGTGTGATCTACACTAGGGCCAGTTCCTGAAGAAGATGTAGCACCCTTGCCTCTTATCCAATCAAATGTGTCATTCTTTCCATAGTTTTGCCAGGTACAGAAGTCGTTTTCGAATGAACAGTCACCTTCAGGAGCACATGGTACGGACTTATACATTAGATCATCGATTGCAATATCACCCTGGAATCCATTACCGACTATGCCTTCAAACGTAAATTGGAATTGGGTTGTGCTTCGCAAATTCACCTGTGCAATGAGCCAGTCAGTATTGATATTTCCACTTCGTGTCCAGATAGGAGTCCCTAAATTATTTGCTTGTCTCTGATATACATTTAGAGTTCCCATTGTTCGCCCATTCATATTATACCAAAACTGAAGACAAGATCCAGAAGTTGGATCGAGAAGAGGACTATCCAGTCTTGCCTTGTCACCACGCCTTCGTGGGGATGATGTTTCAATGTACATGTATGCACCTTCTGGAGTTCCAAAGGTGTGGTCACTTGTGGGTCCAGTTCCTAAACTAGTTGTTCCTCCATTGTGTAATGTCCAGTCAAAGTTGTCAGAGTACTCCTGAGTGTAACCACATGTTCCTTCTTGGAAATCGCAAGAAACTTGAGCTGGACAGTGGTCACTGTTCATGGATATATCATCAATGGCAATATCTCCTACATACCCTGACCCAGCAAAACCTTCAATTACAATAGCAGTAGACCCTGAAAAGCCCTTCAAGAATATCTGGGCATATTTCCACATTTGTCCTTGATCTCCAGCTCGTGTCCATAACCTGGTGTCTCTTCCTCCATTCCTGGCATACACATTCAGTCGATTGATATTTGCGCCATACATGAAGTACCAAAACTTAAAGCAGCTCCCTTGTGAGGATATTACCCATGTTGAACTGATCAATCGTGCTGTACTATTGGGAGCTTTGGATGAAACCTCAGTGTACATGTAATGTCCCTGATAATCCCCGCGAGTATGATCAGCTGTTGGACCTGTGTTTGATGAGGATGTTCTACCTGCATGTCTTGTCCAATCAAATTTATCAGTCTTGTCTTGACTCCAGTCACAAATGTTCATTTCAAAGTCACAGTCAATTTTCGTTGGTGGATAGGTTGCTGGTGAGGTCACAGTCGTTGGTGTCGTCATTGTAGTTGTGGCACCATAGCATCTGTAGTTGGACACTGTTATGTCATCAATGGCGATATCGCCAGTGAAGTTTCCACCATACACTCCTTCAAATACGACATCGTAGTCTGAGCCTTGGTTCACGTTGACCTGCCCCAGTTTCCATAGGTTACCTTGATTGCCAGACAAAGACCACATGAGTTTGGTGTTATTTGATGCTACTGATTGCGTGTTGACATTGAGAGCTCCAACGCCTGATCCATACATGTGATAGTAGAAACGGACACAGCTTCCAAAGGAACTTGTTGCATGAAGATGTTCACTGACAAGTCTTGCTTTCTGTCCTACTATCCTATTGGAACCTGATGTTTCAATGTACATGTAGTACCCGGTAGTTGTACCTTTAGTGTGATCAACCCTTGGTCCTGTTGCCGCGCTGGGTGTTCCACCATAGTCTCTGAGCCAGTCAAAGTCATCCCCTGTTTGAATGTTTATGTATCCACACATGTCCACTTCAAAGTTGCAGTAGCCGGGAGGTGAACAGCCACCATCCTCCCATGCTATGTCATCTATAGCAATGTCACCTGAATATAAAGATCCTCGTACTGCTTCGATTTGAATTTGGAATGGTTTATTGTGAGCGTTAACCATTACGCTGGCCCGTCTCCACATATTCCCTTGGTTTCCATTTAAGTACCATAACTGGCTTCTGAATGTCCCATTTTGCTTTTGGTACACGTTCAAACTTCCAACGCTAGTTCCATACATTTGGTACCAGAATGATAAACAGGTTGTAGAGTAGTATGTATATGTACCGACGGCGCCTTTGTGACCATTATACATCGGACTGATAAGGACAGCACGGTCTCCTCTGACCCTTGGAGCAGATGATTCAATAAAAGCAAAGTGACCTGTATTAGACCCAAACGTGTGGTCATATGTAGGGCCAGTTCCAAGCGATACAGTTCCATTGCTACCAATCGACCAGTCAAACTCATCTTGAGTAGATTGTTGCCAGTTACAGTATCCATTTTCAAAGTCACATCCTCGAGGTGTTGGACATGCCCCCTTTATTATACCAATGTCATCAAGAGCAATGTCTCCTTGATATCCAGACCCCACGGTTCCTTCAATGTATACAATATAATTTATGCTTGAAACCAGTGTTCTCTGCCCCTTGATCCACTTATCACCTTGGGGCCCTGACTTTGACCAGAACACAGAGGAGTTGGAGTCTGTGCTTAGACGGATGGTGAGGTTTCCGATAGTAGGCCCGAACATGTAGTACCAGAAGCTTAAACAGTGTCCATCTGATGGTGTTGGTGGCAGTAGCGGACTCTGTAATCTTGCAATGTCTCCCTTTCTTCTTGGGGAAGATGTCTCAATAAAGATATAATATCCAGATCTCTGTGTCGTATGGTCAAACCTTGGTCCTGTTCCAACACTGGTTGTTGAGCCGGACTTTCGTGTCCAGTCAAACTGATCATCTTGGGCCTGGGCCCAGGAACACAGATCCTTTTCAAAATTGCAAGCGAGGTTTGGTGGGTACACTTTTCTGTCACAATAGTTGAATGAAACGTCATCAATAGCAATATCAGAAGTGGATGTAGAGGTGAAGCCTTGAGATGGCAGAACCTTGAATTGGACTGTGTAATTATTTGGTATGGCGTTTCTAAATGATGCTCCGATGTACACTGTGCCTCGGTACCATGCTGTTGACGAATAGTATGGACTCGACCTTCTACTGTAAAGGCGTTTGTAAGTACCGTTGATAACTATTCCTGCCTCAAAAGTTCCAGCCGTTTGTCCTCGCATATTATAGTAGAAGAACATTTGGCAGTATCTTGATGCTGGTGGTAATGTAGGACTCTGAAGGACAGCGGAACTAAAGAATACACCTCTGGAATCTTCCACAAACATATAGTGACCCTTGTTTGAACGTAGAGTGTGATCTGCTGCAGGGCCTTTTGTACCCATGACTGAACTGGTACTCTTAGTCCAATTGAACCTGCCTGTGCTGAAGTCTGTCCATCCACATGAGTCAGTTTCAAAGTCGCATGGTCCACAGTTTCTTTCATCAGAACGATCAGAGCAGTCTGGAGTGTAGTCACAGACCTTAGATGTAGTCACACAAGTTCCGTCACCACACTTATGACCTCCACTACTGCAGGGATTGACTGTGGTGGTTGGTGATGTCGCGGGATACAATGCCGTTGGTAGTGTGATACCTGTTATCCTGCAATTTGGACTGATTACAGTGTCATCAACAGCTATATCACCAGTGTATGTAGTTCCACGGACTCCTTCTATCATTATTTGGAAGTTCTGGGTGTTTGTAAGGGGAACTGTTGCTCTTGCCCATAAGTCGCCCCTGTTTCCAGTCTTGCTCCACATCTTCTGCACATATCCTCCTCTCTGAGTTACCATGTATACGTTCAGCGACCCTGTCCCCACGCCATACATGTGGTAGTAAAACGTTAAGGAACAATGATCCGATGATGAAGCAGGTTGGATCACTCTGCTAAGAAGTTGTGCTTTGTCACCTGTTCTGCGAGGAGCAGAAGATTCAATATAGATGTAGTACCCAGAATTCATGTTGGTAGTGTGGTCTCTCGTTGGCCCAGTGCTTCCTGATGATGTTGGTCCTCTTTGTCTTATCCAGTTGAAATTATCCTTTGTGCTCTGTGTCCAGTGACAGAAAGACTGTTCAAAGGTGCACGTCGATGCCCCGAGACAGAGGGATTTGGCTTCATCACTGTTATCTCCACAATCATCGGTAGTATCACAAATTCGGAACAGGTCCACACAAGCTCCACTCGCACACTGGAACTGTGTTGTTGCATTACAGCTGACTTGGACCGCTGGGAGCGCACAGTTGATGAAGGCAATATCATCCACAGATACTACACTTCTTGAATAGTAGCTTCTGGTTGCTTCGACAAGTACTTGGAATGATGCACTTATTCTGCCAATGTCTGCATATCCGAGTGTCCACACGTTTCCTGTTCTGGCAGTTTCTCTTAAGATGACAGTTGTTCTTGATCCAAGCTGAATGGATATTGTTATCTGTCCATTGTTATAACTGGTTCCACTGTTCATGTAATAGAAGCGCATCTGACACGTGGATGAGGACTGCCTCATTGTAGGACTGGTCAATGTTGCCTGTGAATTTGCAGTTCCTTTGGCACTGTCAACGTACAAAAAGTGTCCATAAATTGTTCCCATTGTGTGGTCTACATTTGGCCCACCTGTGGACGTCATGGTGCTGTTCTGACCAATCTGCCATCTGAAGGACCCCTTGCTTGCATCATTCCACGAGCAGAGACCTGATTCAAATGTACAGTTGCCACAGGCTAGTTCATCACTGTTGTCAGTACAGTCCTGGCTGAAGTCACACACTTTACTTGCTGAGATTTTCTGTCCATTTTTGCAGGTGAATTGAGTTGGTGCACTGATGGATGAGCATAGTCCTGGTGTGACTCTCAGATCATCAATAGCGATGTCGCTAGTGTAGCTTGTTCCGACAATAGCTTCGAATATGATTCTGAATTGAGCTGGGGACTGAACAGACACAGCTGCATTGCCCCATTGCATGCCCTGGTTGCCCGTGCGATGCCAAAGGTTCTGTAGAGGTGCATTTGGTGTTGCAACAGAGGGGTCAAGGTAGACATTGAGAGTTCCCATGGCTGCTCCATACATACTGTACCAGAATGTCAGACACCCCCCAGTGGTCATTTTCAGAACCTCGGACGTCAACCGCGCTCTGTCTCCCTGTTTTCTTGGACTAGATGACTCAATGTACATGTAGTGACCTGTGAGGGAGACAACACAGTGCTGTGAAAGAAAGCTGTTATTCTCGGTTGTATCAAATTACCAAATCACCTGTGTTTTCATTACAACTTTAGTTTACATTAATTATGGTCTGTTTTATTTAATGAAATTTAATGAAATTACCATTTTAAATAAATATGTCCTTTGGGAACCTCGTTTCCATATACATCGAAATTCAGAATAACTAAGATAATTTCTATCTTAACGAAGTGTTCCACATCTGTTTAGAGATCGTCACGCCATAAGTCTAGCCACATAAACAATGTCAAACCAAAGTGAGGAGTGCCACCCTTTGACGAACCTTGTATCATCACTTTTTGATACTGATTCATAAACACATGCTTACAAAATCGTACAATTGAATGTGCTTTAAGCAGAGATTTCTTGTGATTTTGTAAAGTGATCTGCAGCACATATTACTTCACTTTATTGCAACGAAATCAAGTTAGAATTGGAGATAACGATTACTGACTGCAACATATTATGTATCAGTTATTCTGCACCATACATAAAATAAGCGTAAAACCATACTTACTTACTCACTTACTCACTCACTCACTCACTCACTCACTCCAAATATACCTTGTGCTGATCCAAGAGTGTGGTCAGTTGTTGGTCCCGTGCCAAATGAACCTGTGCTCTTACTGCCTCTCAGCCAATCAAAGTCGTCTCCAACGACGGCGTTAGTCCATAAGCAGGTATCAAATTCAAAATCGCAACCTCCTGAAGGCTGGCAGAGTCGAGGCTTGACTGTGATGTCATCGATTGCTATGTCACTGTAGTAGGACCTCCCAACTATGCCCTCGAAGATCACCTGAAGAGGGCAGCAGGAGTTGTAACAATGGATGACAGAAAGCATGCTATATCTCATGTAGAGAAGATGATGAATTTAACTGCAGACAAAACATCTATATATATGGAAGCATTAATTTAACTTCATTCAAAGTGAGGTAAATGTGACTTTAAAATGATCAAAGATGATGCTTTGTTCTTGTATATATATGTATATCAAAAATAACATAAACTGATAAAATTAATAACACAGAACATGCTTTCAAAATTTCGTTTGGACGTTTTTAAATCATGTTTTGCTAAAAATGTGTCTGTGTAGGGCTAAAGTGCTTAACTAAAGTGTAACTATATATCCAAATTTCGCCAACAGGTTACCTTAGAATTCTCGAAAATGTAACAAGTTAATAATAGTACGAGACAATAGAATCACACAATTGTGTCGATAATAGTTCCATTTTATGTCACACCGTCCTGAAACATGTGCTGAAGAAAGAAAAGCTTAGATGTCACAGAATCTTGCTCTCAATATCACCCATAAAGGAAACGTCAAATCCAACATACATTAAATGGCACGTCGCTGTTTAGATTTATCTGAGCTGGGAGCCAATCGGTAGCTTGGTTACCGGACCTCGACCAGACTGCGTGTCCAAGACTGCCCTGTTTCTTGAAATACACATTCAGCGTTCCCATGGTAACTCCATTCATGTGATAGTAAAACTGAAGACACTGTCCACTAATTTTGTTGAAATGAGGGCCAATCAGACGAGCTTTGTCACCTTGTTTCCGCGGAGCCGAAGCCTCAATGTACATGTAGTAACCTGAAAACATACCTATGTCTTTGTATGCTGCACACTACATTTGAAACTAGCAGCTTTGTAATTTCCAAATAAATATTCACAAATTAGAGATTCAGCAAAGATATATAAGTACTTTCTGTCATTGATGGTCTTCATATACACTGATGCGACGTTAAGACATATTCACTCACTACACATGCAGGTGTCACGCCCTCAACAGCTTATGCTACAATTACTTTAGAACATTTGCGAACATCTGGTATTAGGGTATTATGATTTAGTGTAAAGGTTTTAAATGGGATATTGCCAAGTACTGCGCCTTGTTTTGATCCGACTATTGCATTTTGAGTGCCGTGCGTGTATTTCGCTCAATGACGTTCAGATTTACCATTGAAAGTTCCATATGTATGGTCGTTAGGTGGACCCGTGCCAGACGACGAAGTCGATCCATGTGCTCGTGTCCAATCGAAATTGTCTGTTTGATCTTGGCGATAACTACAGATGTCGGGGGATTCAAAGTCACATACTTCTGAAAAAAGCATATTGATAAAATTTATAGGAGTATTTAGGAATATTTATTAGGAGTTTAACAACAACAATGATAATTCAATTATGATAATAGAAATATCACATTGATGTGGATATGCACTTATTAGCAGATGTTAGCTTCTTCATTTTAATACAGAATAATAGATATGGTTTCTAAAGCACAATACAATGCATCAGTGTTTATTAAAGATGTAACTACTGACTGAATATAAATCGATAGGGCCTTGACAGACACACTGTAACAGGTAACTCAATTGTACTTCTCAGTATCTTATATGGTAGTCACTACAGATAGTAAGGTAAAGGGTTGAGCTGTGAAAAGGTTTCACTGATATGATCTGAAGCTTGACACATCTGCACCGATTTAACAGGTAGGACTATATGATAGATGTTTCATGAACGATTCCACTAACGGTCAGGTGGGCATGGTCCATCGTTGAGCGAGATGTCGTCAAGAGCAATGTCTCCTTGGTAACCTGTCCCGATTTTACCTTCAAACGCAAGCTGAAAGACAAATACGTCCAAGGTAACAAATGCTTAGTACACACTCACAAATAGGTACAATGACACCCAATTCTCATAAAAATTTGAGTTATCCATTGTTAAGGACAGAACAAACTGTCGATACGTATTCACCAGGACCATCATGCTGCATTGTCAATATATCTTTTTGCCAAATATGCATGCACTCATCAAGTTCTCTTATCCATGTGTATGTGCTAACAGTATTGATCCAGGGACAGGCAAACCAGCAGTCAATAACAAACATCTATCCACACCGCCGAGCTTCAAGCACACCCGGTACATTGCCAGTGACATATATCAGCAGATAGGACTACTCAATCTTTATTTGAATCGCCTTAGCTTTTTTAAAAAGCATTACAGGGCCGGTTCTACAGAGGATGCCAACACAGAATGGTAAAAAGTAGCAACGAAGTACATTTCAACAATAGTGTGAAATCTGGTACTTCTAGGAGCGCTAGATGAATACCAAAATGATTTAGCCAGGACAAAGGGTGTGCGAACATTTCAGCTCTAAATATCCACTACGCCCAGCTAGTGACACATGTAACACATTTATTATTACACAGTTCACAAAGTTCATATGTTCAAAAACTTATTTTCGGCGATAAATAACATTTATCTGTCAAACTCAAAGGTGGAACAGGATTAATTATAATGTGAAACGCTTGTGATGTCACACAAAGTATAATGACGTCTTGAAATCCGTAAAAGTCTGGCAAGCAGCCTTGTACGGTTTCTACAAGATGACTGGTCTTCCAGATCGCTAGAGTAATGACAACATGTAACACCCCAGCTCACCTGTATGACAGTGGATCCTGTCTGCGGGGTGGATAGGGTTTGAGGGGTCAGGTAAATATCACCGTAGTTCCACCGATTGTTTTGGTCACCGATTCTGGTGAAAATTGGCTTGCCGAGTGTTGTCCCTGTTGATTTAATCATATATCATAGTGTATCATAATATCCTGAAACGTATGCTCTAAACATCTCCAAAAATCCTGACTATAGTGAAGTATGTTCGGCAGTTTCAATGTTTAAGGGGTAACAAGGAGTACCATGATGCTCACAAAATGTAGTGCTCTATCCACGTTGAATATTAACACATTTCACAGATACATCATTTTCAAAGAACAAATCATTTGTCAGATTAAATCGGAGGTTTAAGTATTTTAATTTTCACAGATTATTCATTACCTTGCATTGCGTATGCATCGAGACGCCCCACTTGTCCTCCGTACATGTGGAAGAAGAACTTTAGACATTTCCCCACTGTGTCGACTGTTATGCTGGGGCTTATGATTCGAGCTGTATAATTGCCCCTCTTACCAGAAGCCTCTGTGTAGATGTAGTACCCTGCATGAACATTGAAGGTGAAGGTCAGAATTAATTTTTATGTAAATGTACTATACACATAGCCCATAATAGGTAGGATATTTGTTGTCCTAAATCTGAAACGTTTAACATTGATTCATTGACATAGACAGCAAAAATTACCATTAACGTTTTGATACGCAAATACAACCAGGAGCCATGCGTTCATTTCAGCAGTGAAATATTTGTGATACGTTAGGTAACATAATATTGCTATGTGAAAACGCTCAATATTGTTTTATATCATAACAGCATCATGTTGTACATAGGTACAACTTTGGAAACTCCTTAATCAACGTAAAAATGATTGTATGAGCTATCCATTCGTGACCATTGCAACCGCGACCATCTGGTTAAACCAGAAAAATTCAATGATACCCTTAAAATAGTTACTTTCTTCAATAATATTTCTTACACGGAATATAAATTGATTGAGTGAGATGTACTTATGCCGCCGTGTGGAATATACAGACTTACCCTTAGATGTTTGTGTGGTATGGTCAAATGTTGGTCCAGTGTTGATAGAGCCTGTGGAATTCTGTTGTAAGGTCCAGTCAAAGTCGTCGGTGGTGTCTTGATGCCAATGACAGATGTTGTCGCTGTCAAAGTTGCAGTCAACAACAGTTGGGGCTGTTCAAAATATAGTCATCAATAAAGAGATCTGCAGAATTATTTCTTTACACTGATATCATTTTTTTTATTGATAGAAAACAACAAACCAATAGTACTTTCCTATTTAAGTGTAATTATCACAGAACAGTTACCATAATATAACTACGTTAGGCCTGTTAGTCAACACTTCATGGCAGGAAAAGCCATTCTTCATGAAGTAAGTGCTACTCAACTTTTGATTTGGATATTGAAATATTCACAGAGAAATATTTACATTTACATTTAAGTGATGGACGTGGTGTAGCAAGCATGGTATAAAAGTTATATCTGCATCAGTAGTTGCGTATGATCCTTGAACTGTACATTTTGATCGCATCATATCCAATGTTTAAGTGAGTGAGTGAGTACATGTAATTTAATGTCACATCTGCAACATCCAGGATAGACATTCCAAACAACCGATCCCCATTTCTGTCACCGTATATGACAATATGGGAGTTTGTCTTGCCGCAAAAGGTTCTTGAAGAGTGGAGAATAAAGTGATAACTATTGATAAGAACAAGTCAAGAGCATGAAGAAGCAAACCTTCAATCCAATCAGACCTCACAAATCTTCCTAAAAAAACCTCTGTATGAAAATGGTGTTTCTTTGACAATAGAGGGCTCCATATCAAACTGAATGTATAGTGGCATTCTGAGAAAAACATGGTAACTTAAATGGTCAATGTAATAACTGACCATAGGTCACGGTGGTGATGGCTGCAGTTGGGGTGGTCGCGGTGGTTGCGTTGCAGAGACCAAGTGTTATGGCGATGTCGTCAATAGATATATCTCCATGATAACCCGTCCCAATTTCGCCATCAAAGATGACCTGGCAATACAATTGCAACATTTATTGTAGGAAATAATGTATGTCAAAATGTGTTACTGGAATTAGGTTGGCGTGGTAGGTTATTCATGAATTGTACACTAAGGTTATCGCACTGGGACCTTCCTGGAACAAATTCATTATACATAGATCATTTCGACATAGCCAATTTGGACATAATTATTTTGTATTTGTTTAGAGCTAGAGCAGCCATAGTTACAGCTTAAATAACACTTCTACTGTGACAGTTATCGGCGAGTTCCAATGTATATCTTGTGTAATTGCTTAGATAAGATTCTGGACAAAAGAAAAGTGTACACTTGAAAATTGAATTAAACCAAAAAATACAAACGTAATCAAAACGTTGAAAACATTTGCCGAAACAGTGCAAACTTAACATTCGAAAAATAAGAATAATTCACGTATCGAATACATTACCATTTAAAAACCATTTCGTGTTTGTTTCAGTTTTAAGCCACCATCAAACATGGGCATATACTTTCTTTTGCCTGTCAGATTATATGTTGACCTTGCAAACTTCGATTCAGGAATCACGTCCTATTCAAAGTTATACCATGCCAGTGGAGTTTTGACAGCATCTTACTTGGTAGCTGACGGTGCTGTTGATGTGGAGCCTGGCGTTGATCCACTGCTGTCCCTGGTTTCCATTCATAGACCAGATGAGCGTGCTCTTGGAGGGATTTGCCTGATAGACGCGCAGTGCTCCCACGTCTACATCAGGAACAGATACACAGACATGGTAATTGGCATTACTTTAATCACAGACATAGGAATAACCATAGTAAGAGGCCTATATATCCTTTAGGCAGCCATAAGGAATAGACACAAATTATCCGTCAGTGGTCAGGTATGGAAGAACATACCATTATCCATAGAAAGCTGAATAGACTTAATAAACTAAAGGCTGTGCTTATGCATATATCTGTGGATTTCAGTTTGTCTGCATTTGGATCATATAGTGTCTACTGCTTACATTTGTATGTCGATATAAGCATAAATGTCCTTTTCCCTTAGAATATTACTGTGTCTGTTCAAATGAACAATTTTGTCTAATTTATGCCTAAGGGAATGGACATGAATCACAGTGCCAACAGTTAGAGATGTAGGAACATGCGAGTATCATAGTGGATTATACAGATACACAGAAATAGCCATGACGCCCATCAACGTAGAGGAAGGCAACACACAGACAGAAACAAAATATACAGGTGCGACTAAACTCCTTTCCATAGCCACAATACATCTGCCCAAAACGTACGGTCGATTGTATGATACCGACTGTATCATGAGCATGCGTTTAACAATCACTATGAAACATCCGGTGGCACCCATCAAAAACACATGCAAAGTCAAGTCAATTGTTCACCCGATAAAAGACAGGACCATATGGTACAAGTCAAAATACAGAACTGCTTTGAAGGTAATTTTTGTCACGGATGCCTAAAAATTACAAATGGAAGATGAGAAAGGTCTTGTTTGTTTTGTTAATTTGTTTATGGAATGTAAGATTTCAGAAAGTCCTGCCTAAAATTGAAGACTCATTGTGATGATTTGGTGCAACGTCAACACCTATTATGCGATGTATTACGAAGCGTATGTTCGTTCCACTTACCCGTTCCATACATGAAATACCAGAAGGAGAGGCAGGAAGATGATGTCGGGAGGAGGTATTCGCTGTACAGCCAGGCTCTGTCGTTCTTGTTACGTCCACTGGCTTCAATGTACATGTAGTATCCTGCAACAGAAGCAGTACACGTTGAGGGTTCCGAAACAGTGTTTGGCTTCTCCTTGATGCATTGACTGTGACTAAAAGGCATTGTAGACAGTTTTGTACGCACCTTGGTCTGAGTTTGATGTGTGGTCGACGCTGGGTCCTGTTCCAACCGAAAGTGTCCCTCCTGAGCTCCTCAACCAGTCAAACTGGTCGCCGTTGTTGTGTCCATCGCTGTAACCACACGTGTCATATTCGAATGTGCAACTTCCGGGTACAGGACATTTGCCGTCAACGATACGGATGTCATCAATTGCAATGTCGCCGTGGTAACCAGATCCTATAACGCCTTCGAACACAATCTTTAAAGAAGAAAATATAAATAATAATACACAATAGACTGTGTCATTTCACAAGAATCTTGCAGAAAGGTTTGTGACGTTTTGCTTACCCTATAACAGTGGGAATTCTGAGTTTGTTCTTTAAGTGTACAAGCACCAGAACCAAGACAACAATCTTGTTTTGGAAACTATGCAAGGTTTATGATGGAAACATAGATCAACATCCTTACTTGCCTACATGTCTGACTGCAGTTATGAACAGCTATTCCTTCAAGAATTATAACTGTGGATCAAAGATATCACCCATGAATCAGACCACAAGAGACGCACCTGCCATGAGGTCTGTTTGTTTACATCAGCTGTTCCATGATGCCACTGGTTCAGTTGGTTGAAGGATTTGGACCAAGCCGCCGTCCCCATCACTCCTTGAGACTTGACGTACACGTTCAACTGGCCGACCTGATTCCCGTACATGTGGTACCAGAACTTGACACATTTCGGCGCCGTGACTGCTGGGTATGATGGACTGGTCAATCGTGCTGTGTCTCCCCCAACCCTCGGTGTCGATGACTCAATGTACATGTAGTATCCTGTACGCACGGAAGCGTCAATGTCAGGGTGGGGTACAGAATGTATTTTTTTTAGAATGTATGGAACACAAGTTCGCGGTCAGTAACAGCAGAGTTGTAAAATGGATTTGCTTCATATTTATTCATTTATTGAAAAACTCTATTGCGGTAAAAGTTTTAAAGCCAGAAATGCAGTTTCTCTCAGTAGGAGACAGGGAGAGGGAACACGATAAAGACTGGGCGAGACAGACAGACGTATACCAAAAGCAAAAAATAAAAATAAAAATGAGAAGGATGGTATGACGCAATAATATTTGTAGACACACATGTAGTGAGCAGTTGGAAAGACGAAGATAGACAGATATAAAGAAGGGTACAAGTAGACAGGTTGATAATATAACAAACCTAAGCCGCTGTCGGTAGTGTGGTCGTAGCTGGGCCCAGTATTAAGCGAAGTGGTACCATTTCTCCATCTAGTCCAGTCGAAGTTATCATTTGTGTCTTGCGTGTAACCGCAGGTGTCGACCTCAAAGTCACATACATCTGTAAACCAATATCACCCGTTACATCAGAGACCTTATTATTCCTGATTAACAAATGTAACACAGACGGAAACCAATTTCACCCTCACTATTCATGCTAATAAAATGTTACACAGTTTGAAACCAATACGCCCGTTATATCATGTTACTATTCACGACAACAAACTATTACACCGCTGTAGTTGCCATATTAACTACAATAAGGTGGGGTTACTCACATGAAGCAGGGCACGGTCCTGGCATGAGTGATATATCATCAAGTGCGATATCTCCCAGATAACTTTGGCCAACGGTACCCTCAAACATAACCTGAAAACAAATACTGTATGTTGTTATTACGCCTAGATTAGTATACCCGTGAACGCAGAGCTAATATCAAATATCTAAGGTGTTATACAATAAATCATTTAATTTTCGATCCATATTATTCATGATTTTCTGCCACCCGTGCAATGGTTTCTACCTGTCCTGAATGAACCTGGGTATCTGATGCAAAGTTTAATTATTCCATAAAGGTTTCTCCTGTCAGGTTTGTAGTTGTCTGCATCCCTGACAACTAGATGTACCCATCCTACAAGAACCTATACTGAACGTCCTGGGCTGCCGCGTTCTGCTGATCATGACTTCACATCCTAGATTCCCATCACTCGTTCTCGTGGATATCACGAAAGTGGTAAGGTTTTGCAAACTGCGAGACACTCCATCCAAGTTAATGCGATACACTGCTATATAACTGAGCCAGCGCCAAAATGTTAAGTTTACAATTAGTCTCTAAACAACAATGGCTGAGCTATGTTTATACTCTACCTGATACGGTTGAGTGCTGGTAATCCATCTCTGTGCCTGCGTCCACACATTCCCTACGGACTTGGAACGGGTCCAGATGACCGAGTTGTTGACAGTGGAACCTCCTGTTCTCATGTACACATTCAGGGTGCTAACATAGGGTCCAAACATGTGATACCAGAACGTCAGACAGGCGCCAGTTTGGTCAGTTGCTTTCTGGACACCAGAAGTGAGTTGTGCTTTCTCGCCATATCGTCGTGGAGAAGATGTTTCGATGTAGATGTAGAATCCGTGTCCGGTGGTGTGGTCCCGATCAGGACCAGTTCCCGATGATGGTGTTGATCGATTGGTTCTGGTCCAGTCGAAGTTGTCCAGTGACTCCTGGAAGAATCCGCAGTATCCGGTTTCGAAGGTACAGTTCATGCCTGAAGATTTGAAAATATGATGTTTCATTTTAACAAGGCCAATTATAGTTCTGTTGTCATCATTAAGATCAACCATACTTCTTTAATCTGTCATAGAGGGCATATATCTTTCCCATTAATTAAATATTTTGAGGTTTAAATTCCAAAAGTATAGTGTTTGTCTTCCAGTTGATAATAAATTATTTTAGTCTAAATTAGAAGAAAATGTTTATTTGCATGAAGGTCTCAGGCCCATGAAGGACAAAATGAAAAAAAGACCGCGCTGTATTTTTTCCTAGGTCCGTAAAAAGATAAAGAGGTAAAAGGATAAGTGAGGGCGCGCAGTTTCTTCAAGTGGTAAGGTAGATACATAGTCATACAATATCCAAGTAATCCTTCCGGCCAGCCATTGTAGACCCTTATGATTATTGTGACTTATGGCAAACAAGGACGACATATATACCGATCTGCTGAACAGTTATGTAAGAATTGTTAAACAAAGTTCTTACTTGTATCGTTGTACACTACTCCCGTCTGGCAGTCCAGGAATGTGACATCATCAATGGCGACATCGTATTTTCCGTAGCCTGGTGAAGGCAGACCATCGAACACAACCTGCATTATGGATAATTGGTTACAAAGTTACATGGGGCAACTAACATCAGATATTGAGGAATCCAGTATTGTCAGTCTGGTTCTGGTATGAGCCGTTTCTGAAACTCACTTGACGGTTAGAATGAAAGCGTTTTGCTTTGTCATACTGACCTAGTAATACAGTTGTGACATCTAAAGAACATAAAACATACAGTTTCGTTTCATTGCAATTTTCAGTTTTAATTCCAAATCACAGTACAGTGAAACAATATTCCAATGTCAAGATTAGTGCAAGATTTATGCATGAGTCTAGTTGTATTGGTATCCCGGTATACTGCTAAAACCTGCGGAAAACTGTTGTAACTGTCAAACTGGCTTAAAACCAAAGTAAGTAAATTTATCCGGGTATGTCATGAAGGGGAAATCAATACTCAGCATCACACAAAGTACCACTGTTTGGATTCGAATATGATACAATGGAGTTCCACTTAACCAGATTACTTGTATCATATACCAGATTGAAAATATCAAAAAGTAGCAAATGCTTTTTATGTATCCAAAGTCTCACTTCCTTAATGTCATAGGTGTTATGTTGCAGCGACATCTTACCCTGTAGCCAGCATTGATTTGCCCAATGTCAACTGTGTCTGTTATCCAGCTGTTGCCTTGGTTACCAGTGTGGCTCCACAGAGTGACGACGTCATTAGGATGTGTGCTATGTTGCAGCAGCACACGCAGGTTGCCTGAATAGCAATTTAAATTTGACAAAAAATGAACAATTTCCTTTAATGCACAGACATAACTACAATTGTGATCGTATCTTTACTCTAGGCCAACAGGCCTTTGACATAAAGAGGTCAAAGTGACCTAAATGACAGTATTTCTGAAAATCGTTATCCCAGTAAACAAAAATCTGGTGGCCACACTTTAGAATTTCGGTACAACATACGATTCACACTATCCAACTAACTAGAACTCATGCCAAATATGTGGCAGTCAGAATGACTCTATATTTGTACTTACCTGAGCTCATTCCAAACGTTTGGTAGTCAGAGTGAGCTCTGTATTTGTACTGTTTAGAACATATTCCAAACATTTAGCAGTCAGAATGAGCTCTATATTTGTACTTACCTGCGCTCATTCCGAATATATGGTGGTAGAAGCTCATCCGGCAGCTGGGTCCAGTTGCCCCAAAGATAGGACTGGCCAGTTGACCGCGGCTCTTGTAGACCCCTGACCCTTGTCCAAGCACCATGTAGTGGCCGGTTTGGTTGTTGTCGGTGTGGTCGACGCTGGGGCCGACTGTGCCAGCAACTCCTTGGTATGAGCTCCACTTGTAGGTACCGGTGCTGATGTCCATCCAGCCACATTGGCCATTCTCAAAGGTGCAGGTACCTATGAACATAAAGATATATGCAGTCAGTGTTTATGCAGTCAGTACAATTGCAGGGGGCAGATCTCCACAGGAAAAGAACCAACGATCCCGCATGCACACGGGACGCTAATTTGCACAGAACCAGGCCTCTCTTACCCTCCAAAAAATGAATAAATAAAATGCCAAGCGATGTGTGAAGCCGATTTCTGGTGTCCCCCGCCGTGATATTGCTGGAATATTGCTAAAAGCGGCGTAAAACCAAACTCACTCACTCATGTGCATGTGGATCCACGTAGCGTAGGTCTACGTAACTGAAACTTACCGCAGCTCTTCTCGTCAGATTTGTCCAGACACTGAACGATGAAGTCACACACTTGAGATGCTGGGATGCACTGGCCGTTGTCACATTTTGATTGGTTAAAACCACATGGGTTCGGCGTGGTCGGAGGGGTTGGCGAGCCAGTTGGAAGAACCGCTGAAACCAACAGAAACCTATGACATTCTCTCACATTATAATATTTCAAACCTATTCGAATAATGAAATACATATATTTATTAACACTGGGTAGCAGACAAGTAGTTGACCAGAGCTTGGGCGGCTCACTAGGTAACACGAAATGGGATATAACTGAGTTCAAAATATTTTAATACTGAGAACCTTATCACATTCTTATGGCATTTGAATACAAATGTATCGGCAAAGTGGAAGCAGATTCTTGCATGGGCATGTGAGTTTATAAATACTGTTTAAGACCTGAGTCAGCACTATCCCTGCTAAATAATCGAGCCTGGCCTTGGCAAACCAGTTGTTGATATAACGAGCAATATACCAGAGTACGATCATACCTAGTCTACCAAGTTAGCCAGCCTGTCTACACGAGCAAGTTGCATCTTACGACCTGCACAGATAACGTGACATTATGGGATTCAATGACATGTGCACTTACATGAACTCGGTACACATCCGGGTGTTACTGACAAGTCGTCAATGCCGATATCGCCTGTGTAGCCATTGCCAACGACACCTTCAATGACAATCTGAAAATGGCAATCAAGGAGAGTGATTAACTTCATGTTCGTTAACTCTCACATCGTTTAAACGCCTAAGGGATGAATTTGAGAATCAAATGATACCTGATATATATATAAAAAATGTCATTTCCAAAATAAACAAAACATAGTTACTTGGAATGTTTGTGCAGCGTAAATTTGGATGTCTGCTCTCTCAAAGAAATCTCCAACATTTCCGGTTTTGGTCCAGATCTTCTGTAAAGCTCCGTTTGTTGATGTTCGACTGTAGACAGTCAGAGCCCCAATGGATCTGCCGTACATGTGGTAGTAGAGCCGGAGCTAGAAATACAAGAATCACACGTGAGTTTCATTGATGTGTTGTGACCAGTTCTGTGAGGGCATAGCAGCTCAATGTGACGCTGTAGATGTTTACCATCAACTGAAGTCCAAGAGTGAGGGTATGGTGACGTTGTGAGCCGTTGTATGACAGGATGGCAGTTCAAGGTGACGCTGTAGACGTTTACCATAATGAGAGTTTGGTGTGGTTGTTTTCCTTTATGTGGCGGCATAGCAGCTCTATGTGATGCTGTAGACATTTACCATAAACTAGAGTCCAAGTGGGAGGGTGTGGTGACGGCAGATCATCTAACATCTACTCATGGAGACAAATATGGCACAATATTTGGAATGTCATCTAGGGATCCTGATTAGGTCAAATGTTGGATTCAAACCTACAACAACCATATCCCGAGATCCTGAGACGGTTGCTGCCTGTATAATACAATACACCTGTCGTCGACACCTGTTGTGCATGCATGTTTGAGGGAGAAATATCAATGCCATATTTCCTCAATATCTATTTCCTCAATGTCACCTTGTGGTAACAATCTACTATTCGTTGAGGTAACAGAAAGTGTTTTACCGTGCACGTTGTCGCTGCTCGTTTCCTGCTCATGGTTGGGTTGAAGGTCGGACTAACAAGACGGGCCCTGTCTCCTTGCTTACGTGGGCTTGACGTCTCAATGAATAGATAGTAACCTGGGCAGGAAGAACCACGTCTGTTACTCGTTTCACATCTAACATTAAATATTTTAACACTCATTCAAAGCAGTGCTTCAGGTCCATTTTGAAAAACACATATACAAAAGAATTTCCATATTTTTTTAACGTGTACTAATGTACACGACGAGTTTACCACGAAGTAATTGTTCACATTGGGAGTAGTGTCGGCAAGTTAATAAAAGAAACTGACTTATGTCCTTCTGTATCCATATAGACGTAAGGAACAATACGTTTTGGGAAGTTCAGCATATACAAAAAATGTAAAATTCAATTACAATGAGCTGAAGACCCGCGTATATTTCCAAAACCAAACTCTCTCACTAATAAAGTAGGACAAGTATCAAAGAATTAAGGTTATATTTCGCTTTTAGCAATATTACAGCAATATCTCATAGGATGATACCAAAAAAAAGGCTTTATGCATTGTACCCCTGTTGGGAGATGAACATGTAACTTTGGCGTGACGAGACAAGGGAATGCTTTAACCACTACCCAACCAACCTGTTCCACTGTTCCAACTTTTACACTGGAATACTGTGTTTATTCCACTGCACAATTTTAAATTACCAATATGTAAATGAACACTGCAGTCACAACATCACTCAATGACAGTGACTGTCTCTACCGGTTGGGAACAAACGTTAATCTGTTTACCAAGAGATGTTCCTCTGGTGTGGTCACGTGATGGTCCGGTTTCAACTGAGCTTGTCTGACCGTTGGATCTCGTCCAGTCGAAGTTGTCTCCCTTATCCTGTGTCCAGCTGCAGAGGCTGGTTTCAAAGTCACACCGTGCCGGGTAGCTTGCTGGAATACATGTGGACATATTGCCTCTAGTACATTGTTATCAAGAGGGTCATTTCTGTTATCTGTTTTTCTCTATCTGCCTTATTGTAAAGGCAGTGGCGGGAAGCTAGCTGGAATACACGTGGACATCCTGCCTCTAGTACATTGTTTACCGAGTGTCATCTGCGTAATGTAAATTATGAATGCTATGTATATCTAGCCTGGATGTTGCCTGGGTGTGACCTGGCTCTTGACTTATTGCACTGGTTACTCAGGTTACAGAGTTATTTCAGCTACTCACTACATTGGGTTTCGTCACTACCGTCTCCGCAGTCGTCAGAGAAGTCGCAGCGGTCGGAGTTTGGTACACATGCACCCCTCTTGCATCTGAACTGACTTCCGCTACAGGTTGGTTGAACAGCTGTGTAATCAACGAAAAGCATTGCGTGAGTAAGCTTTGTGTATTAACTTCGAATTATTTTCGTCAAACAACTTTGTGTCGTTTGGTGAGAGATGAAAGTGATGCAAGTCTTGGCCTTTTATCACTTTGTTGACAACATCCTCGTGAATGGTGCCTGCGCAGGATCATAACTTGAGCAATTGTGGATTCGAACCTACGACCAGTGGATACCGGAGGTCACGCTAGACAATATAATAATAATGAGTTCTGATACTACCTATGCCTGGAAATAAGCTACATAGTGCTAATATTTGAACTTATACTTTCCGGCCACCCACAACATGATTTTAATGATTCAGTGTGATCAATTGTATTGCAACGTATAAAAAACGTTGCTTCAAATATTCTGAATTATTTTTTACATAATTGTACTAAAATAGCATCTATCTGCAAAGTGTATCTATTTATAGAACACACAGGTAGGATTAAATCAAGCACAACACTATCATAAACAGATCATTGATTGGGTTTTAATTTCAACATGATTCAGAGACATACGAGGGAAGTTGCAGTTGATGAATTGGACGTCGTCGATAGCGATGTCGCCCAGCACACTGAATGTTCTGCTGCCTTGGATGACGATCTTTAACACAAAGATACACTCATGACACTTCAAACGTATATATATACTATTCTTGAACAAAAAAATTCATATCCTCTTGTTGATATTATTTATTTGTACAAGCGCATAACATGGAAATTCGATTTGATCATATTCAACGTTCACATCAATACGAAATTATTCTAAAAACAATTTGAAAGTTAGTCCTGATATATAAACTCCACTTTTGCAACAACAAATTTTAGAAATAAAAACGACTCAAGTCAGGGAGTTATTATTCTTGAGGAGTGGGGTGGCTGAGAGAAAAAATAATTTATTCGGGAAAACGCTTGAAAAAAAATCCCCTCAGATTTGAAAATTTTACACACTTGGACATGCGGAATGTTCTGACGATATCCCAATACGTTGTTAAATAAAGAACAATTGTTCAGCTACCCCTTTCAGAGAATTTGTTAATAGAACTGACCTAAAACATTATTCTGCCTTTATCACTAAATCAAGTTCGTCTCGAAATCAGTAAATGTTACGTCCTTTTAAAGTCAGCAATATTTTTCTTTGAATAGTGAGTGAGTGAGATAAAAGTTTAAGTCACATCGGCAATATTTCAGCCATCAGAGACTATCAAAGGTTAAACATAATAAATACATAGGGACTTACATAAATACCTGCCAACGAAGGACAATAAAATAACTAGACTTATCACAGAAATATATTTAAAACTAGTTTGTAATCATAAAATCAATAGCACTATACATAACATTACATTATAAAAACGAGCTATAGATCGCCAGCAACTGAAGGTAGATCACCACACTAGGGACCATGGGGACGTACAGTACTTAAGCTTCCTGCATGGACCCAAGCCGGGTTAACATCCTCCCTTCAGGTATTGGCGATTTTTTACAAATTTAGCCAAATTAAGAGAACATATATTCTACGCTTAAAAGCATAGTAGGAATAACATACTTTGAATGATATGGACTTACTATACCCTCTCAGGGGGACAATAATTTTACACTACTTTAACCTCCTAGAGGATACAGCCACGAACAATCCAAGATATCAATTATATGAATAGTTAATTGTCATAATGGTGTTTTTATTAGGAAACGTGATAGCCAAGACGACTATATAGGAACGATGCTGCCTATTTATACAGGGTTCTACTGTAAAGCTTACGTTGAATGAGGTAGATATCCTTCCGATGTCAATTATTCCATTGAGCCACTTTTTAGCCTGGTTCCCGTGTCTCTCCCACAGTACGGTGTCTCTGTTGTCTGCCCGGGCTGCCACATTCAGTGTGCCAATACCTTGGAAAAAATGTTCAAACGTGGAACTTTATTGTGTTATTGACATCCGTTCTAATGCATACACAGGAAAATATACAGCTTTTCTTTCACAGCATAACCTTTTGAAAGAGGGGGACAAGTTAGAGATAACCAACTATACAACACCTAAAGGAGTTTATCCATGATAACTTGACCTATCTCAACACACCAACTTGTACATGCCATTCAAAGAAGTCCTTGTGCATAACATCAACTTGCAAATGTCATTATATGCAGCAACTATTTTGATTTAATTGGGAACCTTTATCTCCGTCTGGTCGGTGAAGTTGGAACGCCTCATCCTTAGGGATATTCATAGTTTTTCTTATATATGTCACATAAAACGAAAGAAATAAAAAATATGTAACCGCCAAAGGCAAAGAGATCTTCACTGACCAAGCATTGTGTGAACGTAAAGTAATTGTGTGAGGATGTCCACCCACCTGCTCCATACATGAAGTACCAGAAGGACATCTGACAGGTGGAACTGGAGGCACCCAGCTTGGGGCCAACCAACTCTGCTACACTGCTCCTTGTGCCGTAGCTTGCGTCAACATACAGGTACGTGCCTGCAACATCAAACAACACACGAACATTATTTCCATGGTGACCTAATGTGTCAGTAATTGAGGCTGGTGCCCAAACACCAATGGCTGAAACCATGAATAACGACCCAAGTACAATAACAGCCAATCAGCCAACTTGTAGAGCCTCACCAAAATATCGCCATTTTCGAAAGGGGGGGAACTAACTCCAGATGCCAAGCGATCAGCTGAACCTTTTTGTGTAAAATACTGCCTCCTCTACACAGTGACCTACACATATGTCAGGAAATATGTTATTTAACATCATGACGTACGTAGTAAGGTGTGTCTGTCAGATCAGAGGTAGGAAAAAATGTATGTAATTGCTTGAATCTGACCGCTTACCTTTAGGGCTGTTATAGGTGTGGTCAAAGCTGGGACCAGTGTTTGACGTCCTGGTTTCATTTTGTCCCAGGGTCCATTGGAAGCTTCCTTGACTATCATCTGTCCAAGTGCAGTAAGTGCCCTCAAATCCACAGTCACCTGAACAGAGGCAATAGTATAACCATAAGTCGCCCAGCATGTGTGAAGGTGATGTTCATGATTTTCTCAAGAAAGTCACAAATTGTCTTGGGTACTTTTGTCATAGCGTAGAATCAGTCCACATATCAAGTGAAAGGCTACTGACATGACATTGCTCGTCCCCGTTATTGTCTCCACTGTTTATATAGTTTATATTGCATTCTCAGATTCAGTATACAAGCCAAGCTATCTGTCAGGCGTTATTATATTTTTGAATTCAAATTACCAACAAATTCTACTCGGTACCCATGTACTGTTTGGTGAACAGAGAGAACATGATAGAAGATATACACCCTTGTTTCAATGTAGTGCAGCACAGAGCGATGACCACTCTCACGGGTCACGCACCCATCGTCACCTCTCCACCTTCTCTCTGTCGCAGCTCGTTCACTGATGCGTGCACAATACAGTGACAAAAAATCAATAATTTACAAACACCAAGAGAAAACCGATTTCAGTTGTTTCTTACCACACTGTAATTCGTCGTTTCCGTTTGGACAGTCACGGATGAAATTGCAAACGTTCGACAGAGGGACGCTTGTGTTGGCGGTGTCCTGGCAGAAGAAGGTGCCATTTGCCCCTTTTTGAGCTGCAACATATTTTATATAACATATGATATTTAAGTTTCAAGAAAATGTATCGTCGCCAAAACATAACATAATGATATGGTTTACTTCTTGTGACAGAACACTTGATATGATATATCATGATATGTGGATGCCTACATGATACCATAAAGTAAATACACAAACACATCTTATTATATATCAAGGGCTTCACACATTGTATAAACGTTGAAGTTGAACCAGGTCTTCATCGACAAGAGAACATGTTACCAACAAAGCTTTCAGTTGACCATAATGAAAAAAATAATATTCAACACCTCATGCCCCAAGTAACGTGTCGACATTGAAACATAGACGTTGGTGCTCTTGCGACGCTCACGTCTAACAATGTAATTCTTGTGACAGCTTCATTATGCTTATTTCAAATACATCTCAGGTATGCACAGATATATCTTAATATATTTTGTCCATAGTGTTAAAGTACACACCGCTGTCACAGGAGTCGGTGATAAGGTTAAGGTCGTCAATGGCGATGTCTCCCGTATAGCTGGAGCCCACAGATGCAGAAATATACAACTGGAAAAAAGTTGACATATCATCAGATATTGTTCAACATGTGCTGATGTGGAATTTAAAATCAGAGACCTGTCTATATTTACCTTTTTTTTTTAAGCTTATTGTGTTCGAAGATAAGATGTGATGCTAATTAGATCCCTGATTCTGACTGAGGAGAAAGCATGTAACTGTGTATCCTGTGCATTTTGTGCATGGGCAGTTGATGGTGAAAATCTTCAATTGTAGTGCACCTGCAAGAGCTTTATGATAAGTTAAGTATTTCTGTATAGTTAAAAATATATCTTCAAAATCGCATCGATCTGGCCAAAAAAAACCCCAAACTTACACTTTTGACTAATCCGTCACCAGGACGGACACAGACATACACTATGATCGCACATGCATAGTGAGGTCAAACCCAACTCATACGCTCACTTACAGCATAATATTTAAATCATTTCAATAACATTATGCGGTTTACCTCGAAGTTGTCATATGGGTTGTCTATCCTGGCAAAAGCTTGTTGCCACTTGTTGCCTTGGGCACCACTAAGCGACCAGATCATCTGAGGCTGAGACTGAGGGTACTGGAGGGAGACGTTGAGGCTGCCGATGGAGGCACCGTTCATGTCGTACCAGAAGCTGAGACAATAGTTAGGCACTGCACTGTTCATTGGGATGATCTGGGACTGGAGGGTGGCGATGTCGCCTGCCTTGTTTGGGGAACTGGATTCAATAAAGGCGTAGTAACCTGAAAAAAACGTGTATTGCTTTTAGCAACATTCCAGCTGTATGAGGGCGGGGGACACCAGGCATAGACTTTACACAGTGTACACGTCATATAGGTGGAATATGGCCTATTGTGGCGATAAACTACCAACAACAAACAGACAGTGTACCCATGGAGAGGAACGAATCTACGATAGTAGGCTACCCTGTCTGATACCCTGTTGATAGATGGTACATTATGCTCAAGTTTAATCAAACAAAAATCGTTCAGTGAATAGTGTTTAGCTCTCCCTTTCAGCGAAATAAATGTATGTCACCTTAAGCATTGAAGGTCCCCAACAAAGACGTTTAGTAACTTAGAAAGACACTGAGGCTGAGGGGAGCCTACCTGTGCTACTTCCGAGTGTGTGGTCAGTCATGGGTCCGGTAAAGGAGGACGGTGTGCTCCCCCGACGCCTTGTCCAGTCAAAATCATCTGACTTGGACTGCATCCAGCTGCAAAAACTGTTTTCGAAGTCGCAGGAGGCAACGGAGGCGCAGGAAGCGCTGGACACGCTGATGTCGTCAAGGGCAATGAAAGTTCCTGTGCCACTGCCCTGAATTGCCTCAAACACGAGCTGAAATACGTAAACATGCAGTAAATATGACAGAGTGAGTGAGTATGGTTTTACGCGCCATTTAGCAATACTCCAGCAACATCACGGCGGGTGACACCAGAAATGGGCTTCACACATTGTACCCATGTCGGGAATCAAACCTGGGTGTTCGGCGTGCCGAGTGAACGCTTTAACCACTAGGCCGCCCAGTAAATATAACAACAATTATTGATACTTTATTATGTCATTCAGGAACTTTTGTAATTTCAGAGCTAGTTTGGCTTGGTTTCAATAGCGTCACCATTTCAATACAGGCTCATCGAGGAAGGGTAACAGATGAATGTAGATTCTACAAGGTCACACTTCACAAATTGGAGCAAACATAAAAACTACTGGGTCAGCCAAACATGTTTTAGATCGGAATATGATTACTTCCTAATCAATTTATGTGAACAATCCTATTTCAAATGACTTGATATAAACAATATGCACCCAGGGGTGCTCTTAAATGAGTGACATTGTTTTATGACAGTATTTTAGTGATATCACGTTGTGTCAGAGTAATGGGTTTCAATTCATCATCGTATGAAGTCCAGCTCTGTTGTCCCGAACCTGAAATTGCTGGAATCTTGATAAAACCGGCATAAAAACCACTCTTCACTCTCTCACTCATATCAAAAACAACTTACTCAGAACTCAATAGGCAAACTGTGTCCCATCCCTCTGTGTAATTAGTCATCTATCTATGTCTAACCTGGTATTTCTCTTGTGCAGTGACATCAATCCTAGCAAGCTTCCACCTGTTGCCCTGGTCTCCGTACAGACTCCACTTGGGCTTGGCCAGGGTCTTGTCGCTCTCCTGCTTGGCGTACAGGTTGAAGGTACCGCCATTACGACCACTCATGATATACCAGAATGAGACGCACTGGCCATTGGGTGGTGGAGGGTACTGCTTGCTGTACATCTGGGCCTTCGTTACTTTCATTGTGGCAGGATTGGGGGAGATATACATATAATGCCCTGAAATGAGATGAATTGAATGGGTAACGATGTGTCCCATGACACCTTCAACCATTGCAACAACCCCAGTCCCCCTAAGTCGGCTTTTACGCCAATATATCAGGACGCTATACCACCTTGGAGGTCTTCACAGGAGTAGGGATATGGCCAAGTGAACTTCAATAGATATCAATAGCATGGTTGGGGCATGACGGCACGCGAAAATCCAGGTCACACATAGTAACCACCCATCTCTGTTTGCGTCGTCTCTGAAGACACGTGTTGGTCAATGGGCACACTGTAATCCAAATTTCTTAACATGACATTATCTACGACCGATTTGGCGACAGGGTCTTGTGCATAACCATAGCTGACTAATGGAAATACTGTTGTCCATAACATTACAATTGGCTATGTATGGCATAAATGGTTAGCCACATAGCGACTGGTTGATTATCATTATTATCGCAAGAACACTTTAATTAAAGATAACCTTGGCTTGTTCCATATGTGTGGTCTTTGACTGGTCCAGTCCCTTGTGTTCTTGACCAATCAGTGCTGGTCAGGGTGTAGCCGCACAGTTTAATGTCTTCGAAGTCACAGTATGCTAAAACATAGTATGTGTTATGGTAATTTCTACTTCAATGTGTATCTTATTAGCACAACGTGTAAGTTACATCACTGTGTGCCAGTGGAAGCAGGCCTTAAGTGCATCAGGTCATAGACGTTTACCAAGTGGTGTAACCTACGAGATGTGGTATGGTGACAACTGTGCCTCTTTTGAACAGTATTGCAGTTATATCGCAGGTCTTTTAAACAGTTTGGTTACAAAATGACAGGAACTGGTATACAGAGTGTCAGGAACAAGAAGTTGGTTTTGTCTATTACGTATAAACATACATGGCGCAGGACAGGCTCCGTTGAGAATCTTGAGGTCATCTAAGGCAATATCTCCTTGGTAGCCGATACCACGCAGGGCTTGAAACACAACCTGGAATATGCAATAGAAAATACAAAAATGGGTGTCAATGCGTTTGGGTTAAAGCTGCTTTGAACAGAATTTACGACATATCACAGGTGTCAAATTGATGTGTGAGGAAAGCTAGAGGTGATGGAAGGCTTTACCGTTTTGGTGAAATCCACGTGCACGGGTATACATATATTCAGGGCATAGCGAGATTTGAATCCTTGATCATAGGTTTCTCGCGAGCCCAAGGGACGCAACACTGCACAGAGACGGCTTGGCCACAAAGGACCCTTCCTTCTCAAGTGGATATTAGTAAATTTACAGATTAAGAATATAAGAATATTTATCAATCAATTTATCAATGCAAAAAATCGGGTCGGTCAAAAGGAGGAAATGAATGGAACCACTACAACTCCACAATGTATCAACTCTATGAAATCAACTTAAAATAACGAGTTAAATGAATCTAAGGGACGAGCTAACATAATCAGTGCTGTATGCATATTGAACAAGTGTAATGTTGACCCACCTGGGTATTAATGACTGCTCCTATTTCCACCTCAGCATATTTCCACTGATTTCCCTGGGTACCGATTTTGGTCCACTGTTGTTGAAACTTGCCGGTGCTCTGCAGATAGACTCCAAGACGGTTGACATGGTAACCGTACATGTGGTACCAGAACGTGACGCACGTCGGACCTGTTGTTGTGAACGTTGGGCTTACAAAGGCGGCTGATGCGTTTGGCTGCTTCCCCGACGCTTCGATGTAGATGTAGTGGCCTAAATAATATGAGGGTAAAATAAGTTTGAACATGTGGGTGTGCCATTCCACCCTAGGACATCTTAAACAAAAGGAAATTTGATACAAGAAACCGTCATTATTCGGATCTATGAACCAGTTCTTAAGTCAGTGAGAATTAACTGTTTGCACCAATACCTGTTCTCCCCTACCAGATCAAGGAGCAGTAGGATTGGACAAAAGTCCAGCGTTATCAGAGGACAATACTTCTGAAGGAGCATGAGACGGTTTCTTTAAATGGTATTTGATGAACTCTTACGAGGTACCTGGTGTTTCAGGTCTGTATGATGCCACTGTAATACTACGTTTGCAATGAAGTATTACAGACACTCAGTTTTATTGTATATGCACTACTCACATATTGGATGTACACTGAATATAACAAAGATGGATAAAGCGAAATGTTGGTTATGACAAAACACACTATAATCCCAAAATAGTGATAATACACATTACTGTCTATGTGAGCAGTATATGTTGGATAGATCGAATTGGTCTTAAAAGTCCTTTGGACCTGAAAGTACACGTTACAGCAATCCATACGCATTAGGGGCTACCTTGTGTGCTCATCGTTGTGTGGTCAAAGCTTGGTCCAGTTCCTACACTTCCGGTGGAGCCTTGGTGGAGCGTCCAGTCGAATGAGTCAGTGTAACTTTGCGACCATCCACAAGAGCCATGCTCGAAGTCGCAGCTGTAAAGTGGAGCTGCAAACAGAACAGCTGTTGTATAGGGATTCCCTGTCAATGGAGTATTCTCTCCAAAGGTTCAACAACAATTATTGACCCAAAATAATGACATTCCGAAGCTCTTGGGACCATAGATTCGAGTTATCATGTTTTTGAGATTACAATAATGGACCATAGTGCCCATTAGGTTTCTGCTAAAGGTGGTTTTATTTACAATATTATGAACACGTCTTAAACCTATGTTGTTCTCACCACACATCTCATGCCCGCATCAGAGTCAAGTACGGGCGAGACGAGTATTATTCATGTTATTATTAGTAATTATTAATTGTTAATGGTACCATTGTCTCTTCATCTCATTGACATTGTACCATACTTTACAAATGTCTTATTGAAATCAAAAACCTTATTATGATTGTCTGAAATTAATTCAGTTAACCTCATTTTTTATCTAGTAAAGAATAATCAATTTCGCTGGACACGCAGCGTGTCCTGAAAAAAAACTTGTCAAAAAAGATATTGGCCACTTCTTTTAGAAATAAATATGCTTTTTGCAGACCAAAACAGTTGACCAATCCGTCCCAATCCACCCCACCTCTAGTCTATTAAAGTGTCAATGCCTGACGGGATCTCGCTCTATAAGCAGCAGTCTGGCCTCTCACCTGTGGTGGACACAGGCTGGACTGTCGAGGGTCCTGGTGTCGTCTGAGAGGCACAATTTCCGACTAGCAGGCTGACGTCGTCAATGGCCATGTCGCTTGTGTAGTTTACTCCCTTTTTGCCCTCAAACATGAACCGATAGGGAGTGTTTGAGGTGAGAGTTACCCGATCTTGCAGCCAGACATTGCCTTTGTTCCCAGTGACACTGAAGATGGTCTTGTTTGACAACGTGCCCAGTTGGTACACGGATAAAGTTCCCATACCTTGAAAACAGATGGTACATGAAGAGTACACGGTAAGACTTGAAGTGTTCACTTAAGTCGTTTGTGTGAGTATAGTGATCTGCAGGCACATACATAAATGCTCAGATGCGTGAGTGGTCCGTAAATATGCTAACTTGATAGTATCTGCTGGTATATTTATATTATTTGAGGAAATGACATTGATATTTCATATCTGGTGTATAATGTTGACATCTCAACATGTTTGAAGGTCTGTCAGTAGTATTGCATTATGCAGTCAGTAAGAGAAAACACGACTGTACATGCCTGCTCCGTTCATGTTGTAGTAGAAAGTGAGACAAGAGCCTGTTGTAGCTGGCAACTTCTCACTAAGAAGCCACGCCTTTTCACCCGTCACCATTGGGGAACTGGATTCAATGAACATGTAGTAGCCTGAAAATAATGATGTGTTAATAATGAGGGTAGTTTGCCAGGTGGTGATCCTGGGTAGAGTACTCCCAGTGTCTGAAGTAATTTTAAGACATAGAATATCGGATATGGATCTGATATACTTCACGTAATAGATAGGGCAAATCATGAATACCGACTCACAGCTGTGTAAAAGGACTGAAAAGCTTACTCAAAGTGTGTTTTATGTTGTTTAACGCCGCTGTCAGCAATATTCCACCTACATGACAGACGGCTGTAAATAATCGGGCCTTGACTAGATAATCTAGTGATTGATACAATGTCAGCCATGCCATCTTACGATCATCATATGTTGCTGGAGAGCAGTTCTAACCAGAATCCTCAAAGGGTTGTCGGAATGTAAAGTGATATGGGGACCCAAGGGAAAAAACATTCCTCTAACATCAGATATATAAATGAAATAGTTGTGTGGAAAGTCGTACTCTCACCATTCACAGAGTGTGTGGTGTGGTCAGTGGAAGGACCGGTATAATACGATTGGGTAGCACCCTTAGCACGTGTCCAATCAAAATCATCCCCTTGAATATTTGTAAAGGCACAGAGTCCAGTTTCAAAGTCACAAGAGCCAGGCGTCGGACATGCCGCATTGTCGATGTAGATGTCGTCGAGACCAATGTCGCTGTAGTAGCTGCTTCCTCGAACACCTTCGAACACCACCTTTGTAAGCAAACAAAAAAGTAATGTGTACTCGGATATAAGTATTTCTGGAACAATATGTATTTGGTCTGGGTGATCTTCATATCTTAAACCCTTAACATCTGGCGGCATGGATCGTCATGGGCCTACGTATTACAAGTCACCGTGCAGAGTTGCACCCCCTACATGTACCAGGCTGCTATAATCATGGGTTTAAATTCAAGACCCACTCCAAATATGATCATTGAGCTGTCATCAGCGTACCTGAGCTTCTGGATTTAAACACAGTTGTAAACACTAACACCATATGTGTCACGTTTGGTTTTGTTCCCATATTGAGCCAGGGGACATGATACACATGTAACTAATAGACTTTTAATCCAGACAGTAATAAACATATGAAAAAAGTTCTCTCAAAATAGAAAGGCACTTGGCATTATTTATGATTCAATGAATGAAAGAGAACTGCTTTGTCAACAGGTGCCCATTTATCGTAGTTTGTGATCCAAGTAATAAAACATGTTGTTTACCTGATATTTAGTGGATGCCTTGACGGTCACTTCTCCAAGAATCCACTTGTTTCCCTGTTCACCACTCCGTGTCCACACGGGGCTGCCCCTGTTGCCGTTGACAGAGACGTAGACGTTGAGGCTGCCCATGGTGTTGCCGTGCATATGGTAGTAGAACTGCAGGCACTCTGCGGATGTCTGCTGGTATGCTGGGGAGACCATTCTTGCCTTGTCGTGTGGTAAGCGTGGAGCTGAGGCCTCAATATACATGTAGTAACCTGAAATATATTGTTTATTTCCATCTTAACTTTGACATGTAATGCTTAAAATCACACTTTTTCAAGGTCCGATATGGTTTGGGATAATGTTATGGATATTTTGTTCTCGCGACTTTGCAAATTTGCTCTTTGATAAACTGAAAGGTTGAAAGTGCAGATTGCCATTGGATCAGAATGTGACTTTAGAATGTAGGAAGTGTCTGATGTTTATAGACGGTTTTAGGTGAAAAAAATCAAACAAATATATGTCCTTCATAGTATAGATATAATTTTTGATCATGTGTCATATAAAAATATGCAAAAAACAAACAAAAACAAAACACTTTTCCAGTCTTTGTTTATACCTTTGTAACAATCACTATATCCTTATGGTTATGAGAAACATGTACGTAGATATAAAATCTCTCCAATCCCTACCATATTGATGTGGTACATGTATCCTGCCTTTATTCACGCATTCAGGCGTATCACATGGAGAAGATATCCTAAATAAGTTTGGATAACACGTGTACATATAAAAGTTACTTATTCCATTTTTGTCGATTCATAATGTTTGAATCTCTTATAACGTTTCAACATCTAAATAACATCATATTCCTACCACCAGCTGTTCCTTCCGTGTGATCTACGCTCGGCCCTGTTGCAAAACTCGTCGTTCCCTGTGAATGTCTCAGCCAATCAAAGTTGTCCGTTTTATCTTGTGTATAGCCGCAGGTGTCAATCTCAAAGTCGCACAGTTCTGTAGTAAAGAACTTCATTGACGAAACCATCAAAGTAAAATAATTAAAATTTTCGTTACGTTCATTGAAATTCCTGCATTCTGATTAGCTGAATTGGTCAGTGTCGTGTTATTGCATTCACTTCCCAATGAATGTAAAAAATTAAGCCACGCCCGCCGAGGGGCACTACTTTATTACTGTGGAATGTCTGGGAATCCCAATATTACAGTCGAGGGTAATCCCTTCTGCTCACGTGTATTGTCATGCACAGGACATTTAGCGACATATATTCATTGTCCAAACTACTCTTTGAAACCGAAGGCCGAGAAGGAATGAAATGGCAAACGTGCATGCTCGGTCGCCTGTTTTTTTCCCGCTCACCTCGGTTCCACAACTTTCATGTCTTCGGGTTTCATTCCTACCAAGCATTTTTCCAAGTGTGTTTTCTAGTTTTCAGGGAAGTAATGTTTGAATCTGGTGGTAACTGACCATATGTTTTGAAACCACCGCTTTCTCCCGGACATGTTTCTTCCGGTATGTTACAGTCTGACTTGCAGATCTTCTCGCCTCTTGCCTTGATTGACAGGTTCTATGAACATTGTTTTGATCCTACTCTTCGTTGTTTGGTTACTGACTGGTGTAGGCGTGTCAAGTTATGTGCACAGATTAAACAATCACCTGATTCATAACACGCCACAGTATGTATTCCTACACCTGGAATGTTTATCAATCTCGTTATTTTTGTCTTCTTTGATATATACAACTGTTTTTGGTTTAACTATAGTTGATAAACATATTTTCATTGTCGAATTTAATTATAAGCATTGACTGTGTATTTTTTCGGTTCATTGAGGTGTGAATCGAAAAACTGATGTGCAAACTGTATGAATCCGCATATGAACCTCCTTTCATTGAGGTTCATACCTTAATGAACCGAAAAAATACACAGTCAATCCTTAATTGAATATCTATTTCAAAAGTACAAAAGAATTATATCTGTGTAGCCTTGGTTTATGATCAAACCGCACTACAACTCCATATTACTTGACGTTTCAACAATTACTATCGTGATTCACGCTAATTCTTACTTGTTCCAGGGCAGGCGTTGGCAGCCATGCTGAGATCATCAATAGCGATGTCACCGAAGACTCCATTCGCCACTGTTCCTTCAATAAAGATCTGAAACAAGGAATAGTTATTCAACTGTCACCTGCCGGTAACAAAACATTACGCATGTGTAGATCGTTGGCACACTGTCCATATCAAGAAGACATTATTTCCCCTAAAAGGTAACAGAGCTACAGGTAATTTGATCCCTGTGATATTTCAACAATGTGGTGTATCACCACGAACGGATACTAGGTCAAACATTATCATAAAGACAGTTGGCTGAGAGTGTTAACTTCCAACAGAAGACATAGCATTGTAGGCCAAAAATGGGTCGTTGCTTCCTTCCTTTGATTCCTGTGAAATTTCATCTATATGATGCAATAATACAAACTGGCAATTATTATCCTAAATCCGAAAAACGAACCAAATTAATATTGAAAGCTTGAGATCAAATGCCGACAAGCGTAAATAGGGTTAAACGTATACCAAAATATACACAAATCTTCGAAAGATACCTGGAAATTGGTTTTGCTGATAATGTTAAAATGTCCTTGTTGCCATCTGTTTCCTTGTGTACCGGACTTGGTCCACTTCAACAGCTGTTGTCCACCGATGTTTACCCGAATATTGAGGGCGCCGATGTTTGGTCCATACATGTGGTACCAGAAATTAAAGCAGTAGTAGGTGGTGCCAGTTGGGGGCAACACTGGGGACACCAGCACAGCCTTGTCGCCAGGCTTCCTTGGGTAGGATGACTCCAGGTAAAGGTAAGACCCTAAAGGTATGAAAATTTAATTTGTTTGTTAACTTGTTTGTTTCTTGTTTAACAGTGCAGTATTCCAGGGACATGGCAGCGGTCTGCAGATAATTGAGTCTGGACCAGCCAATGTAGTGACTGACATCAGCCTGACGACCCAATCCCTTTAGTCGACTCTTACGACAAGCATTGATTGCTGAAAATCAATGCTATCTCTATCCATGCTGAAACATGTATATTCTGTCAGAAGGAGTATACACACAGATGTGTGAGTTTTACCATAGCTATGATTAATATTTCTGAATTAGTTCTCACTGTAGTCCAGCATCATCTGCGAGTAAGGTACAACGTAAAGTGGTTACTTCACATTTATCACGTTGGTAAAATCAACGAGTACCATATTAGCGCTTCATTCGAATGATAATAGTTGCGGTAAATATAGGATTTGAACCCATGACCAGTGGGTATCTTAACGGCAGTATTGCAAGGTCATTGTGGTACCTTCGACTTATGTTCTCACAAATGCACTCAAAAACGTTTATATAGCATGATCCTTGAATAGTTTTACACCATTGTTGATATCGTGAAAACAGAGTCTGACCCATTCCAGAATGGTCGCCGATAGGTCCAGTGCCTGAAGATGGTGTATGTCCAGAGTTGAGTGTCCAGTTGAAGTTGTCCGCTAAACTCTGGGTCCAGCTGCAGATGTTGTTTGAGTCAAAGCCGCACATTGCACTGCCTGAGACTGAAACACATGATGGGTATTCTTAGAGGCTCCAATCAGCGCAAGGGAAACATTTATTTATAAGCATGACATTGTGTTTTGATTTTAATCATCATAATCAGTTTTTGAAATGGTGTATAATAAAGTATTTAAACTAAAAGCAAGAATCAGAGGCTTTTTCCGTCTCGTCGAATTTTAGTGAAAGTTGATAGCATCTGTTCTTCAAACATATTGTCGGAAATGGTACGAGGAAGAAAATCATTTGTAGGATAAGAAAGAATATAAGAAAAAGTCCTAAGTATAATTCAAAACGTGCATTTACCTTGGCTTGATGGTGGTGCATAGCTCGGCACAGTCTGGCATGGGGATTTGGTAACGCTGATATCATCCAAGCCAATGTCGCCATGGTAACCTTTCCCTCTTACTCCCTCGATGATTATCTAGATGAATTGTTACAAAATGTAGTTGACTGCGCATAGTCCGACATACTAAGGTCGGGCATAAAAATATATATTACCAGTTGTTTTGAAAGATGTTTTGGAACTCTGCCATCAGGATTTATAAAGCTGAACTTAAACATAATACCTTTGTATCACTCACCAACTCTCACACCACACTGAATAGCTGAACATGTGAAACACCCCAGCCACACACACACACACACACACACATACAAACTGAAACTCTGGATCCTTGTCGACGATGATCGAGGTGGTGATATATACCTGATAGGGTTTACTGGTGTAGATCTTGGAGATGTTCACTTGTCCGTTGTTCCATTGATCGCCAGAGTCGCCGCTCACCTCCCACAAAGTCGCCTCGGTGCTTGTTGAGTCGTGACTGCTGTTGACCAACACTTTCACTCTGAGCGTGCCAATGTCCGAGCCGTACATGTGATACCAAAACTGCATACACGCGCCGCCAGTGACCGGAGGATAGGTCTACAACCAGATACACCAATCATACAAGGCGTAATTTAGTTAAGGAATTCACTAACCAACAAACTCGTTGACGATATTGATGTTGATCTTGACGTTCAGTGTGTGTCAACGTCATCAACGGATCATTAATATCGCGTGAGTAGAATTGCATACATTTAACATTTGATTTAATTCGAGCGTGCTGACAGTTAAGGACCCTTGGTTATTCAGAGAGGCGGGGGGGGGGGGGGGGGGGGGGGGGGGGTGATACAAAAACATCAATCTTTCATATGACATGCTGGATCTTTCATAGGACCCTTGGTTATTCAGAGAGGCGGGGGGGGGGGGGGGGGGGGGGGGGGGGGTGATACAAAAACATCAATCTTTCATATGACATGCTGGATATTCTGAAAAATAATGCATTGTGGGTTAAAACAATTGCTTGCCTCCTCCTTTCCGTTTTCGTTTTGTTTATTTGTTGTTTAACGCCACACTCAGCAATATTCCAGCTATATGACAGCGGTCGGTAATAATCGAGAGATTGACATCATGAGCATCGGTCCACGCAATTAGCATTGGATGACATGTATCAACCAAGTCAGCGATCCCGTTAGTCGCCTCTTATGACAAGGATAGTCACCTCCTTTCCGAGTAACATTGTATGATGTTACAGCTACTAATGCTGAAGACACAGTCCTCATGACAACAAATATACAGGACTTGATAACCATGTTAGAATCTATTCATAAGTATTGTGATAGATGGAGGCTTTAGGTTAATGTTTTAAAAACAAAAGTAATGGATTTTGGAGGGAAAATCGTGATTATAACTATATTTTGGAAAATGTTGGGTCCTACAAATACCTAGGCATCACCCTGCAGAAGAATTCTAAATTAATCATTACAAAACAAAATCTGTTAGAGCAAGCAGCCCAATCAATGTATTATGTTTTGGCCCAAGGACGTAAATTTAGTCTGTCAGTTGGTTGCCAATTGCGACTTTTCGATAGTATGGTCTTACCGATTCTGCCATATGGATGTGAAGCGTGCGGCTCGAAACTTTATCTTATATAGAACATGTCCAGCTACCTTTCCAAAAACATTTAACATCACTTAGGACCAGTACCCCAAATTATATATGGTTTATTGTAAACTTCTGTAATATATGTAGTTAAGATCAGAATGGTTTCTTTATGGGCAAAACTCTTATCCAGAAAATCATCAAAATTTTCTTTACTCATCAACAAGCGATTTTATATGGATAACTAATTTGAAAGACGGAAAAATAAATGGATAACCTTTTCAAAACAAATCTTTGATGATCTTAGCCTTAGTTTCATTTGGCAATCACAAAGTTTTCAGTCAAAATCATCTTAAAAATATGGTTAAGAACATATTAAATGATATCAATTTCCAATAGTGGAAAGCCACTCCAGATACATCTTCGAAAGAAGCCAAGTATACCAGAGTTAAAAAATGAATCTCTGAATTTCGAACATTATTTTAAAACAAAAGTAAGTATTTGGCGAGACTTGTTAAAATTTAGAACCTCCAATCACAATCTCGAGCTCCCAGTTGAAACTTGGAGATGGAAGGAAGAAAGATACCTTTAACTGAAAGAAAATGTCCATTTACTAAATCATTTGATTAAGGTGATGAGTTCCACTATCGCTTTATCTGTCCACTATTTTCAATTGAGAGAAAACAGCTAATTAGAAAATATTTTTACATTTCCCAAAATGTGTACAAAATGAATTCGCTTTAAAATAGTAAAAGAATAGGAACACCAAGAAAACTATCCATTTTCTTTGTAAAATGACAATGCTGCTATTTAACTCTATCAATATGTCTCGTAACTGAACCTTGTCCTGTATCCTTATTTACTGTAGCCACTGCTCGGGAAATCGGTTGATATATATTGTATATTTGTATATTTGTATATAGGGAAGTTTATGTTGATGTATCAATGCTGTACCTCTAATGGCGCTGACAGCGGCCAGAGTGTAATAAAGTTAAGTTCAGTTCAGTAAAAGTGATGACCAAAAGAATAATCTGTCTCAAACAAAAATGCTAGCCTCTCCACCCCAGAATATCGAATCGTCGGTCCCTAAGAAATAGTACTTAATTTACTTAATTTCATCTGGAAGAGCTTTCACCAAACCATTGTTTTACACACAATCACCAGTGTTGTTGAACTTGAAGTTGATTCAGGTAAGTCAATAGATCATATATTGTGTGTGCTTCTATGGCTCACCTGGCTCATGAGACGCGCCCGGTCTCCAGGAAGTCGAGGTGAACTGGCCTCCATGAACATGTAGTAACCGGCGCCACTGCTAAGAGTGTGGTCAACGCTGGGACCGGTCATACTGCTAGTTGTCCTACCCTTTGACCGCATCCAATCAAAATTGTCGTTATAACGAGTGTTGGACCAAGTGCACATGTCTTGCTCGAAGTCGCAGAATCCTGTGATTTTGGAAAGTAAGCTTGGTTATCTATATGATTATTTGATGGGTGAGTGAGTGACTGAGTGGGCGTAATGCTGTTTAAAAATATTTCAGTTATATCACCATGTTTCACCTTTATGTTGAAAGAGGGATGATATAGATGTTCACTGTTTCGTTGATTCTAAGAGCACTGTGATTGTGCTAATATAAACGACCAAGGATCACCACCGTGGCAAATCTTGACTCAAACGAGAACAGCGGATCATGTTAGAGACTCAACACTTCATATGTCCGCCTCTTTACTTCCCCCTATCACAACAGTTCTTTGTTATATGCAACTTTCGTGCCACGTGTAAGTTGTTGATATATATTGAGAAAAAATGGATGATTTTCTTGAAGGAAATAGAAGAATTTTCAGAAATGTTACTTCCTACTTAAAATATGAAGAATGAATACTTAATTTTGGACACAAGTAATACCTGAGGTTTAACCTACCTGATTTAGGGCATGCTCCCTGACCAACCAAAACATCGTCCAGGGCAATGTCACCCAGGAAGCTTGTACCAACTATGCCTTCAAAGACGACCTAGGATAGGAAGAATAATAAACCACAGAGAGTAAGGTAAATAGCTCTCTGTTTGCAGTACATCTATTTATCTACCTACATTATACCAAGTAATGGAGTCTGGACAAGATGAACCAGTCGTAAACTTCATGAGCACCGATCACGGAAAGACAAACAGACAGATCACACATCAGTCAATCCATAAGTCTGGTCCACTTCAGTTATCTCTTTAAAAGAACAACCAATTTGAAAGCATATGTTTAAATTTCCCCCTCTAAACACCTTTAAATCCACTCTGGTGTCGTCGTCTTACACCGCTGAATATGTGTCAAAGAGGCATAAAATAATTCTCACTCACCTTGAAATTTCCAGGCGTGTAGACAGGAACCAATGCCTTCAACCATCTGTTGCCTTGATTATACGACCTAGTCCATGATGGATTAGTTAAGTTGTTGGTTGGGTTATTTTCCGGAATACTATACACATTAAAGGTGCCGATATTGCTTCCGTACATATGGTAGAAGAACTGCACGCAGCGTGGCTGACCGTTGGTAGATGTGTAGGTGGGGCTGATCAGACGTGCTGTGTCGTTGGGACGTCGCGGTGCAGAGGTTTCGATGTAGACGTAGTGTCCATAATGTGTGCCAGTCGTGTGGTCTGTCGTGGGACCTGTCCCGGAGCTGGAGGTAGACCCATGTTGCCAGGTCCAGTCAAACACGTCTGTCTTGTCCCGAGTGTAGCCACACACAGTTGCTGATTCGAAGTTGCATGAGTGGCTTGAGGCTGTCGGATCATAAGTATTGGTGGGTAGATTTGATAGCTCCTCTATCATGTTATGGTTATGGTTTCCAGATGAATTGTATACATCAATGTCAACAGTTTAGAAAACCCGATGGACTTAATCAAATTAAAGAAAATCAACCCAAGAAACGTGTAAACACATTTAAGTGAAAGTGTACTTTCAGTGTTGATTTTGTAGTTTATATTTACCTGAGTTTCAGATGTGCAACTTGCGTCACCTACTTTAGAACGTGGTTTTAATTAACTTCAGTTTACCCAACTGAATCAATGATCATCCCGCTATCATAGTTACCTATTGATTGGCATGGTCCCATAGCAGCTCTGATGTCATCGATGGCAATGTCCCCCTTGAAATTTAGTCCTCTGACACCCTCAAACAGTATCTACAAAAACACATTGAGCTGTACTTACAAACCAAAACAGGGGATCCATATAGGGTATCTACTATTTACGCCAAGTAGGAACACAAGGAATGTAGGTGGGTAGGTAGGTAGGTAGGTAACTTGTTACCGTCCTGGACGAACTCTTTCATCCCTCGTAAGGCGCTTGTGTTTACTGCAAGACATTGCTTCTCATCAAAATACACAGAGGATTACCTGGTAGTTTCCACTGGGTATGACGGTGACATCAGCATGGTTCCACTGATTGCCCTGAGTTCCGTACCGAGTCCAGATGAGCGTTCCCTTCCCTGAACCTCCCGTGGATGGTTTCATATAAACATTGAGCGTATTAACATCCGGGCCATACATACTGAACCAGAAACTGATGCATCTGGTAGGCCCGGCCTGGATCACCGGACTGACAAGAAGGGCAGTGTCGTTTGGCTTCCTTGGACTTGATGTTTCGATGAACATGTACCATCCTTGTCCTGAATCAGAAAATATTCTCAGTTTTTATTCTTTGTAAGTTTGGAAGGTTCAGGAATGTTATTTGCCTCTACTGGTATGGCAGACATACCGGTTATTGTATTTTCTACATGTGTGGCAACAGCATATAAGAGTGATAGAGCGAGTTTGGTGAAAAGTTGTTAAGAAACAATGTAAATCCTTCTGGTGCTGACAAACCAAGGATCATAATGAGCCCGAATTTGGGACTCGAATGTACATGGATTGAATGCTGAGACAGAAAACACTTAATGAATGTAGTTTCTTTAAACGACTTGGCCTCCCTGGGAATCTCCACATAAGCTGTAAACACTCCATGTTTGTTGATGATCGGACAAGACTCCAAACAAGTCTAAGTGGAAAGGACAGGGACCTACCAGTGCCTTTGGTGTGATCGTTAGTGGGTCCAGTTTCCAGTGACCCTGTGGGACCTTGGGACCTGGTCCAGTTGAAGTCGTCAGTCATGGACTGAGTCCACATACATGTGCCAGATTCAAAGTTGCAGTCGTATTGAGTGGGTGCTGCAACAAAACGTAATACAAGGTACATGTATCTCAGTTTCACCTATTCTGGTGCATTTAACTTGCAACAAATGGGATTAATGACAGACTTTGTGCCTTTGATATGCTTTCTGACACTCTCATGTACCATTCAACATGTTTTCGACAAATGGTGATTCCGTTTGGTTTAGAGCCGATTACAAATCTCATGTAAATCTCAAATTGTAGAGTTGTTGCCGTTTGTGAGAGACTATGCCTGAGTACGTGTTTATTGAGTGATCCTAACCCTGGAAACAACGGACCATGTTAGCTGAGGGACGCAACTCGGAATATAGAACACAGCTAGTTGCTTAGACTTAGACTTTAACTTACTGGGTGTTGAGAAATGTGATGTTGGACTAGGTGGCACTGTGGACGTTGTCGACTGCAAGCTGGGGTTGGCTGTAGTTGGTTGAACTGCAACAGCAAAGTTAACATTATCATCATGGGCAGGTCAACAAATATAACAATATTATATTTATTACTCACCATATAAACTCCGGTACTTTCTTTTCGTAATTTCACCATGATCATTTAAATGATAATAATCAATAATCAACATCATATTGATTTTAACATCAATGCAATGAATACGGCAAAGCGTCATCGGAATATACAGAATAAGCATCATTTCCAAAGTTCTCAAGGTGACACAGCATGCTTACTGGCACAGTTGTCGTTAGTGAAGCTGACGTCGTCGACAGCAATGTCGCCTGTGTAGCTGCTCCCAACAATGCCCTCGAGTTGAATCTAAAATGCAATAAAGGGTAACATGTGACCTTTGGTGATTAAGAAAATCAAGGCTTCACAAGGTATTCATATCTCATTGTTACAGTAAACCAGAGCAGAATATGTTAAACGTCTGACGTGGGTAACTTGTTCATTTGTTTTTCCGAAGATTAAACGTCTACGATTTGCGAAAATTATTTGTATGTGTTTCCAAAGATAAAACGTCGACAATGTGCAAAACTTGTTTGTATGTTTTTTCCGAAGATTAAAGTGTAACTTGTTCACATGTGTTTTCATAGGTTAAACTCTACGACATGCATATCTTGTTTGCTTGTGTTTCCAAAGATTAAACATCTACGACATGCGTAACTTACTCGTAAGTGTTTCCTAAGATTAAGCGTTGATGTTGTCAGTAAAGTTTTCCCATGTGCTTCCAAAGATTAGACGTTTGCAACGTCAGTAACTAATCTGTATGTGATTCAAAAGATTAAACGTCTTTCCTCTCTGGTGACCCAAATGTTGCTCAAAGCGGACGAAATCCAACTCATTCACTCACGTTTACCGATAGTTTTATTTGTACCTTGTATGTGCCAGTTGGGCTTTTGATTCCAAACTGCCCGAAGTGCCAGAAATCTTTTTGGTTTCCGCTGAGTGACCACATCAAGACCTTGTTGTTCCCTGACACTTTGTACACATTGAGGGTCCCAATTCCACTGCCTAGCATGTGGTACCAGAACTTGAAGCACCGGAGAGCAGTGGAAGGGAAGACCTGACTCTCAAGGAGCGCATTATCACCTGGACGACGGGGGCTGGATGATTCGATATAGGCGTACTGACCTACAAACACCAAGAACAATCTTAAAGAGCGACTATTCTCTTCCACTGGATTTCATTTCCAGTCCAGCTGTAATGAGTGTCTTTTGTCAAACTTAGGCTCATCATCAGCTCAGGGCCCTTGCCCCTCTACATGCAGCTCAGACAGCGAATGGGACTTCTCTCTACACGCACCTCAGACAGTGCTGCCTACTCAAACCCACGTTGACTCACCAACACTGCAGCCTTCTGCATTACCCAGATTGTCAGAAGGGCTGTATCCCTGGTAGCAAACCCGCGTACTCTCCCAATGTCAGTCAACAGTTTTGGAGGTACCAAACCTAATGCACCGAGAACAACGGGGAGTCGGACAACTTGGTACTTGGGATGCAAGAAAATTGAATAATATAAACGATTTCATTGGATTTATCAAAAAGGACAAGATCAGGTTTGTTGGCCTTGATACGTCTAAGGCTGTAAATGGGCCTACTCCAAAGAACTTTGTATCTATAATTTTCCATGACGCCCTCTACATATTCCGGGTCGTACCATGGGTGGGACCTCTGTGTCAAAACCACAAGCATGGCGAAGAGGGTAATAAAATGATCGAGCTACACCATCATGTCGTTTCAGATACTGTGTTTGTGCCAAAGCTGGGCACTGTATTGGACAGTCTCATTAAATTCATTACATGATCTACATTTCATATTTTGATTTTGATGCAAAATCACATAATGACGGTTTCGAGTGGTAAATGGCTGGTCCTGAGCAGCGAACAGAAAGCCTTCAGTTTCACTTTTCAGGCCAGACGACCTCATCCAAGCGAAGGAATCTGCAGGATTGCTGATCTTCTCAACACACTGCACATAAACTTGATGCAGTCTATCGTTCAGAAAGTCTCTCCTTGAAAAACTAAGCCTGGGCACTTCGCTTGGATGACACTCATTACTGTACTGTCTAGCAGTACAGAACCATCAACATTCATCATGAGTCTTGTCATGCTTCACAAGAGGATCATCAGACAATTAATATGTGCAAAAGTGCACAAAACAAATCTATATTATTATTATCATTACTATTATTATTGCAACGTGACACTGTTGCATTTTATAGCATGTGTGAATGAATATGAAAAAGATATGGTATTGTGAATATTTTCAATTATGTTACCATTGGCACTTTGCGTTGTGTGATCGAAGCTTGGTCCCGTATATGAACTTGTTGTGTGACCTTTCAAAAGCAGCCAGTCAAATTTGTCTCCAGATTTTACGTTTATCCATGTACACCAGCCGTTGTCAAAGTCGCAGTTTCCTGTAATGACATATCATAAAACACTAGCACCGCCCCTTTTGATAATCAACATACCGCACATGCTTCACATTTCACTCAAACTCACCTGACTTTAATTTGCGCGAGTAATTCGAACAAGCGTGATGAGGACCCACGCCACTAATGCCACATCGATGTGTCTTCAATTAAAGCAACATTGTTGCCAAAGCAATGGTTATATCTAGCTATAAATGCCATCAAACGATCCTGTGTTATTCTCACACACCATCCCCCGTTTTCCCCCACCCAGAGTTATCTACCCATTTGTAAATGGAATTAATCAAAAATCGGTTCAGCAGCTTTCCCAGTTACACATTCACCACGACTCGTTTGGTGTTAGTTTTACAATAAATAAAGTCAATTTTTCAATTTACCCTTTTTATATTAATATTGTAACACAACGATACTGTCATTGATCGTCCACGCACCTGGTAGGGCGCAGCGACCGTTTTTGATACTGACGTCGTCGATGGCCATGTCGCTGTAGTAGCTACTGCCAATGATGCCTTCAAATATTATGGTAAAATTGGTGGTGCTTGTCAGGGATACTTGGGAGATCTGCCACGTGTTGCCTTGGTTACCAGATTTGCTCCAGATCTTTACCCTTGGACCAGAAGCCGGCTGTCTGTACACATTCATTGAGCCCATTGTTGAACCGTACATGTGATAATAGAACTGAAGACACTCGCCGGAGCTCGGCGGGTAGATTGGACTTATTAGTAAGGCGTTGTCACCCCTCCGACGAGGAGAGCTGGCCTCCGTGTACAGATAATGACCTGTGGAAGCATGATATGATCATAATTAGAAATCTCACAAACACATCATTCCTAAAATGTGATATTAAACAAACACAATATGAACAGAAGAAGAAAAATTGATAAACATAATCATCGTAACATTACTTAGAAATGATCAAGAAAATATTACGATGATTAGAAAACTGATTAAATTTACACAAACAAATACAATTAGAAAGCTGAAAAAAACTGGAATCTCCAATCTAACCAACCAAATAGACACAATCTAAGAAACCCATATAAATGTGTTGTTTTTGTGTTTCAACAACAGATGGTGAACAGTATGGACAGCAAAGGATTAAAATTGTAAATCTGTTTTCAGACGTTTGCCACTCGGCCGCAAAGCATGAAGACAAATCATGCATCATGATCACGGCGAATCTTTGATTCGTACCCATGACTATCGGATTCTGGCACAACTAAAGAGCTCCGAAGAGTGAACTGGGATGACTGAAAAGAACGGATGATCCATATTTGGGGATGTAACAGTTTACATAAAATACTCATAGTCACCTCTGTTGGTTCCGTATGTGTGATCAGCGTTGGGTCCAGTATTGACGCTAGAGGTCCTCTGTGTTGTCCAAGTCCAATCAAACTTGTCGCCTGTCCTGGTCTGATGAAAGCCACACAGGTGGATGTCCTCGAAATCACAGTCGGCAACTGAAATATTATTGAAACGTAAAAGATAGTTATGTTTTCAAAATATTAGTGTCTCCATTAATGGTTGGACAAGCAACACCTTACAAAATGTTCATCTGCACAGGAAATACGTTATTTGGCTTCTGAAAGGGGTTTGGTACACGAACAAGTATTTATCATGAACTCTTATCTTACTTGTTGATGAAGGACATGGGTGGTTGGAGAAGTTAATGTCATCAACAGCTATGTCGCCTTGGAAACTTAGACCACGCATCCCTTCAACGGCAATCTGTAATAAAGTGTGAAAATGAGGCTTTGGCAGGTGGGTGTGATGCATCCCAGTGCAGGGCGACGTGGTACTGGTCACAGGGACATCAAGGACATGCTTCGTGAAGCAGCAATAAGTGCTATCGGATTGCATGGTTCGGATAAAAGTGTTTTCTACAGTTACAAACGTCATCCTTGTCGTCACACCAGAATCATGACTATTTTTGTAGTCGTCACTGTCATCGTTTTTGTTACCTCCAAAAGATAACAACAATCATTGTCTTGATTATCCAGCGGGACATAAAGCATGTCGGAAAGGAAGCACTAGCACAACATGTTGGTCGTAAGAGCATAAGAACTACAATGAGGATCTGGTGGTTGCAATGTCTGACCTGGATGTATTTCATTGTACCCTGAATTTGTACATAGTCCGAACACTACCAACAATTGGTTTGCCTGACCCAACACCACCACCACCACCACTACCACAATCATCATCATCATCATCATCGTCATCATCATCATCATCATCATCATCGTCATCACAACCATCACCACCACCACCACCACCATCATCATCATCGTCGTACCTGGAATGTCTGTGGACTTGTAATGTCAATGACAGCCTGTTTCCAACTGTTGCCCTGAGTTCCTGCTCTGGTCCATATCTGCGTTCTTTTGGTGGCGACGACGGTGTAGACGCTGAGTCTGTTGATGTGAGGGCCGTACATGTGGTACCACAGGCGCAGACATGAGCCAGATGTGCTTGACAGACTTGGGGACAACAGACGGGCTGTGTCGTTTGGCTTTCGCGGATATGAAGTCTCGATGAAGATGTAATATCCGTTTCCTAGAATAACAAACATATATCAACAAGGCACTGTCAGTATTTATAAATATGTTATTGTTTTGCTTTTCCATGTAACAAAACATGCATGTTTGTACACCAGATCTGAAGTGCACTTACATTGAGGGATTTATCTTTCTATGATGAGAGGAAGTACGGTCCCAGGTAAATGGGTCCAAAAGGTCCAAATTCTCAAAATATAATTACATATTTACCATTTAGTAAGATCTAATTAAAAATCATTCATTGTAATTTTTTAGATTTGTATTATACTGATAACAGCGCCAGTAGAAATAACGCTGTGATGGTAATTTTGTACATTCTTGCACATCTAACATACTTTTAGTTTCATAACAAACGTTTGGACAAAAAGGCCTCTCTCCCAATGTGTCCTGCAGAATTCGTGCTCAATCTCTCCGCCACTGTGTCTTCACAAGGCCATAGGACTTGTTAGTTAGTTATTTGACTAGTTAGTTACACAAGGACAGAAATAAATACATATTCCATTTTATGATATATATATAATAATTGAGAAAGAATATCATTATTTATTGTGAAACAACTCCCAGAAAATCACGGTACCATTTCCTGTAGTGTGGTCACTAGAGGGCCCAGTCCCCTGAGTGACGGTAGGGCCACGAGCTCGGGTCCAGTTAAACTGGTCATCCTTGGCCTGTGTCCACTTGCAGTAGCCCGTCTCAAAGTTACAGTCATAAGGGGATGGAACTGTAAGGTATGACATCATCGAATAACTTTTTGTGATGGTTTATGATACATTAATAATAATGTGACACAATACAATTACAGATGTCCTATTATGTTCACCCATTTCTTTTCACATTTTGTCATTGTAACCTACATCGTAGTTTGGAAGCCAGTGTTGTTATCCTATATGCTCAAAGTCATTAATAAAACAATACACACAAAGTCGTTTTTGAAACAAAATAATGTTATCCATAGATCGTTTATAAGGACGTGTCACTGTGCCCAAATGGAAATATTAAGACTAGATTTTTCGAATTACAAACATGCTGGGCGTCAAACATTGATCTCCAACATGAATGGCGAATACACAAACTATTAGGACGTCCAGCTTTGCGTTCTTTGATAAACAAAGATCTAATACAAAACAGATGTTACCTTTACCGAAAATATAGCCAAGTGTGAGTTTTACTGAGGTCTAAAGTCATAACTGTGTCCTTTTCGAAATCGAAAAATGTTTTCCGTGAATGTCAACGCAACAACCACGCGTCAATGGCATATTGCTGAGATACAACCATTTCAGTGGCTTAGTGAACATGGAGCAGGCAGACAACATAATCAAACAATAGCCTACACAATGTTATGAAGGAAACGACACGTTATTCACGTCTAGGTGTTAACTTTGCTCACCCGGCGTAGTGGACGGTGCTGATGACGACGTTGGTATCGGAGACAGTGTAGGACCGGCAGGGTTGGCTTCGAATGGAAGGACTGAAAAATATTATTTGCTTGTATTCGTCAAAGAGATCAATACTCTAAATCCTACATTTTCAATATTCGAAGTAAATGCAGACTGTTTCATGGATTTTACTTTAAGGCTGAAAATTGATCAGAACCTCGTTTCCTTCTAAGTAATATTGATTAACTTATCACAAGGACGTAACTAATAAAAGGAACGAATTTGGACCCTCTTATGGGTGAATTATCATTACTGATCAAGAGACACTTACTTTGACAAGAGGCATCTGTGAATACGACATCATCAATGGCGATATCGCTCTTGTATCCTTTTCCTCTTATTGCTTGGAATATCATCTGGTGTTTAGCAAAATACAGTACAGTTAAGTAGTTATATAAGATGTTGTTTTAAGTTTTATATGTGGTAAACATACATTTGCAATATTCTTTTGTTTGAAGTACAAAATATAATTTCGATTACCAAATACAAGTTTGACTATATCTAAAGCCATAAATGGAATATCTACTACTCCACCTTTGACATTGATTAGAGTTTCCGGGTAGGAATTACGACTGAGGTGTAACAATGTCAAGGCCGTGACACATTCTCAGTTTATAAGTCACAAAATAATTTTTGTCTCATTTTGGAGCAATGTTACGAGAAGCAACTGCAAATATTCTACGGAATAATCCATTGGTTGTCAGAGCAGTCTAGCTTTGCGTTTCCTGGTAAGAAAGCAGCTGTTGTATAACCAGACTCAATAAGGCTGGCAAGTCATTTGGACTGCATTGATCCCACCGTTTTGAAGCATTTTGCAACCGTGAATAAATATTAAATACAGTGGAATCTGTCTTCTCAAGATTTGCACTGGATTTGGGTGTATGTTTGGTTTAGACAGCAATCCGGATCAGACAGAAATCTGTTGCTGACAAAGAGTTCTGTCCTTGATATCGCACACGAAATTATACAGTCAATATTGAAGACGTGTGTACATGTACAATAATACCAAAATGATGTGCCGTGGAGAAAGGTCGACATAAACAATAGGAACATACTGGTACAACTGAAGTACAATGATACAATCAAGCCACATTGGTGAAGTCTGGTTTACTGTTTCTTCAGCTATAATCGCGGGACTTACATTAAAGGGGTTCTTGTTAAAGATCTTGACCCGACCCTGTGTCCAGACATCGCCTCTGTCACCTGACAGTGTCCAGATAGTTGTCGTGGTGTTGGGGCCCTTGAGGTTGACGTTCAGTGTGCCAGAGTCGGCACCGTACATGTGGAACCAAAAACTCATACACATCCCATTCGTTGGCTTGAACAGGCGGCCCATCAGCATTGCAGAGTCGCCCGCAGTCCGGCCTGACGACTCGATGAAGGCGTAATGCCCTGTAACATGGACCGAAGATTTATAGTGAGTGGGTGAGGCGAGAAATGTAGGCTAGACTTTGAAGAAAACAGGTGTGGTGGGAGAGGATAAAGAACAGGGGGTCATCATGAGAAGTGGAGCAATACAGCACCAATCTCCTGGTATCCCTTACACGTGCCTGTATGTGAAATAGCTGTGATGATGACATACGTTAACACGTGCATATAGAGAAAACCATGACATGAATATGTACCTGCAGATGTTCCTACGGTGTGGTCAAAGCTTGGTCCAGTGTATTGACTTGATGTTGACCCAATACCGATGATCCAGTCAAATTTGTCTACACCATGAAGATTTCGCCAGGTACAGAGCCCACGTTCAAAGTCACAGTTCCCTTTTGACATGAGAAAAAGCTGGAATCTCCAAACAACCAAATAGACACGATCTCAGAACCCTATATAAATATTGTGTTTTCGAGTTTCAACAGCAGATGGTCAAAAGTGTGGACAACAAAGGATAAAAGTCTGTTCTCAGACGTTTGCCACTTTGGAGAAGCCTGGAGACAAACCAAGAATCGTGATCACGGCGAATCAGGCTTTTTTTGTGTCTCATTCAACACAACTCATGGCATGAATTTGTCAACATTGTCCTGGCATTTAAATCGTGTCGTGTGAATGATTGTTTATGGTGATGATTACTATTGATATTTGTCCGATGAAAGACAACACTATTTATATAATGAATTTCACGCAAAAGGTATCTCCTCTGTCCATGGAATGGGTGAACCAATGGTCAACATGCGTTTTTATATTTTCATAGAGTATTCTACTTTTGGTGTGTGTATCAAGGAATTGAAGAAACGTTGTCTGCATGTCCACGTTTATAAACAACGTGCTAACTGTGGTATAAATGTCCATTTCCTGAAGAGTTTTGTGACAGACAGTTGGCCCAACACCTATTTTGTGAACATTGCCATGTCAACTTTACAATACCCTTACCTGGCATCTGGCAAGCGCCCACTGCTACACTGACGTCGTCGATTGCAATGTCTCCTTCATAGCCATTTCCAACGACGCCTTGAAACACAACCTGTAAAATTATGATAAAAAAAACTGCAATGGTTATCCATGTAAGACACATTACATTTTGCAAAAAATGTGTATAGATATGAAAGGACCAACAAATCAATATTTTTTAGTTTAAATACGATGACAAAGGAAAGAAACAGTTGAAACTGGAATTGAATCTTACTTTGAAAACAATTGATTGGCTTCACCATCCTCTCGCTTTTTCTGTCGTATTTCAAAATTCTTGTCATACGTTATCATTCAGAGGAAAAATTTGGATTCCATTTTTCGTAATCGCCTCATACGGATTGTCGCTACTATACTCAATACAGGCTTACCCGTTAATAACATGGCAATCTCTGTTGTATATGTTTCAGTGTAACCTCATTAGTCTGGCACCCATTATTGGGGAAACCACCACTTTCTGTGGGTAACTTCTACATATATGTACAACACTCAATGCCATCATTCGTTAAACCAACATGTGTTATTCGGGACAATTTTACTGACGCCGGTATCAACGGGGTCCGGTTAAAATGGTTTCACTACACATTGAATCAGCGATTAGCTCAGACTGCTCACCTGGTAGGGTTGTTGACCACTTATTGTGACTTGTCCCGGGATCCACGAGTTGCCCTGGTTCAGTGTCTTGTACCAGATTGGGGACGTCAGGTTGCCTGTAGTCTTGATGTAGATTTGGAGCATGCCTATGTTCTTACCATACATGTTGTAGTAGAATGACATGCACTGGGGTGCCAGTGTGTTGACCGTCGGGCTAATAAGGCGTGCATAGTCGCCTTGTTTCTGTGGAGCACTCGTCTCAATGTACATGTACTTGCCTAGAAAAGAAAACGGAACAAACTCCTGTATTGATGTATAGACTTTTGTTTTGTACTCCACAGCTCCTCAAATTTGCCTCTTATCAGTTCTTATATTTTTCACAGTGTAACATCAATAATTCAAACTGTACCATGCCAGTGAAGTCGTTCTGACAAGCAAAATTCCATATTTTCAAGTTAAGGAAAAATACCTTTTTTTGCATACTGGAGATTTTCCAAAAATAGATTTATTACATTGATCATCAATATTCCCTTGGAGAGTCATGAATGCTGTCATTCTAAACATGTCAGTAGATATCAAAATATTTACATACCGCCGTCATGTAATTGGAAGATTTCAAAGTGAGGGGTTAAACAACAAAGAAACAAAAAGTAGATCTGTATTTCATTATGTTTTACCAGTAATCGTTCCGAGTGTATGATCACTGCTTGGACCTGTGCCAAATGATCCTGTCCTTCCACCTTGCTGTGACCAATCAAAGGTGTCCGTTTTGTCCTGTGTCCATCCACACAGGTCTGCAGGCTCAAATGTGCAGCTGAGTCCGTCTGAAAGTGACCACAAGAATCGTAGGTGACGTGGGAAATGGCAAAGACAGGAACCTATGAATTCGTTACATGGACATGACACTGGTATATTGAAGACTACCTGCAATGATTTACTGCATGATTCTTGACATGCTGTCTTAAGCTTGTGATGGTCAGGTGTCATATGAGCCTGGATCATTAAACAGATTGGACATCTCTCCATCTCGAGCCTTGTCAACAGCAGCAACAGTGTCTAAATCATGGTCTAACCTTTAGAGGGACACGTGCCCGCGATGACCTTGATGTCATCTAGGCCAATATCACCGGCATAGCTGGGGCCTCGGATTCCCTCGAACACGATGTTGACTGATGATGTTTGTTTTGCAATCTGTATTTGTCCAAAGATCCATTTGTTGCCTTGGGACTTCATTTTGGACCATATCGGATTACCAAGGGTTGATCCATGCTGAGATGAAATACAGTAAACATGCTCAAAAAGAAGATCATTGAAGCCCTTTGCATGATGGTCACCAAAGTGGTAACTTTCTTCCAAACATTTAATTATGGTAAAAAAGTATCACCCAAACAAAAGCATATCTCAACCGCCCATGAGAAACATCTACAGACAGAATACTAATAAACATAACATAAGTTAGTGCTACAATATTAACAAAGAAGTAATATCATTGAAAATAATTGCCTTTATTTAGGAGCCTTCTTACTTTTAATCTCACAGATTAGAGAAGAATATTCATTTCAAAAGTAACTTGCAATGAGAGTACTTTTGGATGATAGATTGAAGTACCAACCCGTAGGTAGACAGTAAGTCTGTTGATGTTCGGCCCGTACATGTGGTGCCAGAACTGGAGACAGTAGGCCTGATTGGTTGTCAGCTGGGCAGAGACGAGCCGTGCTGTGTCATTCTCGATACGAGGCGCTGATGTTTCAATGTACATGTACCAGCCATTTCCTATAATCAAATATTATTTATTCATCACCCATCACCATCATCATCATCATCCTTCTCCTTCTTATATATTTGCATGAGTAATCTGTTGAGAAGAAGTAGCCTAAAGAACAACGCATTCAATCACCATGTTGAAACGCCGGGTCTGAGTACGGTTTGTGAAGCCCATTTTTTAACTCAACTGCATGTAATATATTACTGAAGACGGCGTAGAAGTTACCTACTTATTCTTTCATTCACTTATTATCATCACTTCACTTACTCGTCCCTTTGGTGTGGTCGACAGTTGGACCGGTACTGCTGCTGCCGGTTGGACCCTGTGTTCTCGTCCAGTCAAACTGATCATCTGTGGCTTGGGTCCATGAGCACAGGTTAGTCTCAAAGTCACAGTCATACTTGGACTGTGAAACTGCAATGTTAAATTGGTGTTGTAGCGCAACATGTATTCTGATTGAACACCAACAACTGCATCTACAACATTATTCCTGGATATGAGGGAGGAGCATTAGAACGCAAATTACGGTATGATGTAACTTAAGCTACTTTGAAGTGACAGCTTTAGATTATATTTCAAGTTGAAAGAGTTTGGGTTAAAATACATTAACTCTACTTTTGCTGCGCAGTTAAAGATTCTGATGGAATTTTGTCCTTAGATCATGTTTAGTACAATCACATTCCAAACAATATCATTTTTGACACTAATACTGCTTGAATTGCAAGTTCTTTCACATTTATACAGACGACTGAGCCGTTGGCTTGAGTGGAAAGATGAAAGTGCCGTTTATGTGAACTATTCAGTATATACACGGATATGCTTTTCATGGAGCTCAACTATTTTGCAGTGATAGAGGACTCTTGACTGTACATTTTGGGATAAAAAGGAACACTTGAGAGAACAACTTCCGGAGTCAGTTAAAAATTAATAAAAAAATATTACCAGTTATGACAAACACCTATGGCTTTGATCATTCCTTACCAAATGTGCTGGGTGTTGGGCTTGTCAAGTGAACAGTGGTCGATGCAATCTTTGACGGGTCTGCCGATGAAGGTATATCTGCAATATAAGAATGATCTATGACTTCAAACAGTTGTTGATCCAATCACCATCATCCATGTCATGATTGCAGGAGGCATTTATTTGGATCAAGGAGAATAATATCCACAAAATATAACATTAATGCCAGAGAATAGTCAGAGAAACAAACTCTGGTGGGTGTAAAAGGTTAAATAGTAGTGCAAATTATGTGAGTTGATCACTGACAATTAGGACCCGTGAAGATCTTGTTGAGTGTGGCGTTAAACAACAAATAAACAAACAGACACTGAAAATTAGTGATGACACCAGGTGTTCACGGTCAGTGTAAGTATGTCTTGTCCTACCGGTGTGACTTCGTTCCTGTATGCTGGTGGTTAGTGTATTGACATAAGCCTATTGAATGGGATCCCAGTTTTCAGATGTATTTTAACCTGTAATTAAAACTCACATCCACAAGCTGAGGTGGTGAATGTAATGTCATCTATGGCTATATCTCCGTAGTAGTCAGAGCCTCGCACGCCTTCAAACCGTATCTGCAATGAATGGCTATGAGTTAGGACAAGAGCAATCAGTATTTAACTAATATTTTTAAGAACATCCAGATATCAATTTCATTTATTGACATAAAACCTGTTATTCCTGGCACAAATTATGTTTTTCAACCCCCCTCACACATCCTTGAAATATAAAATGATATGTCCCCGTGTATCTATTTTTAATCATTGTGCCCATCAGAAAATAGTCATGTTAAATATAAATACAAATCTTTAAAACAACAAAAATAGATCGGAGGGATTTATCCACGTTTTTTACTCTAAATAAACTGTCAGTTGCTGATTAAACTGGACTCCTCAACGTTAAACTTCCACTGACATTGTTGATCTTATCCTGAAACTAGTCCTTTAATAGTTTGGGGCGTATGTCAGAATACCAAGGGGACATCGTTGGTCTTACCATGAAGCTAGTTTTTTGAACAGACAGTGGCATCCGTCCCTGAAGCCAAGCCTGACCCTTATTTCCACTCTGCCCCCACACCCAGGTGTGAGTGGTGTTGGCCTGGTTGTCAATATACACGTTCAGAAGTCCTGTGTACAGAAACATTTGAAGACATAGATAACACTGTCCACTGTTAACCAACCAGCTTTCGTTAAAAAAACAAACATTTTTCACAGTTATTTAGTGATTACATAATATATGATACAATACACTTGTTCACATACTGCATTCCTACCAAACCGTTACCTTGCGTCATCCCGTGGTCTGTTTCAATAATACCATATAGTGTAAGTGAATGTTAATGAACATATCTCCTCCCTGCTGTAATTATCTTACCAATCGAGTGTCCATACATGTTGTACCAGAAGCTCATGCATTGGGTGGTGGTGAAGGGAGGCAGGAGAGGACTCTGAAACCACGCCCTGTCGCCTGGTACCCGAGGAGCAGATGTCTCGATAAACATGTATGTTCCTGCAATACAAGGTAAGGTAATTTACCTATGTCTCCAAGTTCCCACCCTATTTACAGTATGTGATTTACTAATTAACGAACTTTATTGACAATGCTTTGCCAGAGGTGAGGTGAAATGGGGTTTAACGTTGCTTCCGAGACAACTGCACATATGTAGCGACGTGCATGCACATGCGCGCTTGTGTGTGTGTGTGTGTGTGTGTGTGTGTGTGTGTGTGTGTGTGTGTGTGTGTGTGTATGTGTGTGTGTGTGTGTGTATGTGTATGTGTATGTGTGTCTCCATCACCTTGGAGATATCGCTACAATGTAATTGCATCACAATGCATTGGACACCAATGTTTCATCATAGGTTATCGTGACATCCCAATCAAATGACATCTTCAATATCTGCCTCACAATCTGGTTAGCAAAAAGACACTGGTTATTACTGTTTACACCCTCAATTATTTGAAGTAATTATTTTAGATGATGACACAGCATCTTACCTTCGGGTCATCTGATATATCAACACAAGTCAAAATAAGTTTAAAACTACCAGACATGTGCCTCGGAGTTTTAATGCATGTTCATACAATACACTGCAGATTGTCTCGCTTTGTACATGTTCACCCAAAATTCTAGCAGACGCACCTGTGGCACCGCCGGTGGTATGGTCAGAGACTGGTCCCGTGTAAGCACTTGAAGTTCTTCCTGATCCAGAGATCCAGTCAAAGTCATCTCCTCCAATGTTCTTCCACATACACTTGCCCTTCTCAAAGTTACAGTTTCCTGGGGCTCCACAGGCTCCGTCTAAGATGAGGACATCATCAAGACCGATGTCACCAGTGTAGTCGCTGCCCATGACAGCCTCAAACACAGCCTAAAGAAAGCAGAGAGTCAACTGTAGGAATGCCTACAACACAGTCTCTTTGTTTTGAGTGAGTCAGTAAGTGAATGAAAGAGTGAGTTTGATTTAACGCCACTTTGGACAGTATTTCAGTTTAATCAAGGCGTATCAGCCAAATTTGGGAGGAAAGCCTGAAGCTACACACATCAAAATCTTTTCAACTAATTTTCCACCTGAGCTAGTTGTTAAAGATACAAGTGTTACCGTCTCATCGGTTTCATATTTAGGTCTACCCAAAAAGATCCCAAAAATATAATAAGGGGGATTTGGGATTCAAACCCACGTTCATTATTCCCTGGTGTGTCTAAGTGACGCAACTCTGCAACACGCATGGTTGACTTAGAATACAAGGCTACCTGTGTCCCAAAGACATTGATCATTTACGAAGAGCAGCGTGAACACATATTCATTCACCAAATGGTCATAAAGTCACTCCTACCTCCCAGCTTCCTTGAGATTTGACAGTCGCCCGCCCTTGTAACCAGAGGTTGCCTTGGTTGCCTGACCGCGTCCATATTGCTCCACCGAACTGATCGCCGACTTTAGCATAGACGTTAAGGGTACCAGTTGCTTTGCCCCACATATGGTACCAGAAGGTCAAACAAGCAGCGTTTGTGGCCTTCTGAACAGGGGAGATAAGTCTAGCGTTTTGTCCCTTGCTTTTGCCAGAGGCCTCGGTATACATGTAGTGACCTTGAACATAGTGTGAACATACTTGAACTGACCATACTTATATTAACAGTCTACAATGCACGTGTTGCTAAACTGTTTGAGTCTTTATTTGTAGGAGTATGTGAGTGAGTGAGTATGGTTTAACACCGCTTTTAGCAATATTCCAGCAATATCACGGAGGGGGACACCAGAAATGGGCTTCACAAATTGTACCCAAGTCGGGAATCGAACCCAGGTCTTCGGCGTGACGAGCGAACGCTTTAACCACTAGGCTACCCGACCGCCCTTACTTGTAGGATGTGCTCCATGTGCAACGCATATTAATCAGTATTATTGAACAATGTAATCATACCTGAAGATCACACACAAGGCTTTCCAACCATATTCACATTTACATGTACTTTAATGACAGACGTGTGAATGGCTCAAGTGTTATTTTTTATTCATATCTGTGGAAAGGGTTTTGTCACTTTTATCGTCTTTCCCCTTACGTTTACTTTGATTGTGATCTTTCTCTGACCTGTAATCACCCTGTCGAGTCCCCTTATCCTTACTCAACTCATGGTATCGCATGTAACAGTTCACTTCTTAAATGTAAAGGTATTTGAGTTCCTAAGGTACTCTGACCACGCCGAGATAACGTGGCAGCTTTGTCGCACCAGAGATTGTTCCATAGGTGTGGTCGTTCGAGGGTCCCGTGTCAAAGGAGGCTGTTCGTCCATGAGTACGTGTCCAGTCGAAGTTGTCACGTGGATCCTGTTGATAACTGCAGATATTTGGATCTTCAAATCCACATGTGTGGAGGGACCCTGAAAAAAATAATGTTTTATTTACAATAAAGTTTAAACAAATGCGCACTTACACTGGCGACGAAGATGCTATGATATAATGTTCATAGAACAAAAGAATACAAATAGACACAAACGTCCTAGCCTGTGCTTTTAATTTTTGACCATGCCAGTTTTAAACCCATCCCTTCAATGGTGATTTGCGTCATTCCATCCTTTTGTGTCATTTGAATTTAATGACATTTTCCCAGATCAGCTCTCTAATTTTGTTTGTCATACTGTTTTTAAATGACAGTCATTACTGGTAGACCATAAGTTTAAAAATTGTATTCTTCCATCTATGTTTCTTAGTTTGCACCCCGTGAAGATCCAGGTTAGAATTCGTCTTCAGCAATCATGCTTGTAAAAGGTGATAATGCTTGTCGTCAGAGGCGACTAAGGGGTTCGAGTGGTCAGGCTCGCTGATGTCAATCGCTGAATTGTCTGGTCCAGACTCGATTTTTACTTCACATAGCTGAAATATTGCTGATTGCGACGTTAAACAACAGACAAATTATTTGGCAAAATATAACCATCAGTGATTGATAGCATCAGTGATTGATAGCATCAGTGACGATACACTTATGCACAATAACCATCCTGTTCTTAATAGGCGAAGCTTACGGCAACATTGGGAATTTATAACGCGATGGAATCACGACGGAGCTTAATATATAAACACACTAACCGCACAATCCATTTGTAAGACTGATGTCATCGATGGCAATGTCTCCTTGGTAGCTTGTCCCACGGACACCTTCAAAAACGATCTGGTAAGTGGAATTGGGCGTGATGTTGATATCAATCTCCATCCACTTGTTCCCAACGGTTCCATGTTTGGTCCACACAGGGCTGCCAAGCTTTCCAGAAGACATTGTATAAACATTGAGGGTGTTGACATCGGGGCCGTACATATGGTACCAGAAGTGGAGGCATTTGATGGTTGTGTCCTTCACAACAGCACTGACCAATCTGGCTTTGTCATTTTTCACCCTAGGCGTCGATGTCTCGATGAAGACGTAGTACCCAGAGGCTGTTCCTTTGGTGTGGTCAACGGACGGTCCTGTGTTCCCGCTCGATGTGCCGCCTTTGTTTCGAGTCCAGTCAAACTGGTCATCCTTTGCTTGTTTCCAGCTGCATAGGCCTGTCTCAAAGTTACAGTCATAGGGAGATGGAGCTGCAATATACAATGTAAATATTCACATCAATGTTAACAAGTAAAGGGGTGGTGGTGCTTCATGGCTTGGTCTACTCCTTGACGAGCCAGCACCTTTTAATGGTGAAGAAACATATCGTATCTCAACTTGGGTGTGCATCGGTCTAATGCAACCCTTATGATAAGGTGCATATTGACCTTGCCTCAGGTTTTCACATGTCTCGTAGGTCATGCGTTAGTTGTCACCTAAGAACCACAGGTCCATCGTGACGGAGGAATTCATATTGAAACTGATTTCACTCGTTTCATTCCTTCATCAAGTTAGTTAAATGTTAATCAATATCAAATCAACATACTCTTAAATCACCAACAAATGTTTCTGACAATATGCTATTCTTTTGTCTGAAGTCTATTTACAGCTAAATCACTACCCCATTACAGCCCTAGCTATTTTATAGATACAGAAGTCTGTCTTTTGTTTGGCATGACAAAATTAAAATACTCCCTTTAGACAAACTTACTGGTGACATCATTGGCGTGGATGGCCTTAGTCAAAGATTTCCGTTACCATACAATAAATTTATCTTATTATAATATTATAACAATACATTTCTTATTCTGAAACAAGCACATCCAGGTGATGACAGTACCTGCAGTTAGCGGTGTTGGTGTCGTCGAGAGCATGGCCTGTGGAGCAACTGATGATCCGGTTGCTGCCCGTGCAGGCAGGACTAAAATATAAATGGTTTAGAGTAAGATACACCCAAATGCAGCCAGCTTCTTTCAAGAGTGGGAGGGAAATTTGAGGAGTATTTCAGTAATATCACGGAGTGTAACTATGATGAGGGATGAAATATAAAGTTGATGAATGTCGTGTACATGTGGAGAACAGGTATGCTGAAAGCAACCCAAGACGTATAATCTGAGATTCGTACCTGCAATCAGCGGATCCTGAGACACAAAGAATCAAATACCTTAAATCCGAACCCCACTCGTACGAGAAAAAGAAGTACTCACATGCACATTGTCCTGGTCTGAAGGTAATGTCGTCGAGAGTGATGTAGCCGTGGGCGCCTCCAAGACGTACGACAGAGAAAACAACAGTGTAAGGTTTAGTGCTGGTGAAGGTAGCCTGCCCGTACACCCATGCCGAGGCACTGGTTCCTTGAGCCCCGTCCATATACCAGATAGGAACCCGGGTTGAGTTCTGTAAATGCAATATCAAGTTTGAGTGAGTTGGGTTTTATGCCTCCTTTTGCAATAGCACAGTAACATTGGAGGTGTAATGGGTTTCACAAATCCTTTCCATTTGTGGAATCAAAGCTAGGTCCTTGGCGCGACCAGCTAACATCTTAACCACTAGGCTACCCCACCACCACAGTTACATGGGCATTAAGTGGTTACAAATACACGGCAACGCACATCAACACCAATCAAAGGCAACACGCTACACTATTGAGCAATTGACGGAAACACTGGGTGTGTCTGTGCATGTTAATTGGAGGTGAATAGATCATCACAAAGTGAATGTCATTCAGCAGCCAGCAAATTTCAGCTACATACAGCGGCCTGTTAATATTGGAATAATGGCCAGATGGACCTGTTACCCACCTGCACTATGTACATGGTGATGGAACCGAAAGACGTGCCAGTCTGCATGAACCAGAAAACGATGCATCGCCCTGTGTTTCCAGTAGGACTCATGGATTGGGACACAAAGTCAGCCGTGGCCTTGGCGGCAACGCTTCTACCATCTCCAATGTACATGTAGGAACCTGTGGAGATGAAGTAGTTGATTAACATCCTTCTATTTCCCCATCAATGCAAGTAGGCATCTGACAATCTTGAACTTTTGACCTGTTATTTTTCATACGGCGTTTCCTATACTACCGACCGTTAAATATTGAGAAATATGGAACATCTACGTGTTTTTGAAGAACTATTTTTTTATCATCATGTCGAATCTATTACCACATTTCAGTGATGAAATATAAAAAAAACCCAGCAACATTTGTCCAGTTCTTCCTGATTCGACGAGACTGATATTGTTTAGAAGGATCACTTAAAAGACAAAGTTTGTATTTCTACTTTGAACCCTGATCCAAAGTGTTTGGAAAAGAATTGTTGTTGTTATTGAGTAATGTCGATACGTGTCAGGGTACCCCGAAAGAGTGAATCGTTGCCAATAATGTCAATCACTGATTCGTCTGATTCATACTCGATCAGCCTCCATGAAACAGCTGAAATATTCCTGACTGAGGGGGTTAAACAACAACAACAAAAAACAAACCGATACACACCACTTCTAAAGATGTCAGGTCAGCTGTATAAACCATAATTACATCACACTGGACATCTTGAAGATTGACAGATATACGATGTCTGAGAAATACTCACCGTTTTTGGATGTGCCGAAGGTGTGGTCTCCCTTGTTGGGGTGGGTTCCATATTTGTTAACGTTTCCTGTCAATCTCACCCAATCAAACTGGTCAGTGCGAGAATTGGACCATCCGCAAGTACCACTTTCAAAGTTACAATCGCCTATTCAAAAAAATACATAGTACACTATTGTGTTATGATATTTAGCATTGGATACAATTAAAACATAAAACATATACTATACTGATGCCAACATGAATATGTCCTGTGGAAATTATGTAGCACTTCTACCAACGTCAGTGACTTCATAAACGTTTTCTAGGATGAACAGTTGCCCAGTGATGAACGTGTTGGCCTCTCTCGAAGAATACCGGCGTTTGAATACCAAAAGTAACAAAATATGACGTAGCCACATATTCGTTCATGTATTTCAGGAATATTGCTGAAAACAGTTGTTGTTGATCCGTTATTATCGGGATATATTTGGGGAACTGATGGTTGTTTGCTGATATTATCAAGGTAAATACCAGATGTCACAAAGACTTCAAATACATGATAATCGAAGGCATCATGACAGCTGACATTTCACTTGTCATTCCTCCAGCACCCAAATAAAACCACATTGTAACTGTATGTCATGAAGTTGAAAAATGAAACTCGTTAAGTCACAGTTTGGGGAAGTACGTTTGTTTGCGAGTGTCCACAACGCGTGTATGGAGATCCACGTAGCTTCCTTGTTGTGGAGCAATTGATCAATATTAGTAATTGTTTAAGATAGACTACGTTTCCCTCTGTAAAATGCCTCTTGACATTCCTAAATAAAAACTTATTCAGTAAAAGTAATATTCTCTGTAACTTGAGGGAAAATTTGTCGTGTTGATCATCATATTTCTAAAAGCTACATTTCTACAATGTCAATCCATTGCATTATTATGTTAATTGGGTTATAAGCTGATGTTTAATACCTGGTGTTGGACAGGACTGGAGAAGTTTGACATCATCAATGGCTGCATCTGAAGTGTAGCTTCTGCCAATGCGCCCTTCAAAAACAGCCTGAAATGAATAGAAAATGATTGTGTGAAATTCATTATCGTTAAAACAAAGTCACATGAATGTTCGTGTGAATTGGGTCGTGCGCATTCATGCTGTAATCCTCCAGTAGTCGGTGTATTGCAGATAAACCCTCCAATAGTTATCAACTAATGTTCACCCTCCAATAGTTATCAACTAATGTTCACCCTCCAATAGTTATCAACTAATGTGCACCCTCCAATAGTTTAAACTCCATTAGCCGATCATGTCAGTCGAACCGTGTTTGTGAACTTTGATAGACAAAACGTAGAAACGCACCCTCCCAATTAGTTAAGGAACTACGCTCACCATTGGTTTGCATATGCCAGTCGACGTTCGCACGTTTCACTGCAACACATAACCACAATAGTTTGGCAGGCTTTTCTTCTGCAATGAACATGCCGCCGTGATATAACTGAAATTCTGTTTGTAATAAAGGCGCTAAATCCCAATTACACGAACCGTCCTGTATTTGTGTTAACACTATACAACTACCATGATTTCTGTCCTCTGCGGTAAATGAAACGGAGACACATTAGAAATTAAATTTATTTCAGAAAGACAACGACAAAGTTGCCCCATCTGGTAATACGAGTTTCATGGATTTTTTTGCTGCACTCTCGGCTGTAGTTGTTTCAGTTACTGCGAGAGTTGACGTTTCATCCAGAACCGCTGTAGGTTGGTTGGTTGGTTTGTTGTTTTACGCCGCACTCAGCAATATTCCATCTATATGACGGCGGTCTGAAAATAATCGAGTCTGGACCAGACGATCCAGTGATTGATATCCTGACAACTCGATCCCGTTAGCCGCCTTTTACGACAAGCATAGTCGCCTTTTACAGCAAGCATGGGTTGCTGAAGACCTATACTACCCCGGATCTTCACAGGTCACCGCTGTAGCTGTCAACATTGCCTCAGCCGATGTAGAGGCAGGGGATGTCAACGTTTTCGAAGTTGAGATAGCAGAACCAGAGGCCGCAGATCCCAAAAGGGCACTAAACCCCAAATACAGGAACCGTCCTGTATTTGTGTTAACACTATAAAACTACCATGATTTCTGACAGAAACAACATTTGCCTGTCTTTTCTAAATGCCAATACCCTGCTTAGCTAATGACTTCATGCGAGCATCCAAGACGTTTCTCATCCCCTTGAAATAAGGAGACTCGTTAACGTTAATCTCGATATCTTCGGCGATAGTATTGCGATGAGGCGATCGCGATCAGTTCATATAACGTATTTCCCCGATATTTTTCGCCCTTTAGGTTTCGTACTTCCACCAAGAAACGCATGAGATTTTTTATTAATATCTGTTTCACGATGCGAAAGAGCAATACTGTCGGGGTTTAACACGACGTCATCACGTAACCCATGGGATTGTCTTTCCTTGCCCCGCGCTTGGAAGACGTCGACGGCCTATCTACTCTTGTTTTCTGTGTTCTGAGAAAAAGCCGAATTACAATTTAGACTTTGAAGATCTTGCTCTGACACAGGCTTGCTAAACGGTTAGGAATTCCAAATACTATCTGCGTCATCAATGTTATGAGTTGTAACGGGAATTTGTGTAGCCTGGGGAATACTTGCTTCTACGTGTTGAGAGAGTTCCACCAAATCTGTATCATTTCCAGACAACTCATCTGATTCCAAGATATCACTTTTACCCACATCAAAATCTGGTACAGCCACGTCAAGTATTTCACTATGAGCATTAATGAGTCTTTCAAAATCTGAGTTAATTGCTGCCTGGTTCGAGCTCGTGTAATGAATGTTCAACACGTACAAAGACTGAAAGCTAAATGAGAAATCGCACGTGCTTTTCCGCGCTCATATTAGACGAGACCTCCAATAGTTTTGCTCGAACTTTAGCGCGTTCATGCGCGCAGTTTCAATCGATTCGGCATAAACAAGAACGACCCTCCATTATCTATGCACGTGCATATTGGGTGGACATTAGTTTAACATGTATTTTGAATGGGACTTTGTTTTAAGTTGGATATAGTCCTCAAAGTCACGATTATTTTTGCACGTGGGGCAAGTTCTCGGCCTGACGGCCTCGAACTGACCCCACGTGCAAAAATAATCGTGACTTTTCGGACCATATCCTACACGTAGTTGTTAGTTAACTTACTCACAGAACTAAATGATTTCAGACAATCTCCAAAAACAAATAAAATATCAACACTTGCCACAAGGTTACTACTGTATATTACTGGATACAAATGTGTTATATATATCATTCAACTGTATTTTTAAAAAGTCATACAGGTAAAAGTCAACTCACGTGCATCAAATTGTAATTCGGAAGTTGCACATATTCTTGTTTCCAAATGTTGCCTTGATTACCAGAGAGGTGCCAGATAGGTGAACCAAGGATAACCCTGGTGGTGTTTTGGGCAGCATACACTGATAGTGTTCCCATGGTTGCGCCATACATGTGATACCAGAATGTGAGACATCGGCCATTTTTGGCAGAGAATGTAGGACTCCACAAACGTGCAGTGTCACCATAGCGACGAGGGGCGGAACTCTCGACGTACATGTAGGAACCTTGAACAAGAGGATGTACAGTGGAAGTGTTATTGAATATTGCTGTATCTGGAAAAAATGCATGAATACATTTTTACATGCGTTTAAAGGTCGTTGATGTAGAAACATTTCCTGCATTGAAAACATGTTACTGTCTATATTAAAAATAATGTCTGTGTGAAGACATGTCTTGTGTTGGTGGACCTTAAGATAATTTCCTTTGCTGAAATGATGATTCTGTCGAACCAATCCCATTCTAGAACTGACATAGTGGTTATATCATGACTATACTGACAAAACAAATGGCATTTTCAATGAACTAACATACATTCGAACACACAACTGACCTAGTCGTGTTCCGTATGTGTGGTCACTGCTCGGTCCAGTTCCATAAGATGATGTGCCTGAGGACCTTCTCGTCCACTCGAAGGTGTCCGTTTCGTCCTGGTAGTATTTACACATGCTGGAGGACTCGAAGTTACAGTCGATAGGCGAGGCAGGAATGCTCCCTTGACTCGGGGCAACAGTTGCTGCAATACATATTCAAACCAGAATGAGATTTTTGCATCTAGTACGAGACCAGATACCTCTTAATTCTTTGGGGACAGCGGTGATCCAGTTATGTAATCATCGCAATTTGATTAGCGTTTTTTTCTGTAGTCTTTCTAGGATTCGTTAATTGTGGGTTCAAACCCCATATTCCTTCAAATATGTCATTAACATAACCAGTTCTCATTGGTTTCACTGAACTTGTAAGGCCAACGCTTTGCGTCACCTAGTGTTTTTCACAACATCAGCATGACACACCTAGATAACTGTAAGCAGTGTCTTAAACTGTCTAGTCTAAGACGACTATGTGAGTAGAAAAATGGTTGTCTACCTTGATAACAGGAACCTGGGACGAGACTGACATCATCGATTGCAATATCTCCCAAGTAACTTATTCCTCGCAAGCCCTCAAATACGATCTGGAAAAAATACATTCCATCAGAATTATTTGTTTCCTTAACATAATTTGCCAAAATGACTAAACATCACACAAGACTAATTGAAGAGGAAAACTGATTTACAACATGATATAACACAAATCAATACAATTACAATTAGAACCACCTTCAGGTAAAACGTTAAGCATATAAGGTCGGGTGTCCCTAGATTACACAATCATCAAATTTAAGTAAGAATTATTACATTAGTGACGGAAGCGGTTGTGCTTCCCCCTGCTATCTGCACCGTCCCCCTCTTCCAGGCGTTGCCCTGTGTGTGTTGTTTAGTCCACACGGGGGTCCCAAGAGTACCATTCCTGGAGAAGTACACATTGAGCGTGTTGATGTGGGGGCCAAACATGTGGTAGAAGAACACTAGGCACATCCGTGTATTACCGATGATTGGCGGGCTGATTAGGCGAGCTTTCTGGCCAGGTCGTCGTGGTGATGACGTCTCGATGTACATGTAGTAGCCATCTGAAAAAATGTCAAAATGCTAACAGTTTGCACAAGTAGATATGTAAATCGTTATCATGTTCAAGGGGACACAATAATCCACATGATGTCACATTAAGGGTGACACTTTTACAGTGAAACCCTGTTTATCCGGACCCCGTTATTACCTACGTCGAATCAGACGTTTTTAATGTACAGTATTGTTCAGATTAATTAGGTTCCACTATCATTCTGTGAATGTTTACCTGCCCTGGTATAACCGAATGCCTTGATACTCCAATGTGTACACATATCTTGGTCAATTGTCAACGCAATGTATACATATCAGGAGTCATTCTTCCCATGACAAGGGGGATTTTATGTCATTTTCGGGAGGGGCATAAGGCTTCTGATTTCTCTGCATTCGAAATGTCTGATGTTATCTCCCATGACATACTTTTGGCTGTATGGTCGGAGCTTGGCCCGGTTCCAGAGCTGGATGTTCCACCTTGTTTTCTGGTCCAGTCGAAGTCGTCAGTCTTGTCTTGTGTCCAGCTACAGGCATTGGAGTCAAAGTTGCAGTTGAAACCACCTGCAAGTGAGTGAGTGAGTGAGTGAGGTTTTATGTTGCCTCAGCAAGATGTATAAAACACTGTGGGGGACACTGATGGTTGGTTACACATTATACACGTTTGGTAACCAAACCCTGGTCTAGCGAGCGGTCACTGTAATCACATCGCCACCCTCCAGAGAGAATCACATATGGTAATGGAATCTGAATGTTCTGACTTATAACAGTGAGATATTAATGTCGTACAATATAAGCATACAAAATTCTTAATACTATTATTATTCATCAAAACTCAAAGTCATTTGATGAAACAGAATCCACACATCCCTACTGGAATTGATCAATTGTAGCTAAATATTTGTTTCTTGTTTGCCCCTAACCTGGTGCAGTTCCAAGAGCAACTGTGGTCGTTATGGGCGGCATTGGTGTTGTTGCCAAAGCCTTCGTTGGTGTCAGAGGGCAAGGGTTCTGTGTTGAGAAGGTTATGTCGTCGATGGCGATGTCGCCAGTGTAGCCGGGGCCGCGGATCCCTTCAATCAGCAACTGTGGATGAAGATAAAGCCTGGATTTACCCAAAAGACACCCCGAGCACATCAGAAATCAATCAAGCTGCTGTACGTTGATAGTGACCAACGAGATAGTTCGTGTTTGGTTTTAGTGAGTTTAGTGTGTACATACCTGGTAGTTGCCTCCTTGTTGAGGTATAGGTACAACCCCCTGTTGCCATGTACCCAGCTGTTGTCGAGAGAGAGACCAAATCACAGTCGCATTCTGGTTCTGTGGTTGGACGAGGACGTTGAGTGTCCCGATTGTCGCGCCGAACATGAGATAGTAGAAGGACATGCATCGGCCCGTGGTGGGCATGAACGAGGCACTCTGGAGGAATGCCTTGTCTCCTGGACGTCTTGGGGCAGAGGTCTCAATGAACAGGTATTTTCCTATGGAAGGTAGTGCAGGGTTTAAAAGCAATCATAAAGATGACAAACTGAGTTGAATTTAAGGTCGCTTGGAATAGGAGTTATATCACAGAATGTCAGCTTAAAATGGAACGAAACCCTATACTGTCACAGATTGCAGATGTTCAACCTGAAACGAGAAGATTTATATTCTCCTTTAGCAGTTCAGTAAATAAGTATGTGGTTTTTTAAATAGTTACCTTGACTATTGCCTTTTGTGTGGTCGCTAGACGGGCCAGTTGATGAGCTAGTTGTCGTACCACTCCCGACAACCCAGTCGAAGTCATCCGTTTTCATGTTACTCCAACTACACTTGTCGATTTCAAAGTCGCAATTTCCTGCAGAAAACATCACATTTTGACAAAACTTAAGACAAAAGTTTGTAAACATACAATCTGAATACAAATAATAACCGAAATAATAACAATAACAGTCCCAACAAGAAAACTTGTCCCTATTGGGGACACTATGCAGTTTGTAAAATAACATGGATCAAGAGTCATAACTGTGTATGCTCAAAATCTAAAACCATGTAGCACAGGAACTCTGGACAAATATGATTAACGGCACCGATTTTCGAACACAGTCTTTCCAAGTATCTCTGAGATAAGCATGGAAAGTGTTATTCATGTAATTTCAGTAGTTTCTGAGAAAACTTGTCCCCCATTAGAGAGACAATATGCACTGAAAAGCATTGAGCACGGGACATAACTCTGTAAAAAAATAATTTTCGGCACCAATTTTGGAAATCAGTCTTGACAAGTATCTCTCATATAAGCATGCAAATTTTCATTCATGTAATTTCAGTAGTTCCCGAGAAAACTTGTCCCAATTTCACTCAGTATGTACTAAGTTGTAAAACAACACGGAGCAAGGACTATGACTCTGTAAGAAAAGAATTCAAGACACCAATGTTCGGACTCATGTAAGATCGCGACCAGTAATGTCAATGTGTAAATTTTCATTTCTCTTACTTAAAAAGTTTTGTAGAAAATATGTCCCCTCTGAGTTGCAAACGGACTTCGTGGGGGGGGGGGGGGGGGGGGGTATAATATTAATGATAACGATTTTATGACTTCACATGTTGATCTTCTCCGTACATGTGTTAGGTGGCAAAATTGCTGACACAATGCCAGTGAGTCATTAAATTATAACTCACTTCCTAACTGAGTATACATGTATCTCAAAGGGGCATAGAGAACTAACAGAGATAAACTAAAATATTGAATGTGTTTAAAAAGACATTCAAACTACATTTCAAAATCAACATCATTGTTAGCCAAACTAACTATATATACACATGGATACTTCAAACAGACAGAGAAAAGTTTTGAATACTGTGCTTCTAAAATCCCAAATGTCATCAATCACTTTTGCCATTGAATACTTTATTCAACGATAAATAATTGAAATTAATTGCTGAAACATTACATGAACATTGCTACAACATACTTGAGCACATTCTATCAATGAGCATGCAAACACAACTATGACTGAATAAATTTCTGATTTCTCATTGATTAACTTTTTATGGCACAATTCCGCCTGGAAAGAGACCTTCATTAACGCGAACTTACTCATGATTGATATATCGTTTAAGATGATTCTGCTTTATTCACCAGTCGCATCCCTCAAGATATCCCTTTGCTTATATCGAAATATGGATAACTCAATTTACTTTGAGTTAACAGAGTCTGTTGTGGTTCAATCAGTCACTTACCTGGCTTCTGTGCACATGTCCCTGCTTTCACAGATATGTCGTCAAGAGCGATGTCGCCGTTGTAGGAGCTGCCTCTGACAGCCTCAAACACAGCGTTGAACGTCGCTGTGTTTGCTTGAATGGACACTTGACCTCGAATCCATCGGTTGCCTTGGCTACCTGTTGGATGGAAGGCAAACACATTATAGGTATGGTATACAGTGATGTGTGAGGAGGATACCAGTTGTTTGCCATCGGAAGGAGCAGTGCCCAAGCCGACACGTTGATTCTACCCACACTTTAACATTGCCCACCCCTTCTAAAGCACATCTTTCTTTCTTAGGTTTAGTAAATTGCTCCTGAAACAGAAGAATATTACGTTGCCTCTTTTACTCAGTAATTCTCATACACACAGCTAGAGGTTAGAAGGTTAGAATTAGACTTAAATTTATGTCCTGGCCTCTTAGAAGGAAGCCTAAATTGAGGCATGACATTTACCACTTTGGTGAAATCCATAAAGGATTATAATCATAGCGGAAATAGGTTTTAGCCCATGGCTGTCGGATTCAGACTACTACAGGACCTATACCTTCACAGTGAACTACGATACCTTACATCGCAAACCTACCACTACACCAAATTACAAACGAAAACGTCCCAACGTAACAGCTTTAGTCCCGACCAACCTTGCTTTGTGAACACAGCATTTCCCAGATTGTTGTTGGATTTGAAGTAGACACGGAACATGCCAGTGGAGGATCCGTACATATGGTAGTAGAATTCTAGACATTGGTTTGCACCAGATGGGGTGTAGGGGCCAGACACAAGTCGGGCGTTGTCGCCCTGAATTCGGGGAGCAGAGGTCTCGATGTACATGTAATGACCTACAACCAAACGGTATGGTAAAATAGCATGGCATCATAATATGAAAGCAGTGTGAAGAACAAGAAAGGATTTATTACATTTTGGATTCGAATTGGATCTGTACCACACTGAGAGAACGCCTTAACCTGGCATTATTTATTTTTAGATATGTTGTCTTCACGTATGTTTGTCCGTGCCTTTTCCTCAGTACATATGCCCATTCTGGTAAAGCATGGTTTAGAAAGCTATCATACCTCTAGAGGTCCCGTATGTGTGATCACCGGAAGGACCTGTGCCGAATGAGCTGGTCCTTCCCGCGTTTCTGGTCCAGTCGAACTTGTCAGTTGTCTTGTCCTGTGTGTATGTACAGGCACTCTCGAAGTTACAGTCAAGACCTGTTGTTGTTCCTGGGCTGGGTGTTGCTGTAACAATGCAGTTTAACCTTGCTTAGCATTCAATGTACAATTGCTTGTCAGCTCAAAGTCCAAAGTGATGCTCGGGGGAGAAATACATTTTTTGGAAGAAAGGATCATAATTGAAACAATGATCAAAGATCCCGTCACGAATTCTGGACACATCTTCGCACAACGAATTGACCTTTGAACATTGACCCATTAATTTAAAATTAGGAATACCTGTTTTTGCATTTAGAATATTTACAAAACTGTATACTATCTGAAGCATGAACTCCTGTCATGCAGGGTGTTTGAATACTCTATTAAGGTTTTGTTATAAAAAAAAATTATGCTTCGGACTATTTCTGAGAACAATAAATTGTCTGCTACAAAGAAAACGTTGGTGCAAGATGATTTATAATTTGTCATATTTGATTAAAAAAATATTTTGTCTGTCAAACTTTGGATCTGGATCATTCTGAGTACAGTAAACTATGTTTATAATGAACGAGCTAAAAACGAACTGACGGATATAACAAACGTACTTTTTTGTCTCGACTATCTGCTATAGTTATGCTGTATATATGCTTATAACAAATTACAGTGATAACAAACTCAAATCAGTGGTCACTTTGTGTTTGTTATAACCGTAGTTTACTGTATTGCTTGAATACCTTGGGTGCACTGTCCATCGTTGATGTTAACGTCGTCGATAGCTATGTCGCCTCTGTAGCTTGGACCGACCACGCCCTCTATCACAACCTGAATATGATAATGATACGTAGTTTTCTAACTTATATTAGTGATATGTACACTCCTGACACTAAATGTCACCATGACACTGGTTTGTCTTTCAGGTACAAATAATATAAACGTTAAAATGATAGTGGAACCACATACAAACTCCAATAACTTGAAGTATTCTTTGAGACAATGTTACTTTTGAGCACAGGTGGGATCCTCATCTACAATGTTTTGAACTTGGAAAATGCGACATATTATCAGTGTTTCCTTATACCTAATATTTGAAGCGATTTCACTGTTAAACAATTCTTAAAGTTAAATTTTAGTATAGAGTAGCTTAACATTTCCCCAATCACGTCGCGTTTATGTCAAGTAGGTATTTTGTCGCTTTAGAAATGAACATAATCAAAGTTTACCTGGAAGTGAACTTTAGATGGAATGTCTATTCTTGCTTGAATCCACTTGGGGCCCTTGGTTCCTTTGACTGTGAAGATGAGGTTTCCCAGTGCAGGTGTAGTCTTGGCGTAGACGTTCAGAGCGTTGACGTGATCGCCGTACATGTAGTACCAAAAGGTGAGACATTGTGTGCCGGATCCGGGCGCTACTGAGGGGCTGATGATTCGAGCTTTATCATTGGGCTTTCGTGGAGCCGAGGTCTCAATGAACAGATAGAAGCCATCTAAAGTAATAACATTTTTTGCATTAACAGTAGCATAAGTTGGTTATCAAGCACATATCATATTCGGTCAGATACATTTGCAATTTGTTTGATAGGAAAACTTAACCGGGTTCCAGATTAATCTGACTGAAATCGTTTGTATCAGCAAATGGTTGGAATCACGATTGATGTGTACAAGCTATTCAACCTTTGTATACCCATACTCAACATGTAATCATTCATGGTTAACTAGCGTTCTGGGCTATCGGGTTTTCAAGGTTCTTGGTTTCATCAGTATCAATTGATCAATATTTACAGATCACTCATAACGAAAACATATGAAAAAGAACATCACAACTAACTTCAGATACACTCCACATGGATACACAGACAATAAATGGGGTACTATTTTCTAAGATGCATTACATTTTACCAATGTCCTCTTGGAAACACTTTTCATGACTTGTATTTCAAACATGATTTGCATGAAAAGGAAAATGTATGTTATGTATTAGGAATATGAATGCATACATTTTATGTGTTCTATATTGTTCACTAAGGCATTCACTAGGGGAAATGAATTAACTTTACCCGGGCACCACTGTTCACTGATGTATACAAGAAACGAAGTGCATTTTAAGTGAGGCCTCATTGTCTACTATTAACACAGTTCACTAATGCATATATGTAATGAACCTACAGGCATGAACAATCAGTGGATTGTCTGGTCCAGACTCGATTATTTGCAGACCACCACCATGTAGCTGCAGTGCATTGTTAAACAACAAACATACAGACATGGATGCTTTCAATTGTTCGGATCATGAAAATAACATGCAGCGTTCCAGAGGTTACTGATCACACAAGGTTCAGGTGTGTCCACTTACGTCCACTGGTGTGGTCACTCTGGGGTCCAGTTCCTACAGATGTCGTAGGTCCCTTGTTTCTTGACCAATCAAACGTGTCTGTAGCCATCTGAGTCCAACTACACAGCCCAGTATCAAAGTTGCAGAAGAAGGGGCCCGTCGCTGGGAGGTACAACAGTGTTGTATACAATATACATATATTACTCATGTTTTGATAGGGATGATCATGACTTAACTTACTGATTGCCTCAGGATATGTACAATGAAACCAGTGCAGACGGAACTGTACCCAGTGACATTATCTTTATAGTTTTATCTCTTTATACAGACCGTAGAAAATGAAATACATTTTAATAAAAACTGTTATTTATAAATGTCAAGACTTTTGTTGTTTCGTTTCTGTATCTCTGTTTGTGATCGTATTAACATACCTGGTTGTGTAGGAGTGGCGGTCGTCAACGTCAGAGGGGCGATGGTACCATTTCCATTTACATTAGCTGCAGCAGGTACAACTGGAAACATCAAGTTATTATATCGTTCAAAGTATTTATTATTCAGATCAGAAACTAGACAATGTTGGGTTAATTTGACTGGGCTATGAAGTACAAGAATACAGTATTCCTAACAAATACTGAGTAGTATAACCATCGTACCTCCGCACGTTGTCTGGGTTATAGAGATGTCATCTATGGCAATGTCTCCACGATATCCGCCACCACATATTCCTTCAAAGTACACCTTAAACAGTAACAAAGTATAACATTGAAAAATACATTTTAATGTTTAGAATATCTAATTAATAAAAGAATTGTTTTTCTTGAAGATATGATGTGTGCAAACCAGAAATGAAAGGAAAGTGCTGCTTGGGTGTTGAACAAGTTAAATGATTACTTATTTTCCTTTGTCTATTCGTGTTACGATATTGGCAACAAATGTGATGGGAACACTTGTGCAGTTCTTTAAAAAACATATTTTGTGCTGGGGTTGGGTGTTACTATTCATGTAAATTTAATAGAGAGCATATTTACTCTGTAAGATGTCGTTGATGCTATGGGTGCCTGGCCATTGAGCCATTTGTCGCCCTGACTGCCACTGAGAGACCACACTGTTGTGTTGACGTTGCCGACGATGACGTACACGTTGAGTGTGCCGATCTGACTTCCGCTCATGTGGTACCAGAAGGAGATGCAACGTTTTAATGATGGCGTGAATGTTGAACTTGACAGCCACGCTTTATCTCCAGATCTTCTTGGAGATGATGTCTCAATGAATGCATATTTACCTTAAGAGAGAGAGAAATAAATATGAAAGACAAGTTTGTGAAAGGCCGTTTTAAAAGGTATATCAGTTGCATCACCACGATTCATCTTATAGTGGGATGAAAATGCAAGTCGTTGTTGTTTAATACTTTGGTGAAACTCGTGAGCACCAACCAAGGATAATAGAGTCAAACTACTAGGTCATACTGTTAGCAAGTTAATTGTAAGACTTAGTATTGAAAAGCCAGTTGTTATATAAGTCAGTTATATTCAGTACTGTCAGTGCTGTAGGAAGCGCTTCGTTTTAACGGTCATGAAATAATGCTGGCTTTGTCTACCCCTGGTTCATTGGCAGAAATAGATGCGAAAATGAAATGACTTGACCTACCGGCACTGTTGGCGAGAGTGTGGTCAGATGATGGCCCCGTGCTAAAACTGGACGTGCGACCAGAGTTAAGTGTCCAGTCAAAGTCATCCTGGCCTTGAAGGTTCGTCCATGAACAGTAGCCCTTCTCAAAACTGCAGGATCCTGGATAACATGACAGAACAATGCAAATGATTGAGTTGGTTTAACATCACGTTTGACACAATAATTCAGTTTAATCACTGCCTGTCCGGTTAATGTGGGAGGAAAGCACAAACTGGTTGGTGACGTTTTCTTTTCAGGTAAAAGAACATCAGTCATAAAACCATTTCCACATTCACAAGTCCATTGCTCAATTTCTACTGTATCATAAGCATGTGTTCAGGAATCACCACCAAATAGTGATGTTATCAGGTGTTTGCAAAAGGCTAAGGTATCTTGCAACACTGGTGGCAACCTTCACAAACAATGTAAAGTAAAATCAAGTGTTCAGCTGAACAAACACGGGAGCAAATGATACAAGTCAAAAAAGGGAATTACATTGGACATGGCTGTTATTACTGATGCGTCAAATTGGGAAAAATCATACACTTGTCCATCTTTTTGATAGCTTTACTGAAGCCTTGAATGCTGATCAAACCTACGAAAATGGGTGTGATACCGATTGATTGAATGACTAGCGGACCCTGGCAGTTAAGGGACGTAACTCACATGGGGTTAGTCCATTAGTTACACAGCATGAACGTCTAGAATTTGAAAGGCATTAGAATCCATTTAGTTCAATTAAAGTTCACGATGCTCACCTGGGGATGCGCATGCGCCACTTGTGATGCTGATGTCATCAATGACGATGTCACCTAAGTAGCTGACGCCTCGGATGCCTTCAAAGGCGATCTGGTAATTACTACGTGACAAGTCATTTGCTGAAAGGGTAGTTGAGCCGAGTGACCATTTCATTCCTTGGTTACCAGACAGGGTCCACACAGTCGTCAGTTGTTTGTTTGCCAACAGCTAAAACAAACACATAAACAAATGTTCGTGTTTACTATAACTGAATATGGCAACATATTCTAACAGGTTCTGTTTGAATTGAATAGGGTAAATCAAATTAAACGGGTAGTCAGCGGATTCATTCTACAAATCACGTACATCAAGTAAGTAATCATTTCTTCTTTTGTGAAGCATTAATGTGAATAGCAACAGTCTTATACAGTGGTTAGGGGTACAGTGGTATGATGGTAAAGTGGCATTATTATTGTGGTATATACATGCTGGTATTAATATGGTGATACAGCGGTAATTGTATGGTGGTATGGTGGAATGGCTACAGTGGCAGAGCTGAAACAATAAGGTGTTATAGTGATACGATTGTGCGGTATAAAGGATGTATTTTGAAATGAATATGTAGTATAAGAGAGTATATATGTACCGGCTATACCCTCATAATATCATTCTATGCCAATCCAAGCTCGGTCAGGAGACACTAGTATATGTATCCTGTCTGATGTTGAGGGTACCGACATGGAACTCCCCCATACGTTATGTCTGGACCTACCATAATGTTGAGGGTATGGACACTGAACCTCTCCATACGCGATCCTGTCTGACCTACCATTTTTCTTGGGGGTACCGACACGGAACCTCTCCATACGCGATCCTGTCTGACCTACCATAATGTTGAGGGTACTGACACGGAACCTCTCCATACGCGATCCTGTCTGACCTACCATTATGTTGAGGGTACCGACACTGAAGCTCTCCATACGCGATCCTGTCTGACCTACCATAATGTTGAGGGTACCGACACGGAATCTCTCCATACGCGATCCTGTCTGACCCACCTTGATGTTGAGGGTACCGACACGCAACCTCTCCATACGAGATCCTGTCTGACCTACCTTGATGTTGAGGGTACTGACACGGAACCTCTCCATACGCGATCCTGTCTGACCTACCATTATGTTGAGGGTACCGACACGGAACTTCTCCATATGTGAACCTGTCTGACCTACCACTATGTTGAGGGTACGGACACTGAACCTCTGCATACGCGATCCTGTCTGACCTACCTTTTTCTTGAGGGTACCGACACGGAACCTCTCCATATGCGATCCTGTCTGACCTACCATAATGTTGAAGGTACCGACACGGAACCTCTCCATACGCGATCCTGTCTGACCTACCTTGATGTTGAGGGTACTGACGCGGAACTTCTCAATACGTGATCCTGTCTGACCTATCTTGATGTTGAGGGTACCGACACTGAACCTCTCCATACGCGATCCTGTCTGACCTACCATAATGTTGAGGGTACCGACACGGAATCTCTCCATACGCGATCCTGTCTGACCTACCTTGATGTTGAGGGTACCGACACGCAACCTCTCCATACGTGATCCTGCCTGACCTACCATTATGTTGAGGGTACCGACACTGAACCTCTCCATACGCGATTCTGTCTGACCTACCTTGATGTTGAGGGTACCGACACGGAACCTCTCCATATGCGATCCTGTCTGACCTACCTTGATGTTGAGGGTACCAACACTGAACTCCCCCATATGTTATGATGTCTGGATCTACCCTGATGTTAAGGGTACCGACAGGGAACGCCCCCATACATGATTCTGTCTGACCTACCATGATGTTGAGGGTACCGATGTGGCTACCGTACATGTGGTAGTAGAAGTTGAAACACAGGTCAGTATTGGAGGCTGGGTACGTGGGAGACACGAGACGTGCTATGTCTCCTTGAAGACGTGGAGCTGATGTCTCAATGTACATGTAGTGCCCTGTAACATCAAATGTCATTGTTGGTTACTGAGGACGATGTATGATATTAGCAAGAAACCTGTTTGATCACGGGTTGGTGCTTGGTATCAGCCAGAAAAATAATCATTGACTTGAAGGAATAGGTGTCACCTGTTCCGAGTGAATGAATGGTGCAAGCTGCGAGCCTTTAGCAGTGACTTACAGAATGTATTCACGAGGTACAGCTATTACATCATTCAGTGTTTCATACATACATCATCCGTTGAAAATTTGTGAATGAAAATGAATCAAAGAAAACCTGTTTCAAACCTTTTTTCAGTTAACCTATTTTTAATGAGGCAATGTTAGGAATTTGTGATGTCATGGAGAAGCCAAAACGTTTTCCACACATTAATTATAACAGCAGATAATAACACAATCATAGACATAAAGAAGGTCAACGCTACCTCTTGATGTCCCGTAGGTGTGGTCACTAGTTGGTCCAGTTCCAACTGATGATGTTGTCTGGCTGGCTCTGGTCCAGTCGAAGCTGTCAGTCTTATCCTGGGTGTAGCCACAGATTGATGGGGTCTCAAAGTCACATTTACCGATAGGATTCGATAGGGTACCAGGCTTGGGGGTTGTCCCATTTCCTGTAAAAAATGAATAATTTAGAAATACGTTGTCATGCAATTCTGTATCACATGGATTACGGAACGATCTAAAAAAATGTACTATCTGAACCAACACACTGTACGGATTAGGAATCCAGTTTGATTGAAATTTATAACAAGGGAATTCAGGACATTAATCTGATGTTTACTTTGAAAAATGGTGGGTTTTTTTGTTTGCAAAAGTATTTCAAGGATTACAATACAGGGGTGTGTATTGAGTATATATTTGGTTGAATTTCGTTTAAACTGATGACCCTGTATGTGATACACCGACCGCCTATCATCAATATTCATGTATTCATGATAGTTCTGTATTTACCATGCCTTTAACCACATCAAAGTTTGTTTTATGAAAAATGAGAAAGGGCGTTTCTTACCCTCACAAAAGCCGTCTTTGAATGTGATGTCATCAAGGGCAATGTCCCCAAGATAGCTGACCCCTCGAACCCCCTCGAACACGACCTGGACATTGGTCAATAGAGGTGTTTAAAGCGTTAGATTTAGTCGGAACCTTTCAGTTATATCACGTGGTCCAAATTAATACTGGATGAATGCCCATGCAGGTTGACGTGTGCCAATTTGGTGAAATATTTCAACACTGGTTTGGTACTGATATAAATCAAGAATTACAGTCTGCAAATCGACGAAGCTGTCCACACCCAACGCTAAGTAACATTTTTTTTATACTTATCCTAAAGCCTACAAACACAGTCACAACCTTGTGAGTAATGAATGTCATATATATAATGAAGTTACCATTTACATTGTGTTTGATATTATATTAATCCTGTATGTGAAATGCATAGATCTATATGGAAATTAGCCTTAAAAAACACGGAAGTAAAACTGTCTTGGTTATAGTTTTTTTTAACCATTACCTTAAGGAGTGTCATATTTTATAGTGAGCTTCAACACTTACATTATACTGTCCCTTTATATTTATGTCCACGGATCCCTGTATCCACTTATTGCCTTGGGTGCCGGTTTTGGTCCAGATCGCCGTGCCCAAGTTGGAGCCAGCTTGTGTGTAGACGTTGAGGGCGTTGATGTGGGGGCCGTACATGTGGTAGTAGAACTGCAGGCACTTGGTGCCCTGGGAGTTGACGACAGGGCTGACAACGCGAGCTTTGTCCCCATTATGTCGGGGGTAGGATGTCTCGATGAAGATGTAATACCCCTCTGGAACAATTGGTGAGGAATGCTGATTTACTATGCAAACAATAATACTACGTCTACAACACGTTGTATATAGCAGTGGTTGAGAATATAAGCATGCTGCCTGAAGACCGCAGTCAGCAAGATCCCATAAAACCATGATTTCTCCCATTTCGGTCGCCTCTAACGACAAGCATTTGAAACATGCAGGCCACTATCTTTCCAAAGGGTTCTCATAAGAATAGATTAATGACAGTGGATATCAGATACGATCCAGCAGGACCATTGAACGCATGTCCCTTACAAACCAGCATCCTTATGTTTGCCAATATGTTTGGGCGACACAACCAAAACCAACTTACTTCTAGTGGTATGGTCATTTCCCGGTCCGGTACCACCTGATGTTGTTGTGCCTTTCTGTCTAGTCCAGTCAAACTGGTCATTATGGGCCTGTGTCCAGCCACACATGTTGCTCTCGAAGTTGCAGTTAATTGTTCCAGACACTGAAAAGTACACGTTGAATATTATATTGAGATATTTCCATGTCACAAACCTTTATTAATGAGATGGTCAGTCCTGGCGAATTCTATGTAAATCTTTGAAACTACTTCGAAACATATTCTTGTGATCTACGTGGCGTGTAATGTTTTTTACTAAACATACATAGGCAACATCCCCGGCTCACACATGACACATCTGTCGAACATTTGGAAAAAAATAGGTAATTATTACTTAAAGTCAACCAAAGATACAAGTAACAACAATTTTTGTTGCTGAAATTTTCGATGAAGGAAGTGATGAGGAAAATAAAAAAGTATCGATAAAAAGTTTGAAACTTTAGATTACGAGTTACGCGTATTCGTTACATACTCATTACGTGTCCTTAAGTTAATCTGCATTGTATCACTAATTATCCTCAATTGATTTTAGACCACAGATAAGGCATCCACACGGACAATAGGGTCTGATGGTCTTTGACCATATATCGTGTAAAGTGAGCATGAGGTTAACGAGATTCACGGTATGTAAGAGTTTAAGCTTACATGACGTGGCTGTAGGTGGGTATGTCGACCTCGGGGTGGTTGACGCCGGCGTGGTCTGCCCGAGGGGGCGTGCTTTTCCAGGAGTCAGGCCACATACCCCTGGGTGGAAGTTAAGTTGATCTATGGCGATGTCACCAGTATAGCTGCTCCCGACCGTAGCTTCAAACATAATCTGAGAAGCAAAACTTCAGATTAGACGTCAATTCCAGGCAAACATTGGGATGTATAAAACTGTGAATTCGACATGAAAGTCCATCATTAAAAGCAAGAAATAAATATTGACTTCCTCTTTAAAATTGTAAATGAAACATTATCTTACGTCATACATAATGTATTGACATAAATTCAAACGATGAAAGCCAACCATATTTTGAAAGAAAAATATGTTTGACATGTTTGTCATTTGATTGGGGTTGCGTGAACTAGCTTACTTTTTAAAATTTACTTTGGGACAGAGAAGTGACCTGGGAAGAGAATTGACTGGGGCTTTAAGATTGAAGCCGCACTGACAATCCTCACTGTCTCACTGATAATCCTTAAAATAATTGTCAATGTTAGGTGTCTTACATGGAATTCCGTAACCGATTTAACAGGGAACTGCCCAAATGACCATGCGTTGGCTTGGTTACCAGACAGCTGCCACAAGGTGGTACCAGGGTAGGTAGAATTGGTGACGTAGTTGACCTTCAGAGTTCCGACAGATGCGCCATGCATGTGGTACCAAAACGAGTAGCAATAAGTGGTGTTGGCTCCCGTTGGTTTAAACGTTTCACTGTAAAGTCTAGCTTTCTGACCTGCTTTCCTTGGGGCACTTGTTTCAATGTAGGCATATGTTCCTGACGTAAAAGATGGATATGAATTTCAGTTATGTCAATGTGTGTCAGCCTGGCAGTGTTGAATCTGGTGCCTTTACATCTGTGAATTTAGTGGTTCATCCATAACCTTCTCGCAGAGGATTCTCACTTTGTAAGAGCAATTGAAATTGACTGCTGTCATGCTAAACAAATAATCATAATCGGCAGTCCTGGCAAACAAAATGTGTCGTTCAAAGCTAATTTCTTTCTTATCTTGTATCTAACATTTTATTATGAATATCAATCTTGAAGTTAATGATGCCTGAAGTACTCACAGAAAAGGATTAATTTTCACATATGGCACAACTGTCAACATCTTGACTTTGACTAGAAATTGGTAACGTTGACAATAGTTCAATATTAAATATTTTAAAGAAGGGTTCTTTCATGTAACGCTCTTAATAGGGCATAATGCTCTTAATCTAGATTATGCAAGAAAAATGATGCTGACCTTGCGTGTTGCCCATGCTATGATCGACGGTGGGGCCTGTGTTGACAGAGGATGTGTGGCCACGTTGCAGCAACCAATCAAAATCGTCTGTGCCGTCCTTTACATTCTTGTATGTGCAGAATGTGTGTTTGTCAAAGTTGCACGTACCTGTAACGACATTAGAGCCATATGCAAAAATACATCCTAGGGAAAACATTACAAATGTAGAGCCACAAAATTTGGACAACATGTATTATATTTTGTCCTCACGAAAAATGGGAAAGTATTAATCCAGAAAACATACCATAGGCATATGTTTATGTTTTAATGTTACCTCTGCAAAAGTCCCGAAGTGATAATGTCTTGATAACAACACTGAGAATTGTAAAATAGATTTCCCCTTGTTCGTATTTTTTCTCCAGATTTTTGCAACTGATATGTAGGAGTATCACATCAAACATACCAGGAGAAACACAGGCTCCAGCTGTGACATTGACGTCATCAATTGCAATATCGCCATGGTAACCAGATCCAACAACCCCTTCGAACACAAGCTGAAAAAAAAATGTGAATAGTTATACCATAGAATGAAGTTTTCTACCCATGTGGGTATCAGTGAATTCCAAAGACTGTCAGGGTCCCTACACCATTGTGACACAGATGTCTAAGCATCGAACTCGAGCATGCTGCGCAAATGTTTGAATTTTAACATTCGTGGTCAAGGGTTTTGATAACTGTAGACCGCTTCGATGTGAATCAAGTCATTATTTACCCTCGCACAAAGGTCACATAGCGGCATGAAAACTATATTCTTCACTCACTACCCTTCGGCTAAAGAAAGGAATGTGTCACATGCGTAATTTTTTATACTCACTGAGTACATAGCCTAAAGAAATTCTAACCTTGATTGCCTCCATTGTTACTGGTGGTGTACTCGAGTAAGGGTAAGGTGCTGTCAAAGCATTACATATTATCAGGGGTTGTCTGAGATTCGACTCAAATGGTGTCTCCAGGTACAACGTCACTACTCAGGGAATAGCAACGTGACCTTCGCACCCTAAATAGAAGTGTTTAAGGAGACCCATTTTCTGTCTGTGACTTAAAGTGTTTGGACTCTTACCTGGAAAGCAAACTGTGGTTTGATCGTAACTTGAGCCACATTCCAGTTGTTGCCTTGGTTGGACTTCCGGGTCCAGATCGGTGACCCTAGGGAGTTAACTTTGGTGTAGACATTCAGCTGGCCGATCTGCGACCCGTACATGCTGTAGTAGAACGTGAGACAGTTGGTCCCCCCAGTGTGGGTGGTGGGGGAGAGGAGCCGAGCTTTCTGACCCTGTCTCCTGGGTGCTGACGTCTCGATGTAGAAATAGTGCCCTGTACATTATATATGGTGGATGAAATAGTTGTAAATTAGATTGCGAATGTGAAATATTTAGAAATAACGAGTATAAAATAAATTGAAAGTGAAAACAAAAAGAACTCTTGACATTGAAGTATTTAATTTAAACACAAAATTCTAAGTATATGTACGTTTACAAAGTTCAGGGTAGTCTACGATCTTGCCTTGATATATATAAACAATTCCAAAATGTAACACAAATTATAGGGTCCAGTGTGAAGAAAGAGTAAGCATGTGCCTTCAGACAGAGCTTGAAACATAAATGATACAGGGGCTTCAGTGTGAGGTGCGTGTGACAGGACAATGTGACAACTGACCGGCACGTGTCCCGTAGGTGTGGTCAGCAGTGGGGCCTGTGGCAACCGAACCCGTTGTCCCAGTCGTCTTGGTCCAGCCGAAGTCGTCAGAAGTGTCTTGATGATATCCGCAGCTGTCTGTGGGTTCAAAGTCACACGACAGCAGGGACGGGATGCTTCCTGTTGCCGTCCCTGAAGACCCTAAAACATCATCAAAGAAACACGATCTCACGAAAATGGCGACTAAACATTGTGATTGAACACTTTTTTCAAAACACTTTATTGAAAATTGAAAATACACGAATAAATATCAAAGCAATTCCTCTTAAGTGATGCATGTGAGAAAATAAACAATTTGATTAAATCGACAGCCTATTGTATAAAAAAACAAAGAAATAGTTTTAATGTATTGAGATGTGATGATGATAAAAATTAAAACTCAGTGAGTTAGTGAGTATGTTTTTATACACTGTGTTTAGTAAAATTCCATCAAAATCACGACAAGAGACACCAGAACTTTTTTACTCAGTATGTGGTGCCTGCTTCAGTGTGTTTGACTGAACTGGGATTGCAATAATCCCACAATATCGACGGGTTTTCGTCTTGACAAGCCCATGCTTTAACATCCAGTCTAGCTCACCGCACCTTCATTCAATTATATAGCTTGGAAATTCTGGGAATAAAAACAAGTATGTTTAATATTACCCGAACAGGAGCCAGCAACTGCACTGATATCATCAATGGCGATATCTCCTGTGTAGGATGTTCCACGACTGGCTTCAAAGACCACCTGAAGTGGAGACGCTCCCGTGATGTCAACAGTAGCTTTCTTCCATGTAGGACCCTGAGTTCCGTGCTTTGACCACACGGCATTCCCCAGTGCGCCACTTCGCTTGTAGTAGACTTTTAGGTTGTTGATAGTTTGGCCATACATGCTGTACCAGAAGGTGAGGCACATTGTCTGACCATTGGTCAAGGTGAGAGGTGGACTGACAAGCCGAGCGAGAGAATTGTAACCATTCCTTGACGTCTCGATGTACATGTAGAAGCTTGCTGTTCCAGAAAAAAGGAGAGACTTATTACAGTCACTGTTTAAGCAATACCAAGGCGAGGGATGCCAATAACGGGCTCCTCGAAAAAAAAAAATTGTCAGATTAAATTCAGATTTATTTTAATTACAATAAGAAATAAGGGTTAGGACATGCAGTATTTTGATTTTTGCAAGCCAGATGACGAAACGACTGACAATTCGCGCCATGGAATTTTGAGAGTGACATAGTTTACACGCCGTTATATGAAACCATAGAGCCATACTCGATTTGAAAATTACACGTGAGCTTTAAACGCCTAAATGGATGTGTTTTTCTGCTCACGACACTGGTGTAAAACGTACTGGTTAGGAAAACACTGTGATACTACAAATAGGAAAGTTAAGTAAGTCTCGTCCTATGAACGTTTGCACATGGCGGTATATGGCTACCTTCAATATGTCTTCTAGCAACAGCCCAGTAGATAAAAGAAAAATATACGGAATATTTAGAGATTCGAACCCGGACCTGTGATGGGCGAGGGCAGAACCACTGGGCTACCAACCATCATCCAACATCACTACTTACATCCAGTGGTGTGGTCACCCGATGGTCCGGTCAAACTGGACGTTGTACGTCCGCTATGTCTCGCCCAGTCGAAGTTGTCACTCGTGTCCTGCGTCCAACCACACGTGTCGTAGGTAAAGTTGCAGTTAAAGTTCTTGCCACCTGTGTGAAAATGATCGATCTTCATCACACACTGTCATCACACAAAAAATAAACAAATATTTGGTTACGGACAAAGATTTGTAACACACTGGAACTGCCCCGATGGAGTAGAAGAGCGCCAGAGAGCGATAGGGCTGTGGTTTGATCCCCTGGCCGCGTCACAGCAAAGACGTCAAAGATGATTCCTGTTGTTACGCTGTCTGGCGCTCGGCATTGAGGGGATAAAACAAGGAATGGCCATCTCAGAGTGTTTGAATATTATGTGTCTGAAAAGGCTTCCATGCTTAACTACAGCAGGGTATCGTCCTGGGCTACCAGCATAAAACTGGACTTGTGTTACAGCAGCCACACAAACGTCAATATGAAATTGAATTGATCGCAAGCGCAGCGTTAAACCCAAGATGAGGATGAAATTCGTTCTGGCTTGACACAATTACTTGAGTTTAGGACAAGAAAACATTCCATCTAAAATAAAATAAAACAGATTTCGCACGTTTAGTGTAATCTTCGGCTTTCAGCGAGGAATTAAAATATCCAAAAGGTGATCTCTCTGATGGGAATCCACATTTGAATTAGTTTCATTCACGTGACTATCACATGACAGTAAACAACGTAGTGTCAGTTGTGATCCTGATGCAAACAGCAAAATTAAAGAATGAGTGAGAGAGTAGGTATTTCACCGGCATTAATCATTTCAGAGCCATTGCAAGGCGGGAGACATCAATGATGTGTGGACTCGAAAATATTCGAACCCAAGTCTAAGGCCAGAAATGACAACACGTTCAGCACTAGCTTGGTTACCCATCTACAAATGTGCTACAGTGAAAAAAACATGAATTTTATGTTTTTGCAGGTAACATATCAACTTAAAAGTAAAGTCACTACTGAAATGTGCATGATCATCAGAAATGCGTTATGCTAACCTGTAGGTTTTGGTGTTGGTTTGGTGCTGGGTGTTGATTTCGGCGTTGATCTGGCTGTGGTGGTTATTCGAGTTGTTGGTTTCTGGGTCACGGTTGGTCTTGCTGCATTGGGAATCCCTGAAACACAGAATATTGTGTGTAGTGGCATTGATGTCAGTTCAACACCGTGGCCTGAAACGAAGGTATTAGACGTTTAAACCGTCAGTGAAGCATACGAGCATTAGCACGATAGTGAAAAAAACATGGATCATAGTTCAGGCGACTCTCTGATTCGAAACAAAGACAAGTTGATCCGTGGCAAGTTGCGCACCTTTGCCCACTGGACCATCTCTGCCACTGTTGATTTGATACATACTGTTAATATAACCGCAAAGAATTGTGTTTGTCTTCATTTTGCGATTCAGTGCAGCATGCTTATTCACGATAGTATTGAATCATTATTTGGGGTTAAATTACCAAGAATCTTGGAACTCACTTTGGCATGAAGCTGCATTGTCAATAGTGACGTCATCTAAGCCAATGTCTCCTGTCCAGCTGCCACCTCGGACACCTTCCACGATGATCTGCACACGGTAGAAGCATGATTAGCTTTTTCTACATCTTTCATTTGGTATATTGTAATATTTATGGTGTACTCGGACTGAGGATACGATTAATACGTACATTAGGAATACATGCATCACAAGATAACAGATAAGTTTTTTTTCTGGTTATATCCTCTCTATTACTTGTCAATATTCAGAAAAAAGAGTACTTACTTTATAATGGCCTCTGTATTCATTCCCTACTATACTGTTTCAAATATCCACTGCTTCTACATCTTGACAATCCTGATTATATTTTCGTCTAATGCTCCTTGCTATATTGCCACAGAAACTAGTAAAACGAAAATATATATTTCTTTGGTCTAGCAAAAAGTGTTGACTGTACCTTAAAGTCTGATGTGGTGGGTGGTATTTTAATTTGCCCTTGTTGCCAGGTATTTCCCTTGGCCCCTGTCAACTCCCATATTGGCAGTGGGTTCGAGCCTGACTGCTGGGAGTACAACCGCAGCGTGCCAACCGTGGTGCCGTACATGTGGAAGTAGAAGTGGAAACAGGTTGTGTTGGAGGCGGGGATGTTGGCACTGAGGAGTCGGGCATTGTCTCCGGAAACCCTTGGGGCTGAGGCTTCGATGAAGACATATTTTCCTGGAACACCAATGACCTCATATAATTACTTAGGATGGTTATATACCTTTCAACACTGTACAGGGGATACAAAAAATGCCTTCACACAATGTAAGGAACAGAACGAGCGAATGTTCCACCAACTGGGCTTTCCCACAGACCCTTGAGAACATAAGCCAGGTCATGTCAGGATCAAATGTCGAGTCTAAACCATATTTGTCATAATCTAAAGAAATAACAACCAGATTTTGCGTTTTACTATACATGGAAAATAATCATTATTATAATAATAATTAATGTTATTATTATTTTACCATCCGTGTTTGTAAAGACTAACAATTCCGTTCGTGAAACCTTTGCGGAAGGACGGATATCTGTACAATTGTACAGTTTATATACTTTTTCTATATTATGTGTGACAGATTCTCCAAAACTTAAACGTACTTATTTGGTAGCATTTTATGGAACGGGTTTTGTCGCTTTTATTCATTCAAAATGTCATTTAAGAGGTAGGAAAATGCTTCTCAAGAAACAGATCATTTGACACATAACACATTCCGACATTACCATGTCCACTGGTGTGGTCAGTTGTTGGCCCAGTGCCTCCACTGCCCGTCGTGCCTTTGTTGAGAGTCCAGTCAAACTTGTCGGTCTTGTCATTTCGCCACGAACACAGCCCACTATCGAAATTGCAGTTCACTAAAAATACAGAAAGTTTATTGAATACAAAATATTTTGGTACGTCATCTAAAAGTGATATTATATATAATGTTATCTGCTAAATGAGTTAGTTAGTGAGTGAGCAGGGTTCTACTCTACATTTTGCAATATTCCAGCCATGAGTAAGTGAGTTGGGTTTAACAGTGGCGTGTCAGCTTAATGTGGGAGGAAAGCCTGAAGTGATGCAGGTCTGAGACGTTTACCACTTTGGTGAAACTAACGATTACGGGTATGGTGCTGACAAACCTAGAAACATAATCATAGCAAACCGGGATTCGAACCCACAATCATTGGTTTCTCGCGTGCCCAAAGGACGCAAATCTGCACAGCAAACCGCGGCGCCTTAGAAGACTGGGATACCTCCGGCCATGGAGTGACCCCAATAAAGAAACATCATACAATGTTCACGGTGTTCCGACTGAAGAGCAAAGCCTTGAACCAACACTCTAGTCTATGGCACGGCTCAAGAAAAATGTCTGGGCCAATGGTATGTTTCAGATACAACTAAACACTCTTGATCCTGTTTCTGATTTTTGGTTCAATGTGATGTTTGTTTCTCTCCAAGAGGATTATTTTAAAGGCACTGGTGTCACATTCGAATGAATCGTAATGTTAGATTTCATGAATCTGTATAATTTAATATAAGATTTGATATAGATCTTTGGTTAAAGGTACCCTTACTTCAATTATTGACGATATTAACAATTTAACTTACCACTTGTTGAACAGGCGCCTGCTGTCACGCTGAAATCATCGATCGCAATATCACCCAGGTAGCTTCTTCCCACGATGCCCTCAAAGACAATTTGGTAAGGCGTATTGCTTGACACAGTCTTGAGAGAGACCTTCGCGATGTTCCATGAGTTACCTTGATTTCCTGTTAACGAGTGAGTGAGTTAGTGAGTCGGGTTTGTCGGGTTGTGGCAATTTGACGAAGGAACTACTGGTGAACGAACGACACATACACACACACACACATATATATATATATATATATATACATGTATGTATCTGAAACACACACATATATATACACACACCTGTGTGGTTCCTTGATCTAGAGAAAGTGGGTCACTATTGTGTTGGATACAGTTGGATGATTATCGAAATCATTTGTCACTTTTATTATCGATGCTTTCACTCAAACAATGTGACACAGATATAAATCCATCGCCAACGGCGTGGCGGGTATTTACTTCAATTACATCACTCCCAGTTTTGGCTGGATGAACTTGCTATCGAAATAATAACTAATCTTTACGCCTTACCTGACAAATGCCAAACTGGAGAACCCCTGGCACCATTTCTCAAGACATAGACTTTCAGAGTACCGATTGAAGTTCCATACATGTGGTACCAGAAAGTTACGCATGTTGGTGAGGTGGGTCCAGTCAATATGAAGGAATTCAGTCGTGCAACATCATTGGGTCGTCTAGGAGCAGATGTCTCAATATACATGTAGTGACCTGCGTCAAGAAAGTTGAAACATGTTGCACAAGAAGAGAAATAGAAGCGCCCAAAAACGAATATTTCTGTAACATAAGGAACTACATGACTGATATTAACGTCAGGAATCACCCGTGGTTGAAGCGTTAAGGTACTGACACCTTTACCTTAAGGCAACAGAAGAAACACACAAATTATAGCATGTAAATGGCTGCAGACACAAACGTGTTACCACTGAAATTCAAAGTATCATGACTTCAGTTTGACGATGTGGTTCTAAGAAGAAGCAACCAGCAACTCATGACTGCTAATGTTTGCGAAAGAACGGACGGACATCCATACCTAATCTTGTCCCATAAGTGTGGTCACTGCCAGGTCCAGTGCCAGAGGAAGAGGTTGACCCCACAGCCCTTGTCCAGTCGAACTTGTCAGAGTGGTCTTGAGTGAACCCACAAAGGTTACTGGCCTCAAAGTTGCATTTGTCAGCGGTTGGTTTTGACGAGGGCCCCACTGTTGTTCCTGTATAATATGAATGTTTGACCCGTGAGTGACAGAGAATATTACAGTAAGATCGCATTATTGTGGAGGAAACCCAAGGTGAAGCAGCTGTAGGCGTCTATCTACTTCGGTGCTGATACATCGAGGTTCACGATTGGGGCCAATCTGGAGCCTTTCATGGCTAAATATATAAGGTACATTTTTTAATAGATGCCTTATGTGAACTAATGGGATAGAATAACCGATACTGATAGACTACATTGTGATCTTTTGAATGATTCTGGTTTGAAGTATGTGTTCACACGATTAGACCTATCATTGCTTTATCAGAGAAGAGAATACTTTGCTATCAAACAGATAGACATACACATATCTTGAGAGCCGTGAACATTCATCATGAAGCCATAAACTGAAAAAATTTAGGGATCGTTAATATTTTTTGGGATATGTTTTTAATGAAGACTGAGCACTCAATTTCAAAAACAATTTCATGATCCCGAACTTTTTTGTTCTGTGTATTAAAACACATAACCCTTTCATTTTGGTGACATATTAACAACACAATTAGCAATGATCCAGGTTTGGATTACATACGATATTTGTCTACGTTATTTAATTATTTGCATTCATTTGGCAATGTGTTTAATTTCAAGTGCCCCCTTTTACAATTCTGTGCACCCGCTTGATAATTATGAATATGTTGACATTGGACAACGTTACACGTTCTTTAATGTGTAACTAACTTGCCATGTAAAATGTGTGCCTTAGAACGATTAATATTTGGTCAACCGAGATGAGGTTTTTAAACACTTTATCACCTGCTGAACAGGAGCCATTGGCGATGTTAACGTCATCTATGGCGATATCTCCTTGAAAGCCATTGCCTCTCACGCCTTCTATCACCACCTGTAACAATGATCAGATTGTCACATGTAATTTAAAACAGTAATATGTTTTCTCCATACATTTATTTTAAGCTGAATATCAATAAGTTTTTTTGTTCAGAATTAATCTTCGTTTTGGACAACATCTTCAGAATTGATATGAATAATTTTTACCAATGGAAAGGCAGTGTCAAAACTGACACCCGTTTATCCGGACGGTACTGTTATGAAAGAAATTATCAGGATTAACATAAATGAACTACATAACACAATGACATCTGTTGATTTCAGGGACCATATATAGCTAAAAGATAAGTGTTTAAAACATATGAATAATACTAAAGTCATAGTGCTCTTCTGTGAAGAATAATGAGCATTCAAGAATAGTCTGTGTTCCTCATGCTTTCACAAAACATAATTTGATTAAGGTTCATGTGGCTACAATTAGGTTGATTCCTTGTTTGTTCTTACATTAAAAGGGGTCTTGAGGTTGACTGAAATCTGCCCATTCATCCAGTGGGTGCCCTGAGTGCCACTCCTCTTCCATGTAGGATTTGAGGGAATGGCTGGTCCTGTTTGAATGTAGACGTTGAGTGCCCCGACGTTGCCACCGTACATGTTGTACCAGAAGGTGATACAGCTCTGCCCTGCCTTGACCTGGGGACTGAACAGCTGAGCCTTGTCGCCAGTTTTCCTTGAGCCTGACGTTTCAATGTAGATGTAATAGCCGTCTAAAATACAAAAGAACCTGATTAATTCTTGAATCCATGTCCGGATATGCAGAATGCAGAATGGTTGTCCACTTATTGCCAAAGGTACCATGATGCTTAAAGTCCTAAAAAGATTATGTCTGCATTTGAGATTTTGACATGTCTTAAAATATCAATCCTCGTGTAAGTTTTGACCCAGGTAGTGTGATGTGTTGACACGGCGTTGGGCATACATCCTAGCCAAATTACAGCAATGGTATCCATTTAAACCAACATAGGGTTTGAAATATGATAAATCAAGGACAAGTGTAAATATTTGCTATAGGAAACTCGGACGGATTTATAAATTGTTTTAAACTGGCCGAAGAAATGTGGCTGTGAGGAGATGAATGCAATAATAGTTCAAGGATTCTTACTGGAGTTGGCAAAGGTATGGTCAGATGAGGGACCAGTACCATACGAGCCCGTGCCACCGTGGTTCCTCGTCCAGTCAAATTGGTCCGCTCTAGTACTCTGAACCCAGCCACAAAAGTCGTTCTGAAAGTCGCAGGGAAACGCTCCTTTCCCCACTGCCTGTGTCGTTACTCGTGCCGTAGTCTGTGGAGCAGCAGTGGCATTCGTCGGAAGTACTGAGTCAAATAAATAATGAGATGTATAATTAGGGTAAAAAAAAATGGTACCAATTTGGTTTATTTTCAAAAGGTCAAAATGACTGTGTTATTTGCACAAATGAAACACAAGCATGATAGACATGTAGTGCATATAAATAATAGGTATTTACTTTATTAAGACAATCGCTCCTGTGACAGTCTTTACTGAGCACTTACTTCCACAGTTCGACGTCGTGAAGGAGATATCGTCAAATGCGATGTCTCCAGAATAACTCCTGCCACGGATCCCTTCAAACACGATGGTGTAACTCTTGGTCTTCTCTGTGATTGGTGCCTGACCATTGAACCAGCCGTTGCCATGGTTACCAGATTGATGCCAGATCATGTAGTCTGTTCGCCCTATTTGAGAATTTTCAGAAGTTTGTTTAACAACAAAGTTCACTGGATGACACACATGTATACACTATTATTACGAAAAAGCATGAGGCAGGCGTCATAAAGATTAGTCTTTTTGATTACTGACAGACTGTTATACTGTGAAAACTTGACATCAATCAATATCACAGGATTTGAGGTGTACTTGCAACAGGAATTTATTATGAACGTCATCTCCGTACTAAACATATTATTGTTACAAATTAGGATAGTTTGAAATCCCAATTATGAGGATGTTTAATTCGATACAATCATGCGTTTATGAAAGTCAAAGAAAATTACATTGCTCCTCATTTATAAGTTAATACTGTAAGATATATATGAACCGAGATGATCTTCTTTCCAAATCATTATTCACAGTTGATTACATGCAGTGGAAGTTCGACTTACCTGGCACTCTGATGTAGACGTTGAGAGTATCGACTGTCGCCCCGTACATGCTGTACCAGAAGTTGATGCACCTGCCGCTGGACGTCACAGGGGAAAAGCTTTCACTGACCAGCCACGCCTTGTCTCCAGTCAGTCGTGGGGCCGAGGTTTCAATGTAGAGGTACTTGCCTGAAAATATACCAGTTAAAACAGCATGACCTTAGGTGGTATCCATGGTCGTGTATCTCCATCATATTACCTCTATCACTTGTTTTAACGTGGAACTGACACAACGTAATATAGCTACTACTTCAATACAAAATTGGGCATTGACCCAAATCACATTTTACCCATGAAAGAAGGTAAACTTAGATGGTCGGCATGGCCTAAGAACAACCTTTATATTTTGCATTGCACATGTAATTAAAACGCCAATGTGTTTATGTTCAAGGTATTCGTATCTGACAAAATGAAACAAAATGTGTTTATAGTTCCAATTCATTGTCTAAGCGTCTCTGGAAATACCACACATAAAGATGTCAATTAGGGGTTGTCAAATTGTATATCTTGAGCAAGACAAAAATGAGACAAACATGAAATACTTGACAAACTGTGACGCCAGGTGTTAGCGAACTTGATGAACCATGAGGTAGCACCATCATTGCTGAAACTCTGGGTCACAATGCATTTTACCTCAGATAATATTCTTTGTCAAGGACATTGAACAATGGCGACATGATGTCATAAATCTAAAATGCTGGTTTGATAGTCGTCCATCTCGTCCTTTGACATAAAAAGGTATTGTTAAACAAGATGTTCTTCTCATTCACTTTTACCATCATTAAATCATAACAACATGATCTGTGTTATATACTGGTCTGCTCACCTCTTGACGTGCCGAGGGTGTGGTCAACTGAAGGTCCAGTAGAGGTACTTGACGTCCCACCGTAGTCCTCAGTCCAGTCAAACTGATCTCCAATGGCAGTGTTCTTCCAAGTGCACAGACCAGATTCGAATGTGCAGTCGCCTGTAGATGAAGAAAGTAACAGAGAACTAATTCCCCGTTCAGACACACAATAGTGCTCTTTCAGCTTTAAATAGCATACTTGAACTCGACTTGAACTGACAAACATCACATGGAAATAACTGAAATTGCCACACTCTATTGAAGACCAATCTAAAAGTCTTAAAATATTAATTATCACACTGAGACAAATTTCAATTTCCAGAGGGCACATATTACAACGATAATTCTGGACCAGGAACCAGGAACCGGACAGTGACAGCTGTCCTTTTTCAAGAAAGAAATGTTAATAGTCAGGTATCAGGGGTTAAGATCAATCTGGTCAATCATTGTGTCCATCTATTCTATATCAGTAGAGTGAATTCCTCTGTATACCATGTGCTGCAGTAGCGTAAATGAAAACTGGTAGGTGACAAGCTTATGTTTTCGGCCAAATGTTAGCATTTCCTTTTAACTTACCAGGATTTGAACATGCACCCACAGTGAAACTGACATCGTCCAGTGCTATATCTGATCTGTAGCTTGCGCCTCGGACGCCTTCAAACATCATCTAAATACCATATAAAGTATTTATTATTATCGCCCTGGTAATTGTTGTCATAAGACCTTAGCAACGTTATATATTTCACTGATAGAATGATGAATGCAATTTCTTATTGCCAGACATTGAAGATTTAATGAATATAGTGTCAGTGATAAAATGTGTCTGGCGCTCGTCTTTAAGCGGCTAAAACGGTGTCTGAGTGGGGTATTCATCTTAAACCGTGGCATGGTATCTCTGTTAGCTAGCACCATAAATCGGCATCACTCCCCAAAAGTGCAAGCAGCCACACACACACACACACACACACACACACACACACACACACACACACACACACACACACACACACACGTGCATGTACGCCGCTATAAAAGGTCAAATGTCTTGGATGCGACCCAATTTCGCAGTGCATTATAGGGGTGGGGAGGTGTTGTAGACTACGCACCCGGTATCCTAAAGCGGAAGTTGCAGTGGATGTTGGGATTGTTGCCTGACCAACTATCCATTTGTTGCCCTGGTTACCCTTACGTGAAAATAATGGTCGACCTGTGCTATTTCCGACCTGCAACGAGTTTTTAATGTTACACATATACATACATATATGACCGTATGGGGGTAATATCATTACAGGTCATTTCAGAATACGTATTCTATGATTAGGATATAAATAACTTTGAGCAAATACGTGTGATCATATTCTTTTAAAATAACAAGAATATTAATATCAGGATCACCCAATACTCATATAAAAAGATTTTAATTTCCTGATTCAATATTGATTAATAAATATCAGCATTTTTTCTCATTATACCTCAGCATAGACGTTGAAAGTTCCCATTGTAGCCCCGTACATGTGGTAGTAGAACTGGGCGCACATTGCCTGGCTGTCATGATAGACCGGCGTCAAGATGCGTGCTTTGTCTCCCTGTCTACGGGAAGATGCTTCAGTGAACAGATAATGCCCTGAACGAAAATAGATGAAAACACTCTGTTCACTCTGGTTATCCTGAACCTCGGTTATCACGAAAAAGATATTTGTTATCAGGTGAGGCCAAGGTTGATATTCGTCTCTGGATCTCCGGTCTCGGTTGTCTTGGAACGTTACTCTACGATGTCAGCTGCATTTTATATGGTTATTTTTTACATGTATATCAAAAATGATTTTATATTGAAATTGCATGTTCAAATAACAAGTCTATACACCACTTCCTATCACGGACTCTCAAAGATGAAACTTTGAAAATTTAGTTGCCGTTAACGTGGTATATCATTCCAGAACTATTAGACCCATAACGTCATTATCCCATAGATGACCAAGAGTGAGTTAGTTTGGTTCAAAGCCAACAATATTCAAGTTTTATCAAGGTGTGTCATCTTTATGAGGGAGGAAGGGCCGAAGTGATGCAGGTATTAGACGTTTGCCACTTTGGTGAAACGCACTGCCAAGGCAAGGCATCTTGAAACCGTCAGGGCGAATCTGGGAATGGAATCCTAGTTTTTTAACCTCACAGATACCTACCACTTGTTGTTCCATATGTATGGTCATTGCTAGGTCCTGTGCCGTAGCTGGTCGTTGTATGTGCCGTCCACGTCCAGTCAAAGGTGTCCGTCTTGTCCTGGGTGTAGCCACAGATTGCCTTATCTTCAAAGTCACATTTCCTGACGACCTGACCTGGGTGGACAGTGGTGTGGACAGTCGGTCCAGTTGCTCCTTGGGGGAGAGCGAATAAAAGAGTTGGTTATCCCCGAATAGTATTTCAGTTACATTCAATTTGATGATATAAATTTTCCCATTTTTTCTTCAGGTGAATAGTTTGACTTGCTTTTGCATATGTTTGTGAGGCGGGATATGCTCGCCTTTTCGCGAATACTTGGTGCAATAACTATCTGAAAGTGATTCATAAGCAAATGGTAATGACACATCCGGAATCATATAATGGATTTCATTTGATTTGGGACAAAGTTTTGCAGCTTTTATGAAAGTAAGCATTAGCATTTTCTATTTGTTCTAAAGTTAAAAAATACTTAGTACAACGTAACCCATTTAAACAGAAAAAGCTAAATATCTTTATCGCATTAATTATTTATTTGATGATGGCGACAGTAGTATTGAACTGCAATATAATGTACCTGTACATGCTCCATCTGCCAAACCCACGTCATCAATAGCAATGTCTCCCCTATACCCGTTAGCAGTCACAGCTTCAATGACAACCTGCAACAACATTTAATCATTTAAACAACTTTTCAAAATATCAAAACAAGGTTCACTAAGATACAAGTAATAAACACAATAGTGGCAGCAGCAGCAGTAGAAGCACTAGTAGATATGGTAGTAGTAATAACTGTGGTAGTCGTAATAGTAATAGTAATAGTAATAGTATTAGTAATATAAGTAGAAGTAGCAGTAGCCAGTAAAAGTAGTAGTAGTACTAGGTGTAGTAGTAGTAGTAGCAGCAGCAGCAGCAGCAGTAGTGGTACATGAAACGAATAAACTATTGATAGGAAAATACGTCCACGCTTGTGAACCCCTAAGCATTCTACTTACTGAATATGGCGTGTGCCCTCTGGATACGGTGATCTGTGCTTGGTTCCAGTTCAATCCCTGGGCTCCTGTCTTGGTCCACACTGGGCTACCGATGGTGGGGGTGGACTTGATGTAAGCGTTGAGTGTGCCGATGTGGTCGCCGTGCATGTGGTACCAGAAAGACAGACACTGGGTCACCATGCGAGGGGTGATGGTCTTGCTCTGAATTCTGGCAGTCTTGTTGGCCGTCTTTCCACTCACCTCTGTGTAGAGGTAGTACCCCTCTGAAACACATAGAGACATTTTTCACATATTTAAATCCTATCACCATCTGCAATGTTGGAGGTCGACATTGTGGGAAGGTGTAGCTATTCTCTATACTATCGCATTTCTACTTTGATAGTTGTACTGCTCTGTTTCCAGCTATTGATGTCCCCATTCGTTACCAAATCTCACCATACCTGGTCCAGTGTAGTCGCCCCAAACGACAGGCAATAGCAAAGACACTGCACATTATTGTAAATCAATCAGAAGGTATCAGGTTTAGAAATATGCACTACATAGTGCAGCAATATACACCTAATAAGGCAAAAGCGCGTGAATAATCAAACACTAATATACTTCATTGCCAGTTATTGTAGTTAAATTGTTATTATCAAATATCTTCCGTATTATTTGTTTGGGTGGATCGAGTTACATATCACGTTGTATACGTACTGCCTGTTGTGTGATCACTCTGGGGCCCCGTCCCACTTGACGATGTGGATCCCTGCTGTCGCGTCCAGTCGAAGTTGTCGTTCTTCATTTGAATCCAGCTGCACATATCGTTGTCAAAACTGCAGGTGACAGGCTTAGACGCTGAAACCCGTGAAACATCAACTGTTCAATAGTTGCAGTGAAATAGACCAAAACATTTCAATTTATGGATAACAGTTTGTTACTTAAAATGCCGAAAGCGTTAAGCCATGAACTATATTGAATGCTGGTTTCCTCCAAAAATTGAAATAGGAGGCTATGCTAGAGAGTGAGTCAATGAATGTCATTTAACTCCACAAGAACCTGTCTTACGATTGAGCCCCGACGAAACATGCATGCATCTATTTTATTACTATTTTTGCATTTTATTATGAAAGTAAAGGAAATGGGTATTGTTAGAGCGGTATACTTTGTATTCTAGTTATAACCAGTCATTTGTTTTCAAACGCTCAAGGCACAATGCTCAAGAACGCATACTCATAGCATTATACTTTTTGGTTCAACTGACTTGAAATCGTACGCTCAAGGCCTTGCTGACAAACTAGCCCTATCGATCTGTGAAAATGTGTTACTTTTCAAGGAGAGTGGGTGAGTGAGTTTAGTTTAACTCCGCCTTAAACAGTATTGCATTTACAAATCGGCATGTCTGCTTGATGTGGGAGGACACCCTGAAGTGATGCAGGCTTCAGCTGTTTACCTTTCGTGATCTGACGAGAACGAGAATGTCGCTGACAAACCTCGCAACCTAAGGTCCACAAAAATGTTTACGTACATGGTGGAACATAGGCAGTGGACTTCCTCGGAGCAGTTGATGTCGGCTTCAAAGTGGTGGTGGCTGTAGTTGTTGCTGACAGAGGCTTAGCTTTTGTTGGCGTCACTAGAAAAAAATACATGTTTATGAAAAAATATCATGGGAAGTGTTACTTATATTATTGATGAAAACAACATGTGTTCAGTTGACTGATGTTCCGTTCTTCTCTGAGCGTGTTCAATCTCTTTTTTTAGTGCTATAAGCGAACGTTCACCCTGATCAAGGTGCGCTACGATATTCTATAGCATATGGAGACGGAGCCAAGTTGATAGTTTTGTATTAACAATATAATCATACAAATATGTAAAACATCGCCAACATTTGGTAAACAATAACGTCGTAATGTATGATGCAGATGTGGTGAGGAATAACTTTGCAAACTACAAAAAACAACACGATCCATGTACAAACCTCCGCATGTGTATGTTCTGAGCGCCAGATCATCGATTGCAATATCTCCATTGGGACCAGTTCCAATAATGCCTTCAATAATGATCTGAAATAGACATACGCCGTATAAACGTGTTAATTAACCATTATCGATAAATCAAGGCCTTTCGTCCTATCCGTACTTGGTCTTAGAAATCCCCAGCACTTTATGATTATTGCGATACATGTGATTCTTACATTAAAGTTGTTGTGTGGGGAGTAGACAGGCACTCTAGCGAAACCCCATGTTGACGGTTGTGTCCCGCTAAGCTGCCACGCCACCGTCTCGGTCTGCCCCGTGACGACGTAGACGCGGAGGGTGCCGATGTCGCTGCCCTTCATGTTGTACCAGAACTGGAAGCATTTCCTCTGGGAACTCTTTGGGAGTGTTTCACTGACAAAGCGGGCTCTGTCTCCATGTTTCTGTGGGGCACTTGACTCAATATACATGTAGTGACCTGTCAAGACATCAACACTCTTTTCCTATTCATGCTCGTATTTATAGTGTTTTTTGTTTAACGCCGCACTCAGCAATATTCCAGCTATATGACGGCGGTCTGTAAATAATCTGTCTGGACCACACAATCCAGTGAATAATATCATGAGCATCGATCCACGCAATTGGGATTGATGACATGCATCAACCAAGTCAGCGAGCCTGACCACCCGATCCCAATAGTCGCTTTTAAGACAAGCATAGTCACCTTTAACGGCAAGCATTGGTTCCTGAAAACCTATTCTACCCCAGAATCTTCACGGGTCGTTCGTATTTATAATAATGAGAAGAAGAAGAAGAGTAGATCAGCATTGATAGTATGTGTTTCATTAGAAACATATAATGAATCTTGCTCTTGTTATAGCTGTTGTGATACTTATGAACAGTAACAGAACATATCTCCGCACCATCATTACTTCTTGAACATTGTTTGGTAAATACAGTAAACTACGGTTAAAACGAACACGCTTATAACGAACTTGCGGATATAACGAACTGGCGGATAAAACGAACTTACTTTTTAGTCCCGACTATGTGCTGGTGTTATGCTGTTTATATGCTTATAACGAACTACGGTTATAACGAACTAAAAATAGTAGTCCCTTTGAGTTTAGTTTCCTGTACTAATTCAAACATCAGCAATAACTATATTAACTGTAACTATATACGGTTCTCCTTTCGTTTCAAATTCAGTGATAATATTTGCAGTAATGTCCTTATCGTACTTGAGTAAACTAATATTCGTCCAAGTAACCAGTACGCAAGGTTGTACACTGCTACAAGCAATGTTCCAGCAAGACATGTACCACTAGCATTGTGTCTGAGTCTTCTGTGAGACGATTGAGTGCTTTATCAAATCACTATACGCACCTGTCGGTCGTCTGGATGTGTGGTCGCTGGGTGGTCCCGTGTGGGCCGTGGAAGTGCTGCCCTGGTGGATGATCCAGTCGAAGTCATCATTCCTCTGGGTGTTCAGCCAGGTGCAGGTGCCGTGCTCGAAGTCGCAAGTCGCTGCAGGCGGAATGCAGGGTTAAGGAGGGCAACAACACAGCATGATACTTAAAAGGTAAGATGACTGTCAAACGTGGAACAACTTCTTATCACCTACATATTGATACTCATTGATAACACTGTTATATGGGGCTTCCTTTAATCACCTACATCTTGACACTCATTTGTAACACTCTGATCAGGGAGCTATTTCTTCCATTTAAAGGGAACCCGTTAATTAGTAAACTTGGTTTTTCTGACGATTGGCATTGGGAATGCTTAGATACATATACAAGAGACACAACTATCTGCCTATGATTCGTTAATCAAGAAAGTGGTTAATATGGGAACACTCACATCCCGATAAACTGGGTTTCACTGTACGTGTATTCGCAGGGAGAACATCTGTAGGACGGGGCGTGAAGTTTGTAAGATTGTGCTTAGTATTTGTTTGTGTCAATATATTAATGTTTGGTTGGTTTACCCGGCAGTGGACATGAGGCTTGTTTCAGAAGGATGTCATCAATGGCAATGTCCCCATGGACACCTGTGCCTCGACTGGCTTCAAACACGATCTGTAGTAACAGGAAATACACGACTGTATGTGGGCTGGTTGAAACAGTATATTTAACGAGACGGAAACAATTCATTATGTGAGAGAGAGGTAATAAAAAGACAGCAGTAGACTTACGTTGTAGTTTGATCCCCCTGGTATGGTCACTTGTGCTATCTTCCAGTCCATCCCCTGGTTCCCGGACAGTGTCCACAATACATTGCCTAGACTTCGGGACTTGGCGTAGACGTTTAGCGTGTTCACCTGCTGACCAAACATGCTGTACCAGAACTGAAGGCATCGTGTTCCACTTCCTGGGAGTCTTGGAGAGATTATCCTTGCCTTTGCATTTGGTCGGGCATCAGAGGACTCCATGTACATGTAGTGGCCTGGGAGGAAATCAATCTACATTATGAACTTGATGGCGTAAAACATCCACTGAAGATTAAATAAATGCGGAAAATGACAAAGGCTCTTATTTAAGAAAGATGTTCGTTAGGTAATCAGCCATGATCTGTTGGTTAGTATCCTCACCTGCTGGTGTACCGTAAGTGTGGTCATTGTTAGGACCGGTCATGGCGGATGCTGTTGAACCAGTAGACCACCTCCAGTCAAAGTTGTCACTCTTGTCCTGAGTGTAGCCACAAACAGCTTTCGTCTCGAAGTTGCACGACGTTGACACCGGCATCGGAGTAGTCCTGGCCCCAGGGGGTACCGATGGTAAAATGGTTCCTGGAAAACACGGCATATAGTTTGGACAGTGTGTCTTTATCTGAAATGCCTCTCGTATGAAGAAACAGAAAAGGATGTGTTACTGTCCAACACGATAAAATGAACGAGAATTCACATTGATCAAAGCGACGATAGATCACATTTCCACCAAACCGTCTTAAAGGGAAACTAGATTGTATCATCTGGTGTCCATTGTCAGTGTTGCCAGATCTCAAGGTTATTGGCTTGCGAAACTAAGACATTATTTCTCTGCGGGGTGATGTTGAACTGTTCCCAGAGGACTAATTATAATGTGATGTTCGAATATCGCATTAGACTTGGGTCGAGTTTTTATCATTAAGCCGTGTAAGTAACATGTAGTTGAGTTATTACCTAGCGGAGGGCAGGGGCCGTTGACAGTCTTAGTGTCGTCTATGGAGATGTCTCCTTTCCATCCCCGTCCTCGAACAGCTTCGATTACAACCTATAGACGAATCACATATTGGGAAATAACAAAAATGTTATGTTCTCTTTCTCACTGCAATGTTTTCTCAGCCAAATATTAAATACTAATCTGAATCTTTTAAGAAATATTACAACAACAAAACTAACCATTCCCTTCAGATCGTAGCACATAATTACATGCAACAAATGACATCATATCGACACATGGAAACAACAGCATGCATAACATTATGCAACGCACGAAGGCATTTCAAACTATATGACAATATGTATAACCTTGACCTACCTGAAAGTTTGTAGCCACTGGTAGGTTGATTCTTGCCTCCGTCCAGTTGGCTCCCTGGTTGCCATGGCGCGTCCAGACGATATTCATTTTGGCCGTGTTGGTCTTCTCGTACACGTTGAGGGCGTTGACGTGCTCCCCGTACATGTTGTAGTAGAAGACCAGACATTTTGAGTGACCACTGGCGATCGTCAACGTCGGACTGATCAATTGTGCCTTGTCTCCATTTGCACCAACGGAAGATTCAAAGTAGGCGTAGTGTCCCTCTGTGGACAATGTCAACAACGTTAGATAGGGTTCTTCAGAAACAGCAGTGGATGACTTAGCTTGAATGCAGTTCTGATCAGTATTAAACAAACGCAGTCTCTTTAGAGAAACCCACAAGCATGGGTATTGTGGAACAGATCAAGGACCACATTCGATGGGAATGAAACCCACGACCATTAGATCCTTGTACGGCTAAGGGACGTAATGCTACTGAGTGAAACGAATCTCCTTAGACTATTTGGGCATCCGTGTCATCAGTTTACATAAAATCTTAATAAAACTGTAATTATCTACAACAGTTTGAAATATACCATGTCATTTCCGTTGGACATTATAATGTTATGTAAAAGTGTGTAAACTGTTGTAAATTGTAGGTTGTAGCTTATTAATTGTAAGTATTAATAGCGGAGGTAAATGTATTGACGTATTGACGTACTGCCAGTGGTGTGGTCACCGCTTGGGCCAGTCCCTGCTGTTAGGGTACTTCCAGCTATCAGCTTCCAGTCAAATTTGTCCGTTCCTTGAGCTTGGGTCCATTGGCAGAAGTCGGTTTCAAAGGGGCAGTCAAACTGGGCGCCAACAGCTGAAACAATAAAATTCAAAAGAAAGTGTGATAACTCAAAAGACGAATAACATCATCAGGCTGTGATCTGTGATCCTTTGAGTAACAGGGCGGAGGACCAGTCAATTGAAGTTGAACATTGAAAGACAAGCAGAGCTTCGTGATCGGTCACAAACAAATCCAGCAATAAACTATGATTTTGCGAAAGTAGAATCTTTCAATCCAAGTTTCAATTTGTACGTGTGTTTGAGAGCTATTTGATCACAACATTAACAGTGAGTGAGCGAGTGAGTATGGTTTTATGCCGCTTTTAGCAATATTCCAGCAATATCACGGCGGGGGACACTATAAATGGGCTTCACACATTGTACCCATGTCGGGAATCGAACCCGGGTCTTCGGTGTGACGAGCGAACGCTTTAACCACTAGGCTACCCGACCGCCCTACACAACATTAACAAAACAAAAACATCTTTAGGTATCTGGCATGCCTGAATATCTTCAGTCATTATACACCCGAACCTGCACAGTATTAGGCTGTAGCACGATAGCCGGAAATCCGAATTCTCTCCTGTGACGGCACTCGTGAAGAGCAACCTCCTCGTGGTGAGTGCTGGGTAGCGCTAATAGCTCTTCCCCCGTGTGGAACCGGGGTAGAATATTTCCACAGCCTCCCATTGCTGGTCGTATGAGGCGACTAAAATGGGCAACCTGTTTGCCGTGGGTTGCGTCCCTGTGTCGGCGGAGGACGGAAGTCTGGTAGTTGAGGGCACTGGTTCCTGGAACTGTGTTCCTTTGCCCAACACACTACTTCGACCCTTACTTCGCCTAGACGGGTGGTAAGATGGGCCCGGTCTTATCAATCGGCTGGTCATGCCAGGCCCTGTGCGTATTATTGTAAATGCACATCTGTGTTGTATTGTAATGTATATTTTGGCCTTGGCCGTCCATAACTTGTGTGTATTATCAATTTTGGATTGAATAATTTGCCTAGAGTCTTACGCCAGAAGGCGGTGGCTCATGGGCCAATCTGGTACTTTCGACCTCTGAGTTCTGTATGTCTTCAATTTCTTGCCATGGGCCGAACCAGCCTGACATTTTATTTGATAGACAAATACAGCTATTCATGTTGTTCTTACTGGAGTATAACACCTCTGTATCCCTGATGTTTGCATGTTGGAGATCCGGTGCAGGACAACATCGCTCTTTGTAGCACTCCATGGTGGGTGGGGAGCAGAGGTGCTGAATACATTAATTTCATCATGGCTCACAATCAATCTGGTTCGAACCGTTATGACAAGAAAAGACGTCTAGAAGCTGAGATTTTCTCGGCTGATGAAGATGTTTCTCCTTCACCAAAATCAAATTCTTGGGCTCGGTTTCTTGTAGTCGAAGCACGAAATGAACAACCATTAAAAATAAACCCTTTTGCCATATCTAAAGCCATTGAAGGTATTTGTGGTGAGGTAAAGAATGTTTCACGTCTCAGGAGCGGCTCTCTTTTGGTAGAGTGTGCACGGAGACAGCAGGCTATTAATCTTTTGCAATGTACAATCTTTGCAAACATGCAAGTTGCTGTCTCTGAACATCGAACTTTAAATTCAAGTCGGGGGATCATCCGCGACAGAGCACGTTGTCTGGCGGAAATGTCTGAAGAAGACATTCTTGAGGAACTCAAAGGACAAAGCGTCACGTCGGTGAAGCGTTTCACTAGAAAGGATGGGGAGAACATTGTTCCAACGAATACATATTTGTTCACATTTTCACTTTCAACCATTCCCCAGTCTATAAAGGCAGGCTATTTTAACATCGGAGTGGAGGTGTATGTCCCCAATCCACTCCGGTGTTACAAATGTCAAAAATTTGGACACGGCTCCAAATCATGCACTCGTCCTACTGTTTGTCACCGTTGTGGTAGCAATCATGACGGTTTCGATTGTACAGCAGACCTCAAATGTATAAATTGTACGGGTCAACATGTAGCGTCATCCAAATCCTGTCCTTTTTGGAAACGTGAAAAAGATATTTTGACTATCAAATGTCAAAACAATGTTTCTTACCTTGATGCTAAAAAACTCTTTGAAAGCCGGACACCTTCATCAAAACAATCGTATGCTGCTGCTGCTGCTGCTGTTACGGTCTCTCGCCATTCAACCAGTAGATCTATAGAATGTCAGACTGACTTGACTTGGACAATTTCTGAGCATCCGGTTCCTCTGACTACAACATCCGAGAGTCAGACAAATCATTCTGTCAGTCCAGGTGCTATATCTTCAACATCTCCGGTTGTGACTCAGGCTGTGGCCCCATCACCGCCAACTCCGAAAATACCATCTTCTGAAATGTCAGCTCCAAACAAACCTTCAACGGACATGGCAAAAAAACAAAAGAAAAAACAAAGTAAAAAGATTACAACAAAGATCCCAACAGTCACTGAAACATCTGTAGATGTTCATAACTTTTTCGAGCCTCTTGAGATGGATGTTACCCCATCTTCACACCACAACAATAGTGGTGACTCATCTTCACATTCACGTGAGCGTTCTCCTATAGAACCACCATGAATCATTCTAGTCTAATTCAATGGAATTGCAGAGGGCTTAGGCACAACTTTAATGAACTACAGTTATTAACAACAGATTGTATTCCATCAGCAATTTGTTTACAAGAGACGTACTTAAAAAATACAGATAACTTTGAATTAAGGCAGTATAGTTCCTATCATTCTTTTTCTCCTCCAGGAGATAAAGCTACTGGAGGTGCTTCCTTGTTGGTGCGGCGGGGCGTTGTTCACAGTCCTGTTCCGCTTGACACGAATTTGCAAGCAGTTGCAGTTAGACTTACACTGCATATTGCCTTCACACTTTGCTCCTTATACATTCCTCCATCTTCAAATCTTCAGCGTAATGATCTACAAAAACTGTACGACCAGCTCCCAAAGCCCTGTCTCATCATGGGTGATCTAAATGGTCATAATCCTTTATGGGGAGGTTCTATCATTAATCAAAAGGGTAAAATCATTGAGGATTTTGTTTCTGATAATGACCTCTGCATCTTTAACGATGACTCGGACACCTACTTACACCCTGCAACTGGTACGTATTCATCATTAGATCTGTCTTTGACGGATTCAGTTTTGTTGAATGAATTCTCATGGTCCGTCCATGATGACCTATGTGGGAGTGACCATTTCCCCACGGTGCTTAAACCAATTAATCCCGCTGTTGATCCACCTTCACCTCGATGGAATTTTGTGAAGGCTGATTGGCTTTTATTTCAATCTTTATGCAAAGATAAATTACTACCTACGTCTTTTCAAAATGTTACTGACCCGATTCAGTTGTTCTCAGATCTACTGAATGAAATTGCTGATGAATCAATACCTAAGTCCTCGATCAACCCACGTGTTCGTAAACCGTGGTTTGATGACACTTGCAAACAAGCTAGGAAATGTCGTAAGAAGGCGGAGAAGTACTTCCGTAAACATCCCACTGTCCATAATTTAAATATTGTAAAAATTTCAAATGCCAAGGCAAGACGTCTATTTAAGCAAAATAAACGTCAATCCTGGCGGACTTATGTCTCCAAAATTAACTCTCGTACCCCTATGTCCAAGGTATGGAACATGATTAAAAAGATCAAAGGCAAGGGATCAAATTCTACAGTTAACCATCTGAAGGATGGCGATACTATGTTAACTGATAAATCTGCCATTGCCAATAGCATTGGTGAAACTTTATCTCATCATTCTTCTTCATCTAATTACGCTCCTGAATTTCAAAAATATCAGCTTCAACAGGAAAAGAAAAAAGTAAATTTTACATCTGATAATGGTGAAGATTACAATGAGGTATTTTCACTACATGAGCTATATACTGCCTTAGGGCAAGCTCATGATACAGCAGCAGGCGCTGATAATATTCATTATCAGCTGCTGAAACACTTGCCCGAATCATGCCTTGAAACTATGTTAAATATATTCGATGATATTTGGACATCTGGGATGTTTCCACCTTCATGGCATAAAGCCATTGTTATCCCCATTCCCAAACCTGGGCGGGATCATTCTGATCCATCAAATTACCGACCTATCTCTTTAACTAGCTGTGTTTGTAAAACGATGGAACGCATGGTAAATAATCGATTAGTGTGGTACTTGGAAACAAATAATCTTCTTTCCAATATACAATGCGGTTTCCGTAAAAACAGAAGTACTATCGATCACTTAGTGCGTTTAGAATCGTTCATAAAAAATTCCATTGTAAATAGACAACATGCTGTATCGATCTTTTTCGACTTAGAAAAAGCTTACGATACAACATGGAAACATGGTATTTTAAAAGATCTTCATGATTTTGGATTAAGAGGCCGTCTGCCTCATTTCATATCACAGTTTTTAACAGACAGGCAATTTCAAGTCCGAGTGGGTACAACCCTGTCTGATCATTATAATCAGGATCAGGGTGTCCCACAAGGCAGTATTTTGTCTGTCACTTTATTCAGTATAAAAATTAACAGTTTGTCAAAAGTTTTAAATGATTCAGTTGATGGATCACTTTTTGTGGATGATTTTAATCTATCTTGTCGTGGTAAAAATATGCACACAATAGAAAGGCAATTACAATTATGTCTTAATAAAATTAACAAGTGGTGTCTAGAAAACGGGTTTAAATTTTCCAAATTAAAAACTAATTGTATACATTTCTGCAGAAAATATAAGCCACATAAGGACCCTGAACTATTTCTGAATGGCACTCCTATCAAAGTTGTTAAGGAGGCCAAGTTCTTGGGACTTATTTTTGATAACCACTTAACTTTCCTTCCACATATTAAATACCTAAAAGCTAAATGCCTGAAGGCACTCGACTTATTGAAAGTTGTTTCTAATTCAAAGTGGGGAGGGGATCAAACAACTCTCTTACACTTATACAGGTCACTAATCCGTTCAAAACTTGATTATGGCTCCATCGTCTATGGTGGAGCCTGTAAAAGTAATTTAAAAAAACTTGATACGATACATCA